TCGCGGAGAAACACCCCTCTGAGTCTTCCATGTCCCAAAAAATATTCAAAAAATTTTTTTCAAAAATTTTTTCAACTTGATAGGGTTACTGTAGAATCCGCTTAGAACAAGTTTTATAGACTGTTTTTAATGTAGTTTCGAATGAGCTATAGTATACCCAAATAGGTCATGTATTCGCGGAGAAACACCCCTCTGAGTCTTCCATGTCCCAAAAAATATTCAAAAAATTTTTTTCAAAAATTTTTTCAACTTGATAGGGTTACTGTAGAATCCGCTTAGAACAAGTTTTATAGACTGTTTTTAATGTAGTTTCGAATGAGCTATAGTATACCCAAATAGGTCATGTATTCGCGGAGAAACACCCCTCTGAGTCTTCCATGTCCCAAAAAATATTCAAAAAATTTTTTTCAAAAATTTTTTCAACTTGATAGGGTTACTGTAGAATCCGCTTAGAACAAGTTTTATAGACTGTTTTTAATGTAGTTTCGAATGAGCTATAGTATACCCAAATAGGTCATGTATTCGCGGAGAAACACCCCTCTGAGTCTTCCATGTCCCAAAAAATATTCAAAAAATTTTTTTCAAAAATTTTTTCAACTTGATAGGGTTACTGTAGAATCCGCTTAGAACAAGTTTTATAGACTGTTTTTAATGTAGTTTCGAATGAGCTATAGTATACCCAAATAGGTCATGTATTCGCGGAGAAACACCCCTCTGAGTCTTCCATGTCCCAAAAAATATTCAAAAAATTTTTTTCAAAAATTTTTTCAACTTGATAGGGTTACTGTAGAATCCGCTTAGAACAAGTTTTATAGAGTGTTTTTAATGTAGTTTCGAATGAGCTATAGTATACCCAAATAGATCATGTATTCGCGGAGAAACACCCCTCTGAGTCTTCCATGTCCCAAAAAATATTCAAAAAATTTTTTTCAAAAATTTTTTCAACTTGATAGGGTTTCTGTAGAATCCGCTTAGAACAAGTTTTATAGACTGTTTTTAATGTAGTTTCGAATGAGCTATAGTATACCCAAATAGGTCATGTATTCGCGGAGAAACACCCCTCTGAGTCTTCCATGTCCCAAAAAATATTCAAAAAATTTTTTTCAAAAATTTTTTCAACTTGATAGGGTTACTGTAGAATCCGCTTAGAACAAGTTTTATAGACTGTTTTTAATGTAGTTTCGAATGAGCTATAGTATACCCAAATAGGTCATGTATTCGCGGAGAAACACCCCTCTGAGTCTTCCATGTCCCAAAAAATATTCAAAAAATTTTTTTCAAAAATTTTTTCAACTTGATAGGGTTACTGTAGAATCCGCTTAGAACAAGTTTTATAGACTGTTTTTAATGTAGTTTCGAATGAGCTATAGTATACCCAAATAGGTCATGTATTCGCGGAGAAACACCCTTCTGAGTCTTCCATGTCCCAAAAAATATTCAAAAAATTTTTTTCAAAAATTTTTTCAACTTGATAGGGTTACTGTAGAATCCGCTTAGAACAAGTTTTATAGACTGTTTTTAATGTAGTTTCGAATGAGCTATAGTATACCCAAATAGGTCATGTATTCGCGGAGAAACACCCCTCTGAGTCTTCCATGTCCCAAAAAATATTCAAAAAATTTTTTTCAAAAATTTTTTCAACTTGATAGGGTTACTGTAGAATCCGCTTAGAACAAGTTTTATAGACTGTTTTTAATGTAGTTTCGAATGAGCTATAGTATACCCAAATAGGTCATGTATTCGCGGAGAAACACCCCTCTGAGTCTTCCATGTCCCAAAAAATATTCAAAAAATTTTTTTCAAAAATTTTTTCAACTTGATAGGGTTACTGTAGAATCCGCTTAGAACAAGTTTTATAGACTGTTTTTAATGTAGTTTCGAATGAGCTATAGTATACCCAAATAGGTCATGTATTCGCGGAGAAACACCCCTCTGAGTCTTCCATGTCCCAAAAAATATTCAAAAAATTTTTTTCAAAAATTTTTTCAACTTGATAGGGTTACTGTAGAATCCGCTTAGAACAAGTTTTATAGACTGTTTTTAATGTAGTTTCGAATGAGCTATAGTATACCCAAATAGGTCATGTATTCGCGGAGAAACACCCCTCTGAGTCTTCCATGTCCCAAAAAATATTCAAAAAATTTTTTTCAAAAATTTTTTCAACTTGATAGGGTTACTGTAGAATCCGCTTAGAACAAGTTTTATAGACTGTTTTTAATGTAGTTTCGAATGAGCTATAGTATACCCAAATAGGTCATGTATTCGCGGAGAAACACCCCTCTGAGTCTTCCATGTCCCAAAAAATATTCAAAAAATTTTTTTCAAAAATTTTTTCAACTTGATAGGGTTACTGTAGAATCCGCTTAGAACAAGTTTTATAGAGTGTTTTTAATGTAGTTTCGAATGAGCTATAGTATACCCAAATAGATCATGTATTCGCGGAGAAACACCCCTCTGAGTCTTCCATGTCCCAAAAAATATTCAAAAAATTTTTTTCAAAAATTTTTTCAACTTGATAGGGTTTCTGTAGAATCCGCTTAGAACAAGTTTTATAGACTGTTTTTAATGTAGTTTCGAATGAGCTATAGTATACCCAAATAGGTCATGTATTCGCGGAGAAACACCCCTCTGAGTCTTCCATGTCCCAAAAAATATTCAAAAAATTTTTTTCAAAAATTTTTTCAACTTGATAGGGTTACTGTAGAATCCGCTTAGAACAAGTTTTATAGACTGTTTTTAATGTAGTTTCGAATGAGCTATAGTATACCCAAATAGGTCATGTATTCGCGGAGAAACACCCCTCTGAGTCTTCCATGTCCCAAAAAATATTCAAAAAATTTTTTTCAAAAATTTTTTCAACTTGATAGGGTTACTGTAGAATCCGCTTAGAACAAGTTTTATAGAGTGTTTTTAATGTAGTTTCGAATGAGCTATAGTATACCCAAATAGATCATGTATTCGCGGAGAAACACCCCTCTGAGTCTTCCATGTCCCAAAAAATATTCAAAAAATTTTTTTCAAAAATTTTTTCAACTTGATAGGGTTTCTGTAGAATCCGCTTAGAACAAGTTTTATAGACTGTTTTTAATGTAGTTTCGAATGAGCTATAGTATACCCAAATAGGTCATGTATTCGCGGAGAAACACCCCTCTGAGTCTTCCATGTCCCAAAAAATATTCAAAAAATTTTTTTCAAAAATTTTTTCAACTTGATAGGGTTACTGTAGAATCCGCTTAGAACAAGTTTTATAGAGTGTTTTTAATGTAGTTTCGAATGAGCTATAGTATACCCAAATAGGTCATGTATTCGCGGAGAAACACCCTTCTGAGTCTTCCATGTCCCAAAAAATATTCAAAAAATTTTTTTCAAAAATTTTTTCAACTTGATAGGGTTACTGTAGACTACTTCAAAATCTCAACTGATTGAATTAATATTCAAATAAAAAATAAAAACGAAAACGAGATTATTCTTATGGAAATTCAAAAGGGACATTTGTTGCTTATTTATTTTCCGAAAATATTTTAAAAATTCTTTTCGACCCTGACATTTTATCTAAAAATTATTAACTTTTGAAAATTATTTAGAAAAATGTTCTTATAAAATTTTTTGTGAAAAAACAAATTCCCTTTTTTCCATTAAAGAAAAACTAATATCTCCCTATAATCCTCCAAATGTTCAAGATGTTACTAAATCATTTAATATATTTTACTTACATTTAAATATATAAAGAATTTTGATAATTATAGAAGTAAAAATAATTATGAAGAAACTGATTATAGTCATAATCTAAAGAGGATTTTCATCCCGAGTAATAATTCTTTTACATAAGCTTTATAAATTAATTTGTATTTCTTCCCTTTTCTGCAGATTTCTTCCCTTTTCTGCGTCACAGCCGGAAATTTTGAGGACCCTGATCTAATATCCTCTATATTATATCAGATCTCCTTTAATTGTTTTAAATTCAACGATATCCACCTAATTTTCTTTTCAAATTAAATTTCTCATTATTCGATAATTAGAGGACGAATTTCAATGAAACATTTCGATAAATCAATTCTTAATAAGATATCGCGGGGTTTATAAGATTATGAGATATTGACGAGATGTTGGGTGAGTTCTTATGAGTAAAAAGATTAAGAGGATATGAAAAAGTTTTAAAAAGGCTTAAGAGTATTCGTGTCGATCTATTACCTACATACATATTTTCTTTGGATTAATACATCTAATATTTTCAAAATGATAAAAAGCTAATTCTCAAAACATTAGTCTTTTCCTAAATTTTTTAAAACCTTTAAAATTATTTTCTCAATTTAAAATATGGACATTAAAATAAATATACATTTAACAAAAATTTTAATTTTATAATGCAAAAATATTTTTTAATTTTTTTTAAACTTTAAAAAAATTAATTCCAAAATAGTTCCAAAAAATACAAACAAAATATGTATATATTTACATATATATTTATATAATTTTATCTTCCTCCCCCTCCCCCTCCAACACCAACAACTCCAAAACGTTGTGGAGGTGATGGACTTGTTCCACTATAAATTGCTGGTACAGGTGTAGACGGTGTAGGTACAAAATGATGTTGCATTTGTTTATTCACAACACCCCAAGCACAATTATTTGGTTGATTTATTGAATTTATTTCTCCCCTTCTTTCTTCTTGTTGATTATTATTTTGATTTCTATAATAATTTTGTGAAGATTCTTGTAAATTATTAGAATTATTATAAATTGGTGGGGGGGTGGGTTAATTGAAGTTAAAATATTGTTTGGAGAGGTTTGTTGTTGTTGAGATTTTAATTTTGTTGAGGCAAATGGAGGTTTGATATGTATTACTATAATTATTAGAATACTTGTTTGATTTAAGAAAAAAAGATTTGAATTTATCTTGGACTTTTATATTTAAAGAGCACAAAAACTTTTTTTTATTATAAAATTTACCCGTAAGGAGAATTTCCAAAAACATAACTAGAAAGAGCAGAAGAAGAAAATTAAGATTCACTAACAGGAGAAATGGGAACAGTTCCTCCCCCTCCAGTTGCTGTTATTATTCCACTAGAATAAGTTGAAGGAGTACTTGGAACTAGCTGTAAAAATGTTTGAGATGGAGAATCGGAAGAAGTTGCTTGGGAAGAATCAGAAGCTGAAGAGACGTTTCGTTCACGTTGTTTGAAAATTGGGGAATTGGGCGGCTGGACAGGACCTGTTGTCCCACTCCATTGGCTACTCATTGATTGTGGATGGTTGCTAATCGGTGCAGAAACTGACAAAAATAATTTAAAATTTTTATTTTCATTTTTTAATCACTTGTAGTATTATTAGAAGAATCTGTCCTTGAATTGGAATAGAATGATCTCCCTTTGTTTTGTTGAGATGTTAAGGTACTAGCTTCATCACCTTGGTTTGAGTCATTTCCCATTGACATTTCTTTCAGATCAAGCTCTTCAAAAATAAATTAATTTAAAATAAAAAGAATAAACTAAAAAATATTTAGAACCTCCCTAACCTTCAAGCATTAATTCCTCCTTTAATTAGTTCAATCTAGCAATTCCTGTTATTTTGCTACTAAAACATCTTCTGACATTGCTTTTGCTCATGACTATATAAAATAAAATTTTGATAAGAATTATAAGATACTAAACGAAATCTTAGTATGTACACTTCTTTAAGATATCGCTCATTTATAAATGAAAGTAATCCCAAAGGGTTGTGTCTGAAATCAAGGCTAATAACTTGACTGAAATTCGGTGATACTATGAAAATTTACTTGTTTCCCGTAGTACCTATGTGCATTTAGCATGCAAATAGGTAATTTATTTTCTAACAAATTAACCTTAAAAACGATTTTTTTCTCTGATAATTTCAATTTTTAAATAAAGATTATCAACGTCCTTAGAGAAAACTTGCCATAAACCATCCCCTAATATCGTTATAAATTAATCTTTACTAAAATCACCTGTAAAGGAGACAAAACAAAAAAAGTTAAATCCCCAATTCTATCTTCATCATTAAGTGACTTTGCTCGAACATAATTTTGAAGAGCTCTGAAAATGTGTCTTCTTGTTTGTAAAATACTCATAACACTATTTGATGAAAGACCACGAGCTACAGGATTAAAAAGAATACAAGCTTTAAGTGCCACAAATTCAACATCATCCATTCTAAGAAAGCGCATTGGAGAAACTAACATATCCATTACACGTTCAGCACGTTCAGCATTTAAAAAAAACATAGTACCTATGTACTTTTACTTATAATTTATAAATGAACAAAAATGACATCAGTCGGCTTTCACCCTGTAATAATTAGGGTTGCCGGTTCCGAGAAATTCTTCGGATATCCAAAACCGAACCAAAAATCCTCGTTTCTTAGGTTCGGTCCAGAACCGACAACCCTAGTCCCTGCAATACATGCTGACAGACTCTAACTTAATACACGTGTGTTTTAATTTGGTTGACCACTATGAGGACGCGTATTGTTTTTTTATAAAAATTTCGAGTGTGTCCCTTATAACCTAACACTAAGATACAATTTTTCAACCTCAAGAGGATATCTCATTATGAGATCAGACAATTTTTAAATAAAAAACTCGCTCCTTTTCAGCTCCATTAACTATACGTGGAATGCAAGAATCATTTATTAATTTTAAAAAATCTGTTGTAGAACGATAAGCAACACACAAAACAACTAGTTGTGCAGCAAAAATTGTTAAGTAAAGCAGTCTTTAATTTTTAAAAATTGAAAAAAATCTAAGAATGATTTAGTTTTACTTGATCTTCTGTAAGTAAATCAGCAAAAGGTTTTATCGTTTTTGCCCATTCTTTAAAAAAAATTTTTTGTTGTAAAATATTTATTTATGTATTAATTTAACTAAAAATAATTGTGTGTGCAAAGACTGCAAAATATCATTTTTACTCGCCTTTCTTGTGTTTCCATCCCCAGTAAATGGAAATCGAGACTTAAATTATAAAAATAAATTTAAATATTTTTTAGTATAGATTTCAAACGGAATCTATGAGCCCGGCACTAAAAATATACAAGGCTAAATAGCCTTATAAGTTTTTGAACCCTCTCAATTCGGCCCTGTAAATTTTCCGTATAGGCAGATAATCTTAAATTTCCTCCCAAAAGATTACCCCTCTAGTCGAATATTGAAGAGTACAAGCATGAGCAACAACAGTATCTCGCATATGTATTACTAATTTTTTCTTCCGAACAAAGCAAGTGACGTAACAAAGCCCTTCCATTCTGTCCACTCCAAGGGTCGGCTTCATTAATAGAATTTAATTCTGGTTGTATTTGGTTTTGTTGCTGTTCTGTTGTTGTTGGTGATGTTAATAGTGGATGAGATATTGTATGGTTATTGGTAGTGAAATTTCTGCAAAAAAATATCTAAGACGCTGGCTCGAGGAAATATAAATCGACACAAAATTAGAATTAAACCCTAAGCTGTTCTGTATATTTCTGCTTTCGAAAACGCTGGTAATTGGAATCCTTTTTCCGGAAAAGATAATAAGTAAAAAGAAAGTTCAACTTTTAACCCTAATTAACAAATCATTATAAAATCTAAATTCACCTTCTAGCAGGTTTATGCTGTTCATAGTGATTACACTAGATAAAGATATTTTTCTAGATATATGTTCATCTATGTCCACTTCACAAAGTTGGGAAGTATTTGTTTGGGTTGTTGGGATATTTGAACGATTAATTCCACTATTCTGGAATTAATTTTTTTTCAAGTTTAAAAAAATTAAAAAATATTTTTGCATTATAAAATTATAATTTTTATTCATTGTATATTTATTTTAATGTCCATATTTTAAATTGAGAAAATAATTTTAAAGATTTTAAAAAATTTAGGAAAAGACTAATGTTTTGAGAATTAGCTTTTTATCATTTTAAAAATATTAGTACATGTATTAATCCAAAAAAATTTGTATGTAGGTAAGTAATAGTTTTATTCACGGTGCGGTTCTGCCGCGGTATTTTTTGTCAATATCAATATCGGAAAAACGCATTTGAATAACCCTACATACCGTATATCCTTTAATAACTACCCTGGGTAATTAATGTTTCGACCTTCGTTGGAGGGAGTAATTAATTGAGGGAGAGTAATTATATGAAGTTTGAAATTTGAACGTGTTTTGGGGTATTTGTTGGGGGTAATTATTGTTTCAATCTATCGCTGGATGGGGTAATTAATAGAAGCAGGGTAATTATGAGGGAGGGGGCTGTTAATACAGGTTATACGGTACGTAGGTAGTAGATAATAATTAATTTTAGTTTGTTGACTAAATATTTAAATATGAATCATTTCTTTCCAATTATTTTTATTTTTAGTTGATAGAAAATTAATTAAAATTATACATATAAATTTAATTTCTCATATGTATTTACTCCCTACGTAAATTTATCATGGTCACTTACTAATTAGCCTTGTATATATTAATCCAGTTATCATTTAAATGTGTACCTCTCTCCAATTTAAATTTTCTGAGATATCGTTTGTTTTTAAATAAAATTATATATATTTTTTTACAAAATACCTAACTTTAAAATTATCAAGATTACATTAAAAAGATTACATTGTTTCACCGGAAATAATTTATACTCACAAGGGAACATTTCGAATAGGGATGAGCGCAAGAGCCAATCTAATACTTTTTTCCATCACTGTATATTTTAAATTATTTTTATTAAAAAATGTCTTGCAGAAACATCCAGGCTTTTGTATGCAAAAAGAAAATTTGAAATTAGCTCGAAAAATGTCTTTTTCTCCGCTCCATTCCCTCACGGATTAATTAATTACCCCAGGCCGTCAACCTTTTTATTTTTAAGAATATTCAAAATATAACCTTAAAACATTTTTATCTTTTATTTTAAATATAAATATGTATTAATTTTTGTGATTCTCAAAAAATATTCGCAAAATTCTTTTAAAAATTGTCTCTAGGCTAAAAGTCTAGCAATATATTTATATATATACATATGTGAATTACCTCGAAATTTTTTGATATTTTTTCTTCAGTTACATAATGTATCAGGGATGGGACTGGTCACCCGAAATCCGATACCCGGACTTTTTTCGACCCGAAAACCCGACCCGAAAAAATGAATGGAAAGGGTAATCTAGTCTAATGCCCTTCAAAATTAAAAAAATTTCCACCTGCGGCGCAAAAACAGGAAGATTTTAAGAATAAGGGTCGACCAAAATTTAAAAAATTTTCGGTTGCGGCGCAAAAAGAGATGGATAAAAAAGCTAGATCTTAAAATCCATCATCGTTCTGAATCACCCATATCCACTGTGCAGTAGGCGGCATGGTGTATTGGCTAACACATCAGTCCGGTCTACTGAAGATGCTGGTTCGGTCCCAGCCGACGAATAACCTTTTGCATTAGCTAGAGGAGAGAAATAGCTATAGCCCAGCTACTTTACTACATTTTAAGTGATTAAAATATGAACTGGATATTCTGGATGAAAAATTCAGACATAAACCAGTTTCGGTTAACCGAAAACCTGGTTCAGTCAAAAACCGGAAACCGAGGGTATAAACCGGTCAAAACCGAAAACCGTGTGTACCGGTTAATAACCAGTAGTGAACAACCTTAGCAAAGGTATTATAAAAAATTACTAATATTTTATTCCCTTATAACATAAGTAAAGTCTAACACAAATCCACTTAACCACAAATTACCGTGCAATTGTCCACTGCCTATCTAGGCGCGCGGCCATAACGGCGCAAAGCAATAACTTGCTGGAAATTTTCTGGCCCTTAACAATTTTCGGTACTAATCTCTTTAGCTCGATGAGAGGAATCGTTTAATACTAAATTTTGTGATATTCGGAATTCTTGAAGTAAGTTATGGCTTTACGCCGTTATGGCCGCGCGCCGAAACTACCCTTGTAAAAAGGCACTGAACTGGGAAGGTACTGAAAATCGGCACTGAATCGTCCCTAACCTAAATTTTGACGATTAGAGTCCCGTTTATTCCGTCGCGATGACATATGATCTTTTTTTTCAAAATTTTAATATTTTTTAAAAAATTTTAGGCAACTGTAAAGATTTTTTTGCTAATTTCCTTTTTTTGATTATCCATTTTCCCCAAACAATCCCTGTTAGGTCAGAATTTTATGTAATTCTAGAGGGATAAACGATGAAATAAGTTTACATAAGAAATTCACAGATTAGACCTTAATCTTTACGGTTGCCTAAATTTATCATTTAAGAGCAATTTAAATTAAAATATATTCGAGAATGGCAATTAATCGTTTGGAAAAAATATTTGTCGCAAACGACGCTGCTTCAATTCTCAACAAATTAGAGGTCCAATACCCGGCTGCCCGTATTATTCATCTGGCTGCTTATGTGCAAGAAAAACAAATGGGCTTTTATTCAAACACGGTTGTGATTTTTGCTGCTTCTTTGTTGGAACAGGCTTCGCAGTTGCTTTCTATGGTTTGTTTTTGAGTTAAAAATATTTTGACCAAGGGATCCAGCATTGGATTTTACGGGGTTTCCAGATTTATATAAGCAAGGTTAGTCTCGCGGTATTCCAATCAATAGAACACCCATATGTGGTGCCCGAGACTTTTGTGTTAGAATTGTGTGTTTTTGTTTCGGTTTCGTTCCTAATCGAATACTTAACATCTTAAAAATTATAATTTAAAATTAGGGACTTAAACCGCTTGAAATTGCTTCTGGCTATGAACAAGCGTTGGCTAAAGCTGAAGAAATTCTACCAAAATTGGTTATTGGGAAAGCCGAGGATTTGTACAACGTGGATCTCGTCAAAACTTACCTACTCCCGTCAATTACTTCGAAACAGTCTGGAAACCATGATTTTGTTGCTGGATTGGCTGCTGATGCTTGCGGTAAAGTGTTTTTTAATTTTATAAAAATTTAATTTTTTAGTTAAAATTGCTCCAAAGCCTGTGCACAATTTCAACGTGGTCAACATTGGAATCTGCAAAATTCTTGGTGGTGATGTTTCTTCTAGTTTTATTGAAGATGGATTGATCTTCAAAGGAGGAGCTGAGGGAAAGGTTAAGCAGGCTACAAATGCTAAAGTCGCAATCTTTGCTTGTCCTTTTGATTTAACACAAACTGAAACGGAGGTTTGGAAATTTTTAACATATTTGCCAAAAATTTGGTAGAAGAGGGAAATAGGAAGGAAACTGGGGAGAATGCTTAAGAGTCCTCTACAACTGGCTACTTTTTTTGACATGATTTTTTTTCAATTTCAGGGCACTATATTGATGAATACAGAAGAGACTAGTGTTGAACAAAACGTGAAGGACATGGCGGAAGCTGGTGTTTCTGTGGTCGTTGCTGCTGGAAAATTTGGGGACCTTTACATTCATTTTTTGAATAAATACAAAATTATGGGTGTTAGGTTTATTTAAATGTTTTTAATTGAAAATTATTTTTTTTAATAGATTGACGTCAGAATTCGATTTACGCCGCCTTTGCTCCACTTTGGGCGCGCAAGCTCAAGCTGTTATTTGTGCTCCACCAGAGGATTCCTTGGGGAAATGTAACAATGTTTCCGTAAAGGAAATTGGAGATACTCAGGTTTTTGTTTAAAATTGAGTTTTGGTTATTTAATTTTGTATTTAGACTGTCATTTTTGATAAACAATCAGCTTCCAAAGTGGCAACCGTCATTGTTAAAGGCTCTTCTCAATCTATTTTGGATGATGTTGAACTTTCAATTGATGATGGAGTGAATGCTTTTAAGGCTTTAACTAAAGACAAATGGGTTTGAAAAAATTTTCCTATTTATTATATATAAGCAGTTCATTTTGAATTTTTAATAAAGTTGAACTTCACTGTAAGATAACCCCCGGAACTAAAACCTTATTTTACAATAAGGTGTTCTTAAATAGCAGAGATAGCTAATGTAAGACTTCTGCCTCGTTTCCTATGGCTAGCCAAATTTAAACACGTATCTTAAACAGAGTTGAATTTAATTCTTTGGTTATCATATTAAGTGAGGTTTGACTGATCTCAAAAAGTGAAGCTTTTCTATTTAATAATCAAAATAATTAATTCTCTTTTTTAAGTTATTGGCCGGTGCTGGTGCAACAGAAATTGAATTGTCCCGTCGTATTCAACTTTTTGGAGCAACTCAATTTGAACCTAAACAACACTCTATTAAAAAATTTGCTACAGCGTTGGATGTTTTACCTAAACAATTGGCTAAAAGTTGTGGAATGAAAACTACAGAGGCTTTGGCTAATTTGTATGCTGCTCATCAAAATGGATCAACTTATGAAGGAATTGATGTTTTAAATTCAAAATTGGTTGATGCGAAAGAAGCTGGAATTTATGAGTTATTTAATGGAAAATTGTTGGCATTAAAATTGGCGACAAATGCTGCTTGTAGTATTTTGAAGATTGATCAGGTTTTTTGAATTTTCCTTTAATCAGTTCTTTCGGACCTCACCACATGTTACAAATTTGTGGTACAAATTTGTAGAACTTATCTTAACTGATGAGTATATAATTCTGGGATGTAAAGGGACGCTTCTGGGGGTTTACCTTTGGATTATTCATCTCCAATCACAAAATATCTATTTAACCAATAAAAAACTTTTAAGTTATTACCTGGTGGTGGAGCAGCAGTAATTGATTTATCTGGGGAAACTCAACGTTTTGCTGAATCCCAATTTCAACTTCAAAAATATTCAGATAAAATATTCGAAAAAAAATTGAGTAAATTTCTTCAAAAAATTCAAGAAAATTCAAAAAATCTTCAAACAACACAAAATAATGATATTTATCCAACTTTTGAACTTACCAGCAGTGGAAATAGAAAAGCAACTTTTAAGGGGTTCCAATATCACCATTCATATGCTGGTGATACTTACCGTTGCATTCATCAAACAACAGATATTGACTGTAAAGGTGTACTTCAATTGAAAAATTGTGAAGTTATCAACCAACCTCATCATACATGTGGTAAAGATTGCTTTATTTTTTCTAAATTTTCTGATTTTAATTTTTGTTAACATTGTCGAGTTTTTCAAAAGTTGACTTTTGTGGCATTAAAAATTAAATATTCTAGCTTTTTAGTGGTCGAAAAATTTAGACATCGGAAAAATCCTTGTTTGTTAATATTTTCGAGCTTTTCAAAAATTTAACTTTTGAGGCGATGAAAAGGCGGAATTCTTAATTTTTTGTCATCTGAAATTCTTTTTCGAAAATTTTCTTTTCAGTATTTTTAGAACTCTATTAAAAATTTTTATTTTTTCCAGCTTTGGATTTTACACAAAATTCTACTTTAAACTACACACCTATTTTACAACGACAACAACAACAAAATTTGTCTTTAAATATTTTTGAAGAAGATGAAAGTGTGCCTGAGACTCCAGTCCAAGAACAACAACAATTTGCTTCAACTTCTTCAAAATCTACTGCTAAAGGTTTTTCATAGAAATTTTATTTTTTAAAGAATTTTATGAAAATTTTTTCAAATTTTTTTTAGAAAAATTTTTTCAAAAATTTTTTTTCATAGTTTTTAAAAAGAAAATTTTTAATAAAAAATTTTAAGAATCTTCACAAATCTGTTCATCTTCCAATTTGACCCCAAAAAGAATTTTTTCTTCAATTTGTGAAGAAAAGGGAAATGCTGTTGTTGATGTTATTCAATTGGATAGTGCTTCTTCTATTCAACAAACTTCGTCAAAAATTCAAACGCGATCAATGGCTAAAGGTTTTTTAATAAATATTTTTTAATAAGGTTGGACGAGACCGTTTAATTCTTCGATTATTGTTCCCTGTGGCGGGTCAAAAAGAGGAGAGAAGGGAAAAGTCCACCACAGGGAAAAATAAACCTCGAATTAAACGGTCTCGTCCTACCCTATTTTTTAACAAAAAAAAATTTTTTTTGAAGAATCTTCAAAAATCTGTTCATCATCCAATTTGTTGCCTAAACGAATTTTTTCGTCTATTTCTGGTAGAGTACAAGACAAAGAAGAGGAGGTTATTCAACTGGATTCTTCTAGTAGACGGCAACCTTCAAGTATCCATCAATCTCTTTCAACAGCTAAAGGTTTTTTCTTCTAATAAAAAAATTTTTTTGAATGAAAAAACATTTGCCACAAAATTAATTTTTTTTTAAAATCTTTTGGGGTTTCCTAGGATTAACAAAAAAAATTTTTTTTTTCAAATCTCTGGGGTTCTCGGGTTAACAAAAAAAAATTCTTCTTGAAAAATTTTTTCTTAAAAAATTTTTTTAATTTTTCTTTTAAAATAGAATCTTCAAAAAATGTGGCACAAGAATCTTCAGAAATTTCATCAATTACTAATTTATTACCTTCAAGAAGTATTTTTTCTTTTTTTAATGAGGAAGAAGAAGAATCCAGGGAAGTTATTCAATTGGAAGATACTTCTATTGTTCAATCAAAATTTAATGTGTTTGATTCTATGAGGGATTCTCATCATCAAACATCTTTGTCATTAAATACAGCTAAAAGTCCTTCAAATATAGAGGAGAATATTCCAAGAGATGAAACTGTTCCACACTCTTTTGCTCCAAAGAAGAATTTATCTCAAAAGATTTTCTCAACTTCTCGAGTCCAACAGGAACACAAATCGTCAGAAAAGTCTTCATCATTTAATTTGGAAGTGGAAGTAGTGAAAGAAGGAGAATCTGTTTTGGATGAGGAAGAAAATGAAGAGGAAAAGGAAGAAGAGGAAATGGAGGAGAATGAAGAGGAATTGGAGGAGGGGGAAGATGAGGTGAAAGATGAAGAAGAAATTGAAGAGCAAGAGGGGGAGATGGAAGAGAATGAAGAGGAAAGGGAGGATGAAGAAGATGAAGTGAATGATGAAGAGGAAGAAGGAGATGTGGAAGAGCAAGGGGTAGAGATGGAAGAGAATGAAGAAGCTGAACTGGAAGACGAAGAAATAGAAGTAGAATGTCAAGAACCATCAAAATCTGTTGAAATTCAATTAGTGTCAACAGCCAAAGGTTTTTTTTGATAAATCTTTTTGTAAAATGAAAAATATTTTTCTTTAGAATTTTCAAAAAATTTGTCACGAAAATCTTCGAAACTTTCTTCCAATTTGCCACCTAAAAGAATTTTTTCATCAGTATGTGAGGAAGTGGAAGAAGGACAGAATGTTATTCATTTGGATAGTGCTTCTTTTATTCAACAACAATCTTGTTCTAGAATTCGGCAATCTCTTTCAACAGCCAAGGGTTTGCAAAAAAATTTTTAATTAATTTAAAAAAAATTTTGACTAAATAAATTTTCTTGTGAAATTTTTTTTTAAAAAAGTTTTTTGGTCAGATCTTTTTTTTGAAAATCTGCCCGTTGGGTGACATTTTATACTCATCCCATTCATGAAAATTTTTTTTTCATTATAGAAGCTTCTTCAATTCGCCATAAATTGTCTTTCAACACTGCCAGGAACATTTCTTCTCGTCGTCAACATTTATTTGATACTACGTCTTGTACTGATGCTTCTCTAATAAATGCTACTCAGTCAGAAAATGTTGTGATTTTTGAGGAAATTCAAGAAACATCCAAATCTACTGAAAAATCATTCTCACCAGCCAGAGGTTTTTTAATTAATAAAATAATAGTGGAATATGAAGGTTCTCTTTCCTCCAAGTTTAATACTTGGTTTATTTTTAAAAAATTATTTGAGTTGACGAGTCGGAATTTTTTATTTTTTTCTTAGGATTTTTTTAATTTTAAAGTCTTAATTTTTTGAGGAAGAAAATTTTTTCCCTTCTATATAAGTTTGAATTGTATAGCTTGTTTTTTTTTAAGTTTTTAATTTAGGAATTTTTTAAGTTTTTCAAATAAAAATTTTTATTTTTTTAGAAATTTCTACAAGAAGCAAAGTCCAGAGCCATTCAAAAAATTTGTCTACAAGGAATTTGGAAGAATTAGAAAATACTCCACCACCATCAACAAGTCAGCAACATCAACCTAGACAACGAGCAGTAGAAAATTTAAATAGAAATGCTTCAATTCGAAATTCTCGACGACTGTCATTATCTCCATGGAGTATGTTTTATTTTTTTAAATTAAAATTTTGTTCAATCGTTTTTATACCTTTATTAAGGTTGTATTTTCCGGAATGCATTTTTTAAGATATTTGTAGTTTTCCGGAAATTTATTAAATTTTTTGTAAGACCTTAATATTTTTCCGGAAAATTTTATTGATAGTTGTGTATCTTCCGGAAATGTTATAGTTATACACATAATTTTTCCGGAATATGCAATTTTCTGAATTTATTTATTTCTGATTTATGTATTTTTCCGAAGATATTTTTCAGGAAAAAATATTATTTTTGTGTTTTCCGGAAGAGTTACATGAAATATTTTCCGTTATGTATTTTTCTGATTTTTGATGGTTTTCTGAGGGTTTAACGAAATTTTTTATTTTTTCCGGAAAAGTTTAATAGAACTATAATTTTTTCCGTAATTTATTTTTTTATCGAAATATTTTTCCGGAAAGTCCTATAATTTTATTTAATCGCTTTTTATGTGTTTTTCGGAAATATGTATGCCTCAAAAGAGTTAATTTGCTTTCTCAAGAATAATGTAAAAATACAAAAAATTATATATTTTATAATTTTAAAGGGCAGCCACAAGAATTTACACATGTTTTGCAGCACTGTACCAATGGCTATATTATGACCTGGGATGAGTTCCTTGACCGCACTGAATTTGAATGTCTTCGTAAACTCGGTGAAGGAGATTATGGAGAGGTCTACGAAATATCCGATTCTAAAGGGACTTATGCTATGAAGGTATTTTTTTCTCTCTTTTTTTATAAGTTTGTCAAAAAACTGCTTAACTTTCGAATTTTTTTTGAAAAGTTTTCAATTAAAAAATTTTCCGCCAGGTCATTCAAGTTACTGAGGAAAATCCGATACCAGTCATCTTTTCTGAAGTTTTCATCACACGGCATTTATCAGAACTCAACAATGCCGGTGATTTCTCAACTCCTTCATATATACCTCTTGTCCGTGCTAATGTAGTCAAAGGTTTAAATTTTAATAAAAAAATTATTTTTTCTAATTTTTTTGCTTTTAAAAGGTATTTATCCGGATATTCTTATAAAGAAGTGGAAAAAATACAAGAAACAAAACCCGAAGATTGCTTTAAATAAACGACCTACTGAGCACATAGACAACACCTATGTTGTCCTAGTTATGGCAAATGGTGGAGTCGATCTAGAACAATATTTGGATAAACCTGGAAAGGTTTAATTTTTTAACTTTATTTTTTCATTTTATTGGACTGTGAGAAAAATAGAGTCGGGGAGAAATTCTTTGGATTTAAGATAATGCACATAAAATAGTTTTTTTTGCCACCCCCGCTTTTCCAATCTTTAATCAATTTTTGAAATTTATTTAAATATCTCCCAATCCTCTGTAAAATATGTATGTTTGTACGTATGATCTCTATAAGAATGTAGTACAAAAAATTGGGAGATGATTTCCAGTAGCAGTCGCTCTTTCCCTTGCTATATTTGGTTTTTTTTTCCAGGCCACCAAAAAACAACAATTCCAGGCCACCAAAAAACAACGTTTTTCAATTTTTTACCAAGTCGCTCTTTCCCTTGCTATAGCTGAAGAAAGGCATTGTTTTGAGCATCGTGATCTACATGTCAGCAATATATTAATCAGCAAAATTACTTCTAGAGAAAGAGAACGTCGAGATAAAATTTGGTTTTTTTTGAAATTTTTTTGGAAATTTTTAAATTTTATTTTTCCAGTTATTACTACAATGGCGAAAAAATTGAAGTCCGTTCTCATGGTTTGCATGCTTCATTAATTGATTTCAACAATTCTCGGATGACAGATGATGTTACAAAACAGTCTGTTTTTGTTAAATTTGCTGTTACGCCATATAAAGAAGGAGATGATTATCAATACAAAATTTACCCGATGATGAAAGAACTAAATGAGTCTGTTTATTTTTTATTAAAAATTAATAAATTTTCCCACCCCCTTCCTGAAATGGAGAAAATGAGAAAATTTTAGGACGGGCAACGAAAAGTAAACGCCAAAATTTTGGCGCACAACCCATTTTAACCTTCTTGAAATCGTCGGCCTCCTGGCTATGCCCCAGTGTTATTGTGAGATCACTTTAAATGAGGGCCTAGTAGCTTTGCAGCTCCTCGATTTAATAGTCATTTAAGATTTTAAAAGCGTCTCTAAAATAGAGGTTTATCAATATTTTGGGTATCCTGGAATGAGATTTGGCTGTATAACAAAATTTTCATTTCAAAATTTTTTTTTCAATTTGTCAATTTTCTAGGGATGTTTGGTCAACCTTCCATCGCAAAACAAATCATTATTGGCTACATTACCTTTATGACAAATTATTCAAAGACAGACGTTTTACACTGAAAGAACGAGAAGGTTTCGAAAAGATTTTTGGTCGTTTAGTATTAAAGACAGAAGAAGGAGGATTTGAAACAACTAAAGATTTTTTGAATAATGAAGAAGTTAGAGAAATATTTGGTCGTTACGTTTTTTGAAAAGCTATAAGGTTTGGAACTTTTTCTTTTTTTTAATCAACGTCAAGTCAAACCTTTTAAACTTTTCTTCGGATCAGGTTCCGGGTCGAAAGAAGTTCGGCTCAGTAAGGGTGATTAAGAGGGTAAAAGGGTTCGGTTCTAAAAAAGTAAAGGTTTCTGGTAGCCCGCGACACTCCGGCCAGTTCATAGAGGAGAAATACTGGCTACGTGCCTGGGAGTGGAGGAGAGGCTTCTGTGCACGAGTTGGGCTCGTTAAAGGAAAAAACCCTCATTTTTAGTCCAAAGAGATTCATTTTCATCTTTTCTAGTCTCTCAACAACCCAGCAAATTGGTACTTACTTTTACCAGATTCAACATTTGTCAATATTTATGAATTAGAAAAACTTGTAAATTCACTTTTATGGAATTCCCCCGTCGCTTTTGGATGGAATATTAATAAAATAAAAAATAAAGACTTAAATGAAGAAGATGGAGGGGAATGGAGAGGTTTTTTTTTAATTTTTTTTTAAATTTTTAAAAATTTTTTTAAAGAATTTTGCTTTGGAAACGTGTATTCGTCTAGCAGCCAATCTCATTTGTGTTTCAACATTTCAAGGATATGAGCATCGTTGGTGGAGGATTTCTTCTGATGATCAACAAAGCCTTTCTCCGTCTATACATGGTTTGTTTGTTATTTTAACTACCAGTGATTGAACTTTTTGATTTTTTCGTACCAACCCTACTCTTGGTCCGTTTCACATTTCAAGGGGGTGGGGTGGAGGAGACAAAGAATCCTGGCTTGGGGGCGAGGGGGAGGGAAAATTGTTGTCTATTACCCGTACTTTGCAACATTTATTTTTTGCTTGTACTCGTCCTTGTGCTACGAGCACCTAATCACTAGTTATTTAAAAAAAAATTTTTCAAAGACCCGACTTTTCTTTAAGATCAAATTGAACGTCTTGCTCTCCTTCCTCTTTTCAATAAATCGTTAACTATTTCTCCATTACTTTCTGAATTGGATATATCTGCTCTGTTTTAAATGTTGAATTTATTCGAACCGAGGAAGAAATTAAATTGTTAGAGGAAGAAACAGAAAAGTATTATTCAAAAGAAGAGACTGGATGGCAATTATGGATGCTTCAAAACCATTAAATCGATTTCAAGGTTTTTTAAAAAAAATTTTTGGATACGTCCCCTCATGGGAATTAGGAGGAGATAGGCTTATCTATGTCGTTAAGTACCCAAAACTCGTATCCAACGAATAGGCCTGTATTCGGGACTTGTATCAGAACTTTAGGTTACTAGAGCTCTCTCCATTCCATTAAAAGGTTATTTTGGGAATATAGGAACCTATTGAAAGACAGCATATGTGGGAGGGGAAGGAGAATATGTCGGAGGGAAAGACGATAGTGCTAATTTTTATTCAACACTAAAACTTTCATTTTTCAGCTCCAGTTTTTCAGCACCACCATCACAATTACAACAACAATTTCTACATCCTCCTCAACGTCTCCCATTAAATTTTAAAGATGCTGAAAGTCCAAATTTAACTCCAGGTTTTTTTAAAATATTTTTTCCCTTTTTTAATTCCAATCCATTTTTAAAGATTCAATAATTTCTCCTCGACATAAAAACATAAAAAGCTGCCTTCGCTCTTCTTTCAATGTCAACATGTTTTTCCTAGGCCACCCCTTCTTATACATACATCATTAACAACAACAACACAACCTCTCCAGCTTCCATTGAACCTACAACAACAACTTCATCATTCTTCTAATTTATCTTCTAGAGATGCAACAGAAAATCACATTTTTGAAAGGTTATAACCACAATTTATTTTAGAAACGACGATTGCGAAACGATTGCTCCCCAACAGCAAAGATTACCGCTGCCACCTCTACATTTCCCACAACAAGTTCCTCTTGTTTTTACTACACCACCACCACTTGTACCCAACACCTCGTGTTGCTTCTCTTCAAATTCCTACTTCAACAACCTCCACAACAGCAATATGTTGCTCCAATACCTATGCCAAGTCAAAATGATATACTCAAAACTGTGGTGCAGACAATTAATGTTGGAAAAACTAAAGAGGTTAAATGTTGTATGTCACCTGAAGGAGATGATTGGGCAGCAGCAACAGTTCCTCTTGCTTATACTACACCACCACTACTTGTACCGCTTACAACAACAACACCTCGTGTTGCTTCTCCTCAAATTCTACCACCCCTACTTCAACACCAACAACCTCCACAACAGCAATATGTTGCTTCAACACCTATGGCAGGTCAAAATGATATACTCAAAACTGTGGTGCAGGCATACTCAAAACTGTGGTGCAGACAATTAATGTTGGAAAAACTAAAGAGGTTAAATGTTGTATGTCACCCGAAGGAGATGATCCGGCAGCAACAACAACAGTGGATAAAAAAAGTTAAACACGTTTATGATTGTCAAAGAAAGTCCTGAACCTTGTCTTTTTACTATTGTTATTGGAATACGTTCAAATGGAATTCAGGTAGTGGGAGGGGAGTTTTCTTGTCGGGGATATTAATTCTAAATTAGGATTCCTTTTATTGCAGCCTTATTTTCATTACTCTAATTTAAGGTAATGGACCCAAATTTGGCTTGGAATCAACAATTTAATTGAATGAAAATACTAAAACCTGGACCTATTATGCTCGACTTTTTTATGACGCTTATGGAAGGACACGCCCAAGTGGTCGCGCGGCCAGATAGGCGCAAAGCTATAAATACCTGGAAAATCTCTGGACTTTTGGTACCAATCTCTTTAGCTCTATGAGAGGAATCGTTTGATACTAAATTTGGTATAGCTTGCTTTAGTTATAGCATTGTGCGCCTACTTGGCCGCTCTCCTACTTGGGCTGTACCCGATTGTGGACTTTATTTTTTCCTGATTTTTTTTTAAATTGTTTTAATGTTTGTTTTTTAAATTATTTTTTATTTTATAAAATTTATTTCCTGCAGCCTTATTTTCATTACTTTTAACAGGTTAAAACCTGAATTAATATTTTTACCCAATTTACATTTCCAAAATAATCAATATTTTGGCCAAAAAGGGCGCGCAGCCACAATTTTATTAAAGTTAATTAAAAGCCTCTCTCTATGTTTGAGTCATGGGCATCAGACGTTGGAACTCTATCTTTGGTTTATTTTTAAGTTGGCTAATTTTTGGAGGAAATAAAGAAGTTGAATTGAATAGAGAAGAAGAAAATTATGAAGGATGGGAAGGAGGAATTCAATTAGCCGAAAATTGGGAAAGAATAATTTTGGATCAAAAACATGAAGAAAATGGACAAAATAATTTTGTTAATCAACATATTAAGGTTTTAATTATTTTTGAATTATTTTTAAACGTCTTGAGACCCAACCGGGGGTTTCACTGTTTGAGGAAAAAATTCCGTTTTGGTGTTCTGGTTTCGGTTTTCAATATTTTCTTAGGATATATTTTCTTCGGTTTTCAATATTTTCTTAGGATATATTTTCTTCGGTTTTCAATATTTTCTTAGGATGTCCGGGGTTCGGTCCGGATCAGTGAAAAAATTCGAGGGAGGGTCGGGTTTTCGAAGATTTCTCGGGTCTGTTCAAAAAAGTTGAAAGTTTCGGATGACTCGTTACATCCTTGGTCCCACAGAGAAAATTTTTATCTACGCCCCTTGCCCGCCCCCCCCCCATATTTCTTCAAAATTCTAAAAAAATTAATAAAAACTTTTTTTACTTTTAGTTAAATCGCCTTTGTTTTGCAGCAACAGAATTGGGTATTCGGCCAAACCTTTTAATATTTTTATTGGCCCGTACATCTACTGCCTTTTCATTATATCAATTATTGTCTCCTGAAGTGCCTGTCAAAATTTTGGTTTTTGCTGGTAAACTTGCTGCTTCTGATTTTCCTGCAAATTCTCAGCCAGTTATTGTTCGTTCTGATCCTGTTTCGTTGCTCAATGCCATTGCCAATATTGTAAGGTTTTAATTTTTTTATAAATGGGAGACGGACAGACCCGTGCTCAGGGATGTCATGGGTTGAGGAAAAGGTTGGGTCGGGTTTAAAAAATTTTCTTCGGGTCGGGTTCCGGGTCGAAAGAAGTTCGGCTCAGTAAGGGTGATTAAGAGGGTAAAAGGGTTCGGATCTAAAAAAGTAAAGGTTTCTGGTGGCCATTGACACTCCTGGCCAGTTCATACAGGAGAAATACTGGCTACGTGCCTGGGAGTGGAGGAGAGGCTTCTGTGCACGAGTTGGGCTCGTTAAAGGAAACCCCTTCCTTTTTAGTCCAAAAAGATGCATTTTCATCTTTTCTAGTCTCTCAACAACCCAGCAAATTGGTACTTACTTCAATTTCTCCATTACTTTTCGAATTGGATAATTCAGCTTTAACCACGCATTTTTTAAATGTTGAATTTATTCGAACCGAGGAAGAAATTAAATTGTTAGAGGAAGAAACAGAAAAGTATTATTCAAAAGAAGAGACTGGATGGCCTGTTGGAATTATGGATGCTTCAAAACCATTAAATCGATTTCAAGGTTTTTTTTAAAAAATTTTTTGGTACTTCCTTTTATGGGAAGGGGAAGAAGAATATATGGAGTAGGAGTGTATTTGGGAGTTGTATCAGAACTTTAGGTTACTAGAGCTCTCTCCATTCCATTAAAAGGTTATTTTGGGAATATAGGAACCTATTGAAAGAGATCATACGTGGGAGGGGAAGGAGAATATGTCGGAGGGAAAGACGATAGTGCTAATTTTTATTCAACACTAAAACTTTCATTTTTCAGCTCCAGTTTTTCAGCACCACCATCACAATTACAACAACAATTTCTACATCCTCCTCAACGTCTCCCATTAAATTTTAAAGATGCTGAAAGTCCAAATTTAACTCCAGGTTTTTTTAAAATATTTTTTCCCTTTTTTAATTCCAATCCATTTTTTTAAGATTCAATAATTATTCCTCGACATAAACATAAAAAGCTGCGTTCCCTCTTCTTTCAATGTCAACATGTTTTTCCTAGGCCACTTTCTCTCATACTTTCATCATTAACAACAACAACCTTTCAATATCATTAACAACAACCTAGGCTTCCATTGAACCTACAACAACAACTTCATCATTCTTCTAATTTATCTTCTAGAGATGCAACAGAAAATGAAGTAAAAAGTCGAATTTTTTAAGTTCAGTTTATTTTTTTCACATTTTTAAAAGGTTATAACTTTAATTTATTTTAGAAACGATTGCTCCCCAACAGCAAGGATTACCGCCGCCACTTCTACCTTTCCCACAACAAGTTCCTCTTGCTTATACTACACCACCACCACTTGTACCGCCTACAACAGCAACACCTCGTGTTGCTTCTCCTCAAATTCTACCATCAGCACTACTTCAACACCAACAACCTCCACAATATCAATATGTTGCTCCAACACCTATGCCAAGTCAAAATGATATACTCAAAACTGTGGTGCAGCCAATTAATGTTGGAAAAATTAAAGAGGTTAAATGTTGTATGTCACCCGAAGGAGATGATCCGGCAGCAACAACAACAGTGGATAAAAAAAGTAAACCCTATGGAAAATTTTTCTAAAATTTTTTCCAATACTTGTTCAAACGCAGGTTTATTAAGGATTACTTTTTGAGTTTAACTGCTAAATTTAAGGTTGAAGGAGGCTCTACACTTTTTTCCATGGACTTTTTTGATGAACCGGCTTATTTAACTCAAACATCGCAGCCTTGTCTTGAGGCGTGCATTTCTTCTCTGGAAGACTGTTATTGTATAGCACAATCTTATAGAGCTGAAAAATCTCGAACGAGGCGACATTTGGCTGAATACTCTCATGTTGATGTGAGGCAGAATGTCCATTTATTACTTTTGAAGGTTTTTTGAATTTTTAGAAAATTTTTTTAATTTTTTTTTATTTTTTAGAATTAATGAATAAAATTGAGGATCTTGTTTCTGACGTAGTCGAGAGGGTTTTGAGCGATGCTGAAATTTTCTGAATTAATATTACAATACTGGGAAACGTCAAAGGTTTTTTTAAAAGTTTTTTGATAGTTTACTGGTTTTGTTGAAAAAGAGGAAGAAATGTTCCTTCGTTATTTTTGTGGTTTGTCAATAGGCGAGACTCCTGAGAGAACTCCCAGAGATTCGACCTGGTCGAATTTAGTCCGTGATTCAGAATAAATAAAAGGTGAATTGATATTGGACTCGGCAAACTCGATTGCCTACTTACAAACCTAACTTCCTCAGATTTTTGCAGGGATTAGTAAACTAAATAATTACCAAAATATTCTTAAATTAATTTTTCCTATTTTTTAGAAAAATTTCCTTCATTAAAACGCCTATTTCTTTGAATGACTTATGCTGATGCAATTGAATGGCTGCGCAAAAATAATGTAAATAACGAAGAAGGGAAGCCGTTTAAATTTGTAGAAGACATTTCAGAGGGTCCTGAACGACAAATGACTGATACAATTGGACAGGTTTTTTTTTAATTTTTTTTAAGTTCAAAAAATATTTTTTAAGCAATCTTGCTGAATCGTTTCCCAGTTGGAATCAAAGCTTTTTGCATCGTTCTGATCTCTTTAAATTATTTTTTTATAAAATTTTTTTTTAATTTTTATTTATGTACTATAATTTTATTTTATAATTTTTTTATACCTACTTAATGTTCTCTTTTAATTATTTTACCATTTCTTCTAATTTTTAGACCAAAATTTCAATTTACTTTAATTAAATTATTTTACAATAATGAGCGAGGATCAAAAAATTATTAAACATGAGGGTGTTAAATATTATAAAAAGGTTTTTTTTAACTTTTGTAAATCAAAAAAATAAAATAAATCTTTTAGGAAGGTCAATGGCATCGTTTGGTTCCAGTTGAAGATGACAAAGTGCCTGTTGCTAAAAAATCCAAAGTAAACCTTCAACCAGAAATTCTACTTGATATATTTAAATTTCTCTTTTAGAAAGGTCAATATTATCGTTTGGTTCCAATTGGAGAAGACAAAGTGCCTGCTGACATTAAAACCAAAAAATCCAAATTAAACCTTCAACCAGAAATTCTACTCGATATATTTAAATTTCTCAACTTTGTTCAATTATTGGCTGTTCAACAAACAAATTTTTATTTCAAAAATTTTATTGACACACATGAAAAGCTATTGGCAAGGAAGAAATACGAAAGACTTGAATTTGTAGGTTTTTTATAAATTGATTCCCTAATAATGCACGGCTCCGGGCCTGATCCGGCCGGATTTTTTCAGAGCCTCTGCACTTGCTCTGTCCCAAATACGTTGTTTCTTTCCCAATCTCAGAATATTTTTGGACCATATCAATTTAGAAAAATCGGAGCTTAAAAATTGCTAGTGATCCAAAATGCAGTTTCCGGACTCGAAAAATAATTCTGCATGCTCTCTAATAATCATTTTTTTAGATTATTCCTGACCAATTATATTTCGATGTAGATAGGTATGAAGATTATAAGCCATATCCTAAACTTTATTACTTGGAATTGGTTGAAAATGGATTTTATGAAAGCGAGTGTGGATTCATTAAACTAGACCCTCAACTTTATGATTTCAAGTTGAGTGAACAACTTAAAGAAAAGGTTTTCTTAAATTAACGTTTTCATTTTAAACATTGATTTTAGTGGAAGGCCGGAATAGAAAACTCAATTCCTATGTTTTTAACAGGGGACGATGTTAACAAGAGACGACGACCCATTAATACTATTTTCTGCGAATTGCTACATGATTACAAAGTGGATAAAGGTTACTTATTATTTGAGGTTATGGAATATGTAATTATGAGTCATTTTTTTTGAGGGTACAGCCCAAGTAGGCGCGCGGCCAAGTAGGCACAAAGCCACGGCCAAGTAGGTTGATTATAAAATGACCTTTTTGATTATAAAAATGATGGTTGTTCATTACCGGTTATTAACTGTTACCCCCGGTTTTCGGTTTTTGACTTACTCCTCGGTAACCGAAGCCAGTTTTGGCTAAATTTCTCATACAGAATATTCAAGTCAAACTTTATCCATTTAAAATCCTTTAATGAAATATTCTTACATCACAATTACCTACTGATAAACCTCAAAAAACCAAAAGAGCACTTCACTAATTTTTTCTAGTTTAATCCGAAACCGGTCGATTTAGGCCGGTTCTCGGTTTCCGCCTGTTTTGACCCCTGGTTTTCGATTTATGACCAAAACATCTGGTTTTGGGGCGGCTAATTGACCGTGAACAACCTTAATAAAAATCATCAACAATTCAAAAAAATAAAATTTTATGTTTGGCCGAAAGAAACTTGGCATTTGTCAAACCTTACCAAAAAATTATTCTCTAATTAAAAAATTTTTATTTAGCAATATACTATTTACAATTGACAATGTTTCCAAAAAGCATTGTGGAAATGAAATTTGCTCGCTATTTATTACAGCTATTTTTCAACTGTGCCTTCGAGTATTATTTAATCGATTATACAATTAATCCACAAATGATTAAATTATTATTTGATGAAGACACAACAACAATTAAACCTTTACAAATCCATTCTCAATTGGGAGAAGTATTTCTTCGAGCTGATCATGAATTAAATTTTGCTGTGAATCATCTGATTTGTAATCAATTTAGAGTTCGTGTTTATGATAGTGACGTCGAGCCCGACTTAATTGATCTTCAATGCTTTGTCGACGTGGAAAATTGTATAGACATCTTGATTGAAATTTTGAAAAATGAAGGAAATAAATTTTTTGAGATTACTTATGATACTCTTGATTCAAGAATTTACAATTCTATTATAAAGGTTTGTACAAGTTTATTATAAAAATGGGGCTGGTACACCGAAATGAAAGATTTTTATTTATACTCCATAGCAGGGATCGCACCGGAAAATTTTTTTATTTTTGTCGGGAATTCCCATTCCCGAAAATTTTCAGAAAAATCGGGAATTTCCCCAGATATCTAGCGTTGAGATGCCTGCTCCACAGGCATTTTCGCACTTATAGAAAGTGGTACCAATGATTCATCTCACCATGAGACGAATCGAATGTCATATGTTTCGATCTGTTTAGAGTTGGCACTTGACTAAACTACATCCAAAAAATTTTTAGACCCCTTATTACATTAAATATACTGCAAGATTTTTAGAAAAAATTTTATTTAAATTAATTCACATTTAGCATATTGAAACATCACAAGATCTTTCTAAAATGGCGAAATATATTGAATTTGATGTAATGTATGGATCTCTTATTTCGAGTAAAAATGCAACAAACATCAAAACCAAACTTAAAGAAGATATTAAAACAACAAAATTTCTACTCTCCAATGACCACAATCCAAAAATTAAATTTTCTGTATGCATTGAAGACAAATATAAGCGTATTGATGTGTCAAGTTATGAAGAAGACATAGAGTACTATATACCGGGAGTTAGAGTTGTGATTAAGAGAATTAAATGATAAATTCATTTATAGACTTATTGTTAGGTTTATACCGTATTTGCTAAAATAATAACCCAGGGTAATTATTGTTTCAACCTCTCGCTGGAGGGGGTAATTATTCAAGCTTTTTTTAAAAAGCTATTTATAACTATTTTTAGGAGGGGCAATTATTTTTTCTATCTCTGGCTGTAGAGCGTAATTAATAGGGCGGGGGTAATTATTTGAGAGAGGGACATTATTTCAGCATTTGCGGTAGTTTAATTTATTTTTCTCGTTTATTTTAAAAAATTTGCTTTAATTTGACTTTTTAGATACAATTCAAAAATGTTTTTCACAAAACATAAAATAAAGATAAAAAATTTTAAAAATAGAGATTGAGCAATAAACAATTTTCTCTGTAATTTTTACTGTTTTGTTTTATCAAGTTTTAAAATCAAAACTTGTTTTTACGGAAATTAATATTGCTCTCAATCTCTATTTAAACAAAACATTTTAGTAAGGATTGTTTTTGACTAGTGGAATGTTTTTCTAGGTATAGATAGTTTTTGGAATTACATATTAAATTTTTGGGTATATAACTTTTACATTAATAGAAAAAAAGTGATAGGACAAGACAGGAATATTTCTTAAGAGGAAAAAAATTTTTAGAAAAAAATTTTAGAACTAAATAAAGGGAATTTTTGTTTTTTTTTTGTATTGCAAAAAGCAAAAATATTTTTCAAATCATTCTATAAATTCTCTAATAGAACCACATGTCTTCAACTATTTTTTAATTCTCTCATAAATTGTGCTTATATTAGATTTGGGGAGCTTCCATTTAGAGAGGGGTGATTCTATTAAAGAATTTACGGGGTCTATCTCATCAAAACCCTTCTCTCTCTCCCTATCTCTTTAAAAAAACCTCTTTTCTCATTTATTCATGCTGTTTCTTACTCAAATCTCGCAAATTATTCAAAAATCGTTCCGGTGTAATTATTTGATCAGAACCAATAACAACTTCCCAGGCCTTTTGTGAACGTGTTACTTCATATGCCGAGCGCATTTCAGAAAAGGTTACACCTCCAACAATAAAAATTATTAGACGAGGGCCTGAACGCATTTGTGAATAACGTTGGTCTTTGTGCCATTGGCCATAACGAGCACTTGTTGGAGCTCTTTAAAAAGAAAAAAAAAGTTTTTTTGTTTCCTCAATTACTAGGTCATAAAAAGGTATTTTACAGAATCCCTTACCGATATGGCTGACTAATTTGACGCCCAGCCAAAAATGGAAAGTGTTTAATGTCCAATTTGTCTTCTATTGCATCCTCCATTATATCTTTAATTATAGGGACCCAACGAGATTCACGGTAAACTTGTTCATTTCCACGTTCACGACGAGTTGGTGTCCAAACACGCTTTCTGCCTTGCTTAAAAATTTAAAGAAAAATTTTTTTAATTAAAAGAAAAATTTCAAAAAATTAATTTAATAGTTTAATTTCAGAAAATAAAATCCCAACGCCAAATCATTTAAAAAATTTTAAAAAATCCGAAAAAAAATTTTGGGACAAAATGTCCACTTTTTTTTGTCCTCCTGAAAATTCCCTACAAAATATTCACTTACATCAATAGTAATATTCAAGCTTAACAAAGAAGCATTTACAAGCGTTTCCTTTTCCATATGTGGAATGTTTGCATGTTGCAACAATTTATTTAAATTTTCATCGGTTATACCTTGAGAAAAAAATATTTTTTGAAAATAAAAAAAATAAAATAAAACCATTTCTATGAAGAATATAAAGAAGAATAAGACGCAATCTATCCTCCATTTTCACAGCTGGATCAATTAATAGAGGCACCATTAATTTCATTGGGTCCTTAATACGTTCACCTTCTGCATCCATTCCCAAAGCCAAATCCTTTAAGAGAAAAATTTTTTTTCGAAAAAAACTTGAAAATTCAAGAAATTTCTTGAAATTTTTGAAAATTTCCAAAAAAAAATTTTTTGGAAAACCCCCAAAAATTTCAAAAAAATTTTCTTAGAAAAAAAATTTTTCCTCCCACAAAACCTGTTCAACTTTACAAAGCTTATCAATTCCATTTTTGTATTTATTCATACATTCTTCAGCCAAATGAAAATGTGTACTTCAAAAAAAACAATTTAAAACAAAAAATAAATTCAAATTAAACCTAAATTTATTCAATTCTTTTTGGTATTGTGGAGCCTTTTTAATTAGCAAAGACAAATCTTTGATAGATTTTGCATCGCTTGGCATTTTCTTATTTTCTGAGAATTTTTTCAATCCACGAGTTACCTTTGAAAATATTTGAAAAATTTTCAATAAATTTTTAAAATTAAGATATCGAAAATTAAGATACCCTTCGAGCAAGTCTCCCCCACAAAATTAAAAAAAAATGCTAGAGGTGTTCCCTCTCCAAAATTAAATCCATCCTTCAAGAGAATCCATCCTTCACAAGAATTACAGCTTATCCCAAAAAGAAGGTTAATAGGAAGGCAAAGGTGGCTAGTGGTTGGAGGACCAGAAGAGGTCGAGAGCTATCCGTCTCCAAAAATTCCCCCCCCCCCCTCCAAAAAAATTTTAAATAACAAAAAAACCTCTTGAGAAACCACAGCAATATGTTTATGTCTATTCTCTATCCACAAATCATCACTTTCATCCAACAAAACTTCTTTATCCACAGATTCTGCCCCTCCAGTTTCATAACGATAAACATCATTTTCGATATTTAACAAGTCTTGAGTCATTGCTTGTAAAGTTAATTCGTGCAATAAAGGAGAAACCGCATCAAATCCTCGATCAATTATTATTAGTTGAGAACGAGCTTTTTCTGTTCCTTCACCCATAGAAGGCTCATCAGCTTTGTAAGCATCCAATTTTGCTTCAACCAAATGTCCCAAATCAACGTTACGTTCAACATCAGCACGATAACTAGGATATTTTTTAATTAGGAAGAGAAATTAAGAAATCAACCCAGAAGAAAAAAATCCAAAAGAAAAAATCATCCCAGAAGATTTATCCCACTCCCTAAAGATAACGTCCTAGTGGGCAAATGACCCTGAAGATAAGCGTCAAAAATATCAACACTAAAAAATTAAAAAAGACTTGGACGCTGACCTCTATGGATTTGAATTTCTGGGGTGAACCCCAAATTAATTTTTACACTCTTGTTTAAGTAAGAAAAATCGAGAAAGTTTACGTCCCCTTCTTGCTTCCTAGCCTAAAGAAAATAAATTCCAAAAAATACCGAATAGACGGATACTCTCCAAGAGTAGCACAAATCGTTGCTATTTGCTCCGCTATACGGTCCAAGTTCTCCGTCAGGCTGCCTGGCTTTTGAGGGTTGTAATACAGAAAAAAAGTCGATGGCGAATCGAGAGTATAAACCTCAAAAATTGGTAGAAAATTCAAAAAAAATCTTCAAAAAAATTACTTGCGATTCATAAGGAGTAAAAGCAATATTTATTTCCTTCAAAGTCTTTATATGACGAGCAGCTGGACTACGCGAAAGAGTAGAAAAGAGTTGATCTGGACAAGCTTCAGTAAAAAACACGTGTGCACATTTGTATAAATTGTGAGAACCAGAAAAGTCTTGCGTCAATTTATCGACAGATTCCTTTAAAAGAAATTTTATTTAAATTTGGAAAAAGTCAAATTATTATTATTATTTAAATTTGGAAAAGTCAGTCACTTAAATATGAGTGACACCAAAAGCAAAGTGCGGTCCCACAGCCATGAGGCTGAGATAAAAAAGATGGGATACAAGTTTAAACTGTCAGGAATTACATAAGGGTTCAAAGTGGTTGAAAAGGTTAGGTCTACTGATTCTGGACAAACTTATGACCACCTGAAACCACGATGTACAAAAATAAAAGTTTCACTTTCAATCCTTTTTGAATAAAAATGGAATTTTGAAAAATAAAGGGGGGACCGCAAACTTAACTATTACTAAAAAAGCAAAAAAACCTTTGTTGGAGAAATCAAATAAATAGCATCAATAGTAGGCAGAGGTTCTCTTCGTTTATTCAGATCCTCAACAATAGTAACTCCTTGATCCATTACATCATGCATTTTGCAACAAGCACTTAACATTCTCATTGCAAGTCGATCAACTATTAAAGCATTCCAAGCCCCTCCCTTTTCGGGTTTGTGTAGAGGGGCAAGCACTTCGTTGATTAATTCTTAGAAGAAAATTATAAAATTTCAAGAAAGATATCATAATTGCTCTAATAAAAGCCCACTCTCTAATAGAAGCCCACCAATGAAAAATAAGCCCAGTAAAGGGATATAGTGAAAAATAGAAGCCCCGGGGCTTTAAATAGAGCCTCTACGGTAATTTAAAAAGAAAAACTTACTTTGTCCAACAATTGATTTTAGCGTCATTTTAATATTTCAATTAAATTACAGAAGCAAATTTAATCTGAAAAATAAAAATTTTAATTTTAAAAAATCAAAGAGAGAGTAAAAGTGAATGACTAAACAATTGTGAGTCATACATTTTTTATTTAAATTTAACTCAAAAACGTGTAAAAGTCGTCAAACTCCCCATCCTTTTTGCTAAACAAACTTGCCAAATAAAAACAGGATATCGGATTTTGAAAGATTTCGAGACTAAAATTTTGAAAATAGTATGTAAAACGATGAGAGTGACGTTAAAGAAAGAGAGTAAAAACTTTTCGCCAAACTTTCTTTCAAATAATTAATTATGGCACTGAAATGGCCGTTTTATTTGTGCACTGAATTTATTCGCACTGAAACGACATTCTACTGAAATGATTTTTGAGTCTCATTTCTCTCACTCTCTCTTTAAAAAACACCCTTATGACTCTATTGGTCATTAATTAATGGCTGCTTTTTATAAGAAAAGAGCATGTAAAAACAAGAGAGTGAGAGAGAAATAGAGTAATTTTCTTAAATTGATTTCTGCTTGTAGTGACGGTTATTTTTCCTGTTTATTTTTCTTTTTTGGCTTGTTTTAGTTTAATTTCTTTACTTTTTTTAGTTGTGTTCGTTTGCTTTTAAAATTTTTTAAACAAAAAAACTTGACTGACATTTAATTATGGCTTCTTCTGGTTTTAGCGTTTATGGTATAAAAAATTAAAGAAATGGGGAAATTTGGGTGAAATTTTGGGGGAAATGAATTAAATAATCCAAAAAATCATGCAAGACAACACATTTTTTGCTTTAAAAAGGCATCAAAGCTTGTGTGGAATCATCAATTTTCTGATCTCCGTGGGTATAAATGCTGAAAAGCTTTAAAAGGTTTGTGTGTTTGTTGTTTTAGTATGACTTACATGCATTCTTTTTTTACTTTTTTGAGAGTTTCTGTGCCTTTTTGACTTGATAAACGTTTAAACTTTAAAAAAGTTTTGTCTAAAACTAATTTTTATATTTTCCAGTTGGTAACATTCCGTATAACACCACGGAGACTGATCTTGGAAATATGTTCTCGTCTTGTGGCGTTGTGACTAACGTTCGGTTTGTTTTCAACTTTTTGTTAAAAATATGGTTGTGGTGTAGTGGGTTAGTTGTTATCTCCATGGCTTCTAGAGGTCGTGGGTTCGAACCCTGTTGGGGCAAACATTTTTTAATTTGCTTTTTCCTGGGCGTATAATATATCGTTCGACGCGTCTCGTCGTTCTGAATCCGATGAAATTAAAATTGGGATTAATAGCTTCTAAACAAAATTATAATTTTATTTTTTAGCATTGTCATCGACCGTAACACCAATCGTCCAAAAGGCTTCGGCTTTTGCGAGTTTCAGGACCAACAGGGGGCGGATGACGCTGTTGCCAAAATGAATGGAACTGAGATGAATGGCCGTCCGTTACGCGTTAGTTATGCCAACAACAAGTGAGAAGACTTGAAGGTTTGGGAGATGTCAGAAGAATTTTAACGATTTGTGGAGACTTTTTTTGGATTTTGGCTTTTAATGTTATCAGAAAATTTTCATTTTGTTTTTCTTTGCCTATCCATTGATTTAAAAACTGCTTTTGTTTTAAATAAAAATCGTTAAACTTGGATTGTTGTCTTTTAAGTTTGGTTGACCTCCAATATTTTAAGAATCTTTAGTTTTTGTAACCTCAGTTTATTGACTTGACTTTCCATTTTTACGTTGAAAACACATCAAAGATGACCACAACAATTCCTGGTTCGTTGGTTAATAAGACCAAAAAGCACTTTATGGGAATGTCCGCCCCAGCTGGCTATGTTGCTGGTGTTGGAAGAGGCGCTACTGGATTTACTACAAGATCTGATATTGGACCTGGCGTTGATTTGCCCGCTGATCCTGGGATGGCTGGGGCAGCTGCAGGGGCAACTCCAGCTAAAAAGCCTAAAGATGACGATAATGATGAGCCTGAAGATTTAAATGACGCTAACTACGATGAGGTTTGAGTTTTGTTTTAATGTCTGTTAGTTTGGTTTAGTGTGAAAGGTTTTAGGCCGCATAAGGGATAGGTCGCGGGTTCGAGTCCGCTCGGCGCCCAGTATTTTTTTACTTTTAGGAAATAGGTTTCTGATTGGTTTTTATTATTCTCATCGTGTTCCAGATTTTTTCTTGATAAGGGAATTATTCGTTTGTGTCATTTTGTTGTTTTGATGCTTGTGATAGGTCATGGGTTCGCATCCGCTTGGGTGACATTATTTTTTATTTAATGTGTTTTTTTGTTTAAGATTCCTTTTTTTGACTCCCCGACATTCTCGTTCCATAAACATTACCTTCTAAACTTTCCAATTTTTAGTTCGAAGGTTATGGAGGAAGTTTATTCGCAAAAGACCCTTATGATAAAGATGACCAAGAAGCTGACGAAATTTATCACGCTGTTGATATGAGGCAAGATGAACGTCGAAGGGATTATCGAGAAAGAAAGTATAAAGAAGCAGTCGAAAACTACAGAAAAGAAAGGCCCAAAATTCAACAACAATTTAGCGATTTGAGAAGACAATTGGCAACAGTCAAGGAGGAGGAATGGGCATCAATTCCTGAAGTTGGTGATAGCAGAAATAGAGCAAAGAGGAATCCAAGAATGGAAACGTTTGTTTTTTGTAATTTTTGGAGGGGATTTAAGGGTCCTTTTTCGACCTTTTAAACTCCCCATCCCACAATAGCACTGTCACTGGTTACTCGAAATTTTGTACTTTTATCGACCTAAGCCACTGATTTGTGAAGCCCGACCCGACTTCTCAAACCGTGACAACCTTCTTAATACATAATAGAGTTATTAGTTTCACCAGATTCTTGGTCCATCAAAAATCTTCTGCTTTTAGTTTCGGTTTGTAATTGCCATCCTACTCAATGGTCATGAATATAGGCATTTCTTTTTTAATAACCGCCCGGTTAATTTTTCCCTGTGACGGTTTCTCTTCTCTCTTTAACCCGCCACAGGGAAAATTAACCGGACGGTTAACCGGTTTTGTTCCATTCTCCTTTCTAGCACAAGAAATCTTTTCTTTTTTAGTTTCACGCCTGTACCTGACTCTGTTATAGCTTCAGCAATGGGCTATGGACAAATGAACACAGTAATGGATTCAAGTATCCAAAATGGAATTTCTACTCCTTATTCTGGTTTTCAATCTTCTTTGGGTGGCGGCTTTCAATCAACCTTTGGCGGATTCCAATCAATTTTAAATCCTGGATTGGTCACTCCAGGTTGGAAGACTGGGTCAGGAACGTCTTCGGACTTGGATTTGCGCAAAATTGGACAAGCAAAAAATCGGATTATGGATATTAGACTTAACCAGGTTAGTAAAGCTTTTTTAATTTATGAGGGAATTAGCTAGAGTATCTTGATCTTACTACTAAATGCCACATAAAGTCATTCTCTTACCGCCAGGCTTTTCTTTTAATGAAGCTCTTAACGAGTTAAATAGTAGTAGCCTTCCCTAGCCCTGTTATTTTCTCTCCCTAAAAAATATTTTTTAAATCAAAATAAATTGCCAAATGAAGAGATTGTAAAAGATTTGACGCTCAGTAAAAACTAACACATTTTTTAATCGCAAGTAGGCTTAAATGGTTTTGCTTATTTGCATATTTTTGGGATGGAGAAATCATTCTTAATTTTTTCTCATTGTCCAGCATTTGTAAATGTTAAAAATGTTTGGGCATTGATGAGTAATTTTGGACAAAACTCATTTTTATTTAAATTCCATCTCGAAAAATTTTTGATTAAAAAATGTGTTTGTAATTTACTGATAGGCGTATGATCACTTTTAAGTTTTCAATCTGATGGCAATTTTCTCTCAATAAAATTAAATTTTATTATAAGGAAAAAGGTAGAGATTCAACAGGCTAGCATTTATAAAACACTTACTAGGCATGGGTTTAAGATTTATTAAAAGAGAAGGTGAAAGCAATGCCCCGGTAACTCGTCAGTAGGGGGACCACTCACCTGGACATGGTAAGCGAAAGCACCTTGCAATTACTGCTCATGTCAGTAACTCACAGGATGTGCTCTGGGCTAAACTTTTGTCCCTCTTATTTATTTTTCTCTCCTTATTAATTTCTTCTTTCTTAAGGTTTCGGATTCTGTTTCTGGCCAAACTGTGGTAGACCCAAAAGGTTATTTAACTGATCTTCAATCAATGATACCTCAATTCGGAGCGGACATGCAGGATATTAAAAAGGGTCGAATGCTTTTGAAATCCTTGCGTGAAACAAACCCAGAAAAACCTCAAGGTTCAAACTTATTTTGAAAGTTTAAATAAATATTTTTAAAGGTTGGGTAGCCTCTGCACGTTTAGAAGAAGCTAGTGGTAAATTACAAGCAGCGAGGAATTTAATAATGGAAGGACTTGAAAGGATTGATAAATCTGAAGATTTGTGGCTTGAAGCAATTCGATTACACCCTCCTAATGTTGGAAAGAATATTGGTATTTTATTTAGAAATATATTTTGGTTAGAAACACATTAGGTTAATGAAAGAGTTTGTGGGGTATTTGATGGTGATTTAGGGGAGTGGGAAGTTACCTGAAGGCTGAAAACTTTCGACATTAGTTCACAGTCCAGCCCCTGACTTTTCTTTCAACCCAACCCATCCCTTCTCTGAATAGACTGACATGAGTTTAATTGCTGTTGGCTGTCATTAATTTGATTTTTATTGTGATATTTTTCCTTTTAAAATTCACCTAAAATTTTTATTTTTTTAAGTTGCCAATTCGGTTCGTGCTCTTCCCCATTCAGTCAAAATTTGGTTAAAAGCTGCTGACCTTGAAATTGATGTTAAAGGCAAAAGAAAAGTTTTGCGTAGAGCTTTGGAAAGTAATCCAAGCTCAGTTCGTTTATGGAAAGCCGCGATAGATTTGGAAGATCCTGAAGATGCTCGAATGCTTTTGTCTAGGGCTGTTGAATGTTGCCCTTTAAGTACTGAATTGTGGCTGGCTTTGGCGAAATTGGAGACTTATGAAAATGCTCAAAAGGTTTTCTTTTTAAATTAGGGTTGGCTCGACTCCCTGTCCTCGATGGATAATTTTTAGATCATTCCATGGCCCAAATTCCGTCATGCGCTCCCCGTAAAGGTACTTTCAATATGTGAAAAAATAAAAAAACCATTCTCATTTTAACGCAGTTACCGATATTATCAAATTAGAGCTGCCCCCACCGGCAATGATTTCCCCGTTCTCCTGCCTGCTATTCCACTGTGTTCTCCGACGGGTCGCGGACAAACCCTGTTTTTTAACGCTCGTTTTTTGATTAAAAAATTTCTTTTTAAAGGTATTAAACAAAGCTAGAGAAAATATTCCAACAGAAAGAATGATTTGGATTGCAGCTGCAAGACTAGAAGAAACTCGTGGACAAGCTAAAAGAGTCCCAATTTTAATTGAACGTGCTTTAATTTCTCTTCGTTCTGCACAAGTTGAAATAAACAGAAAACAATGGTTGGAAGATGCTGTTGAATGTGAGGCTGCTAATTGCCCATTGACTAGTAGAGCTATTATGTAAGGTTTATTTTTTACTTAAAAACTTAGGAGCGGTTCTGTTGTGTTCCAGGCTCCTATAACTTAAGAAGTGTCGGCCTATGCTTCATTTTCTTGGTACCATGAACGTTAAGAGGTTGTCATCCGTTCATGAGTTATGCTGATTAGAATTAGTGATGTCACGGATTACCCGGAACCATGGCTTTTTTCGACACTAAACTCGTTCCGGCTTTTTTCTTAACCCGTGACTTCCCTGATTAGAATTCTAACACAACTACTAATTGTGAATTATATATACCCGAACCATTTTTTTTTAACAGACAAAATGTCATAGCAATTGGTGTTGAAGACGAAGATAGAAAACACACATGGATGGAAGATGCAGAATGGTTTATAACACAACATGCAATACAATCAGCTCGAGCAGTATATTCCTACATTTTAAATATATTTTCAAAGAAGAAAAGTATTTGGACTCGAGCAGCATTTTTTGAAAGAGAATTTGGTTCTGTTGAAAATTATGAAGAAATTTTGAAGAAGGCAACAGAAAATTGTCCAGATGCTGAAAATTTGTGGTTAATGCAAGCAAAATCGAGATGGCAGGGAGGGGATGTTGAAGGTGCTCGTCAAATTTTAGCCCAAGCTTTTAGACATAATCCTAATTCTGAAGAGATTTGGATGGCTGCGGTTAAACTTGAATCGGAAAATGAGGTTTTTTTTGGATTTTTTAAAATTTATAAGGGGTTTAAAAAATGTAGGGGGTCTGAAAAAATCCAAAAAATATTTTTTATTTCTAATTTCGTTAATTTTCTATAAATAAAAAATAAATACCCTCAATGGGTATCGAACCTTCGACCTATTTTTTTCAAGTCTAGTTGTTTACCCACTACACCAAAGAATTTCTTGGGGGGAGAATTGTTGATGAGAGGAATATTCTTGTTTTTGACTTCTATAGATTTTTAAAAAAAAATTTCTGATTTTTTAAAATTTTTATTTTTCAATTAGGAATTTGATCGTGCACGAAAATTACTTGAACGTGCTCGAAATTCTGCACCTTCCCCCCGTTTTTGGATGAAATCTGCACGTTTAGAATGGTGTTTAAATGATTTGGTTAGAGCAAAAGAATTGTTAAATGAAGGAATTAAATTATATCCAAATTTTGAAAAATTTTATATGATTTTTGGACAAATATTTACACAAGAAGGCAATTTTGATGAAGCAAGAAAATTTTATATTGAAGGAACTAAAAGAAATGTTCATTGTATTCCTCTATGGTTATTGTTGGTTAGACTAGAAGAATTTAGAGGAAGACATATAAAAGCGAGAAGTGAATTAGATATTGCAAAAACTAAGAATCCAAAATGTGATGAATTGTGGTTGGAAGGTGTTAGAATTGAAATGAGAGCTGGACAGAGAGAATTGGCACAATCAATGTTGGCTAGAGCTTTGCAAGAATGTGAACATTCTGGTTTGTGTAGATTTTTTTAAATTTTTTTTTGGGGAATTTTGAGGGAAAGGAATATTTTTGTGAATATTTTGGAAACTCGCTTTAAGGTGGAATTTTTTTAATTGGTTGACCACTGTGTATTAGAGCTTCTTAAGAAGAGGGCCCCTCTTCCAAATCGATTCCATAGCTACGCCCTTGATACCTACAAGTAAGGTCAACCTTTTATTATTTTGATACTTGACCATGGTTAAATTTAAAAAAAAATTTGACTTTTTTAGGAAGACTTTGGGCAGAAGCTATATTCATTGAATTACGCCATGCTAGAAAAACAAAAATTGTGGATGCATTAAAGAAATGTGAGCATGATCCTCATGTACTTTTGGCTGGTTCTAAGCTTATTTGGGCTGAAAGAAAATATAAAAAAGCGAGGGAATGGTTTATGCGAACAGTTAAAGTTGAACCTGATTTTGGCGATGCTTGGGCATATTTTTATAAATTTGAACAAATTCATGGAACTCAGGTTTTGTATTTTTTAAATTGAAGTTCGACCTCACTATAAGATGGACCTCCGGGATTGGAATTTTATCCTATAATGAGATTTTCAAATGAGGATATTACTAACAATGGAACCTCTCTCGATTTTCCCATGTAAGACAGCTTCCCCAACCCTTGGGCTATCAAATTAAAAAAAGCATATTAAATTAGATGGGTTGTGTTATCCAAGACCCGGACTTTTTTCGAGCCAGATCCGTCTGAAAAAGATTTTAAATCCGATTTGAACCCCGACCTTTACTTTTTCAACCCGGCCCATCCCTGGTCTACACAATAGAGTTAATTATTCTCTTTTTAGGAACAAAAAGATGAAGTAAAGAAGCGTTGTTTACAAGCAGAGCCACGCCATGGAGAACTTTGGCAAGCAGCATCAAAAGATGTTAAAAATTGGCGTAAAAGAACAGGGGAACTTTTAGAAATAATTGTTGTTAAGTTGGAAATACCTACATAAATTATATATTTATTTTTTGATCTCCCCCTTCCATTTTGTCAGAAAGTATATTTTTATTTTGGATTAAAGGAAATTTTAAAAAAAGATTTTCAATTTTCGATGATTCGTTTAATAACGAAATTTTTTTTGGCTCTTCTTTAGGATATGCGTTCCATGATTTTTTATGCGTCCCATGTTGTTTATGCGTCCCATAAGTATATCCGTCCCATTGGAAGTCTGGGACGCATATTCTTTGATGCTTCGCGTGTCCTAAAGTATAGCCATTTTTTCTTTTATTCAATTTATCTTTCAAAAAAATTTTTCCCTTTCAGAAAAATGTTCTTCAAACAATTTATAGCAGCTTGCAACCAAAACATAATTCCTGTTCGTTATGAAAGATCTTTTAGAGGATTAAAAAAGTTGATGGAAAGGCAAGGTTTGGTACCTTTTAGTGAAGATGATCAGGCTTTTAATTGTTTGTTTTTTTTTATTTTTTGGAATAATTTTAGTTCTTAAGATTTGGAAAGGAGGGCTGGAATGTTGAAGCCAGTGCATACCGTGGAAGAACAAATTGAATATATGGCTAGTGAAGGTTTTTTTAAACTAATTTTGGGTAGTCTGGGTATTGGGCGTTTTGTGGCTCCGGCTCTGACCATTTTCAAGTCTAGGCACTGGCTGGGCTTAATGTCGGCTTGCGAGCCGGTGATTTTCAGAGCCGCTCAATGTTGGCTCCGGGTGATAAATCTGAATATTGCATGGCGGGTTTAAGGTATGAGGACTTCTTGGATTTTCTAACTTCTTGGAAACGTAATTTACGTTATCGCGGGATTTAAAAACTCCGGGGGCTATCTCCGAAGTTCTAGTCAGAGCCATAGCTAATAAGAATTTTTTAAATTCTCGGAGCTGAAGTCACACAACGCTTGATACTCCCAGCTCTGTTAAATCCTTTCAAAAATTCTTTAAAAATCTTTTTTCAAGCTTATTGGAATGTCTACAAAGATAGACCAATTTGGGAAACTTCTTGGAAACGTAATTTACGTACACAATTAAAATGGCAACCACCAACCAGACTTTTTTGTATTGACCGAAATGGACGTTTTAATGTAAATAATGCTTGCCCTGTTTGTCGAGACGAATATTTTTTCTTTGATTACAGGGTTTGTTTTGGAATTTTTTGAATTACTTTGAATTTTTGCCATTTTAGAATCCAAAATTAATGCAACATTTTTTACAACCTGGAACTGACTTGCCCATATCTAATTTAAAAACTGGTTTGTGTATTGAACAGACAATCAATTTACAAGCTCAAGTGTTGAAAGCAAAGGAAAATGGTTTTTTTTTTTAATTTTTTTTTAATTATAATTTTTCCCCCACTTTGGATTATTTTAGGGATTTTTTAGAAAGGCCTTGTCTTGAGACTCACTTTTCTACTTTTAAGTAAGAATGTTCCCCTCTCTAAGGCAATCATGAACGATAATTTTCGTGTGATTTCAAAAATTCGTTTCTAATTTTGTGTGGGCATGTTTCCCTTCTAGACTTGTGGGGTTTTTTCAATAACTGAATTTTTCCAGACCTTTTCGTCTCGATTTTGTACGGGGTTTTTCCTCCTATTTTTTAGTTAAGGTTTATACCAAAATATCACGGGTGTTTACCCAAACCCTGTACTTTTTGCAACCGAAATCCCAATCTTTTTTTCGACTCTGGTCCATACCCAATCTCGCTGTCCAAATAATTTACTTAAAATTCTTTAAAGGAACACTTCCATTCAATGTTGAATTTCGTTATTTTGATTACAAAGAGTGGTATCCAGAATTATGGAAAAATAGAGAAGATGAAACAACAAAGCTTGTCGGAGATGAAGAACTTCCAAAAAGAAATGTTTCTGTAGACGATGTTTATCAAAATCCGGATATTGTATTTCCTATACATAATAGAGATGTTAATACAAAATGGTTTGAATTTTTTTTAATTTTTTGTTTAAAAAATTTATTTTTTTAAAGGGATGAGTGGTGGATGAGACAAGAAAAATTTACTAGAAAGGGGCGATAAATTTAAATTATTTTTTTGTTGTTAAATTATTTGGATGAATTTTTTTTGATAGGTTTATTAAATTTAAAAAATTGAATTTTGATTTTTATTAAATTTTTTTGAGTTAAAAACCTATAACTTTTTATAGGATGTTCAGATCGGATTAGTCTAATTATAAAAAAGATGCGGCATCTCGAGACCATTCGAAAGATATATAAATTTCTTTCCATTATTGATATTAGAAAAAGTTATGGCCATAAAACGCTATTCCGTTGACGATACTCAAACGTCCACTCTACACGTATTTTGGGATTAAAAGTAAATGACAGTTACAAAAATAGAGAAGAATAAGGAAAAAAATAGTGAGTTAGACGACGAAATTAATTAGAAAAATAGTGGTTAGAGAACATAATTAAATGCAGTCGTTTGCAGCCGTTTCAGTGCCTCATTTCAGAGCGAAATGGTTACTGTAACAGAAGGGGGAAACTCAATTATCAGGATTTAAAAATCGAATAATAGATCAGAATGAACATTTTAATAAATATATTCTGTTTTTTAAGTCAGTATCAGACCTATCAGATCAGATCTGAACATCCAAAAAGAAGTTACTGCCCTAAAATTGCATTTTTTCTGCATGAAGTATATCATCTATAACTTTTTGTAGGATGTTCAGATCGGATTATTCTAATTGTAAAAAAGATGCGGCATCTCGAGACCTTTCGATTGATATATAAATTTCTTTCCATTATTGATTTTAGAAAAAGTTATGGCCATAAAACGCTATTCCGTTGTTGATACTCAAACGTCCCCTCTTCCCGTATTATGAATTTAAAAGTAAATGACAGCTACAAAGAGAGAGAAAAAAATATGGAAAAATAGTGAGGTAGACAACAAAATTAAATAGAAAAATAGTGGTTAGAGAACATAATTAAATGCAGTCGTTTGCAGCCGTTTCAGTGCCTCATTTCAGAGCGAAATGGTTACTGTAACAGAAGGGGGAAACTCAATTATCAGAATTTAAATATCAGAATTAATAAATCAGAATGAACATTTTAATAAATATATTCTGTTTTTTAAGTCAGTATCAGACCTATCAGATCAGATCTGAACATCCAAAAAGAAGTTACTGCCCTAAAATTGCATTTTTTCTGCATGAAGTATATCATCTATAACTTTTTGTAGGATGTTTAGATCGGATTAGTCTAATTATACAAAAGATGCGGCATCTCGAGACCCTTCGAATGATATATAAATTTCTTTCCATTATTGATTTTAGAAAAAGTTATGGCCATAAAACGCTATTCCGTTGTTGATACTAAAACGTCCCCTCTACCCGTATTATGAATTTAAAAGTAAATGACATCTACAAAGAGAGAGAAAAAAATATGGAAAAATAGTGAGTTAGGCGACAAAATTAAATAGAAAAATAGTGGTTAGAGAACATAATTAAATGAGTCGTTTGCGGCCGTTTCAGTGCCTCAGTTCAGAGCGAAATGGTTACTGTACCATGAGGGGGAAACTTAATTATCAGAATTTAAATATCAGAATTAACAAATCAGAATAATTTAAAATTCAGAATTAATAAACCAGAATGAACTTTTTAATAAATATATTCTGTTTCAAAAAATTCAAAAAAATCGATATCAATCGATACCAATTCATAATTTACTTTTAAAAAGTAAAATGCTCAAAAAATCAATACTATCGATAATTATTTTTTAAACGAATTATATTCTCCAAAAAGAACGATAAAATCAATACTAATCGATAATTTATTTAAATAATTCTTAATTTTCACAAAAATAGTGTTTTCAACTTTTGCCATTCCGCTCTCAAAATGAGCACCGAACCGGCCATAAATACCTATTTTTAATTTTTTTCTCTAACTACACTATTTCATTTTTAAAATTTCTCTAAACAACAGGACAACATTTCTTTATGGAACGCACAATTAAATAACACCTGCCGAGTCCTAGGTTTATACAAAACACAATAAAACAAAGTCAAACATTTTACACAATAAAAATAAAAACCCAAGAAATTAAAAAACAAAAAAAATATTCAAAAAAAACTTTAAAAAAATAAAAAAGATTAAAAACAAAAAATTCAGAAAAATATTGTTAAAAAAGCACCACTTCGCTCGAAATCCATTGAATGTCCATCTTGTTGTTGCTTTTCCTGTCGATGTTGTTGCTGGGAATTGATCAAGTCTGAAAGAAAAAAAGCATTTTGCGTGTTTGGACCTCATTTCAAGCTCAGAATCTCCGTAAATTTTTGATACAAAGGGCAGATTGGAAAGGGGAATACACAAATTATTCTCCTTACTTTTACCTAAAGTATAAAGAGGCATCGTACAAAGTTCAAAGGAAGTCTTTTATAAATAGAACAAGATTTCAAATGTTCTTCAAAGAATACGAGTATGCTCCCGAGGAATTTAGACGATGTAAAGACAACGAAACGAAAAGACCGATACATTCAATCATATCAATAATTTGAAATCCCAAAACCATTCAGAAATCCACTCAAAAAACCTTCAACTAAAAAATAAATAAAATACCATTCACGCTCTCGTTTCCATCTCAAAAATTCACAGCCCAAAAGCCGCCAATTCTTGTCTGTCCCAGCCAAGAACGTCCAACCAAGGAGTGTGTTCAACCATTGGACATGTTAAAAAATCATTTTAAAAGAATTCATAAAATTATTAAATAACCTTTCAAGTCGGGGTTGCAGGAGCATGTGCTGTATCCAAAGCAACCTCAAAAAATTGTCCAAAGAGTTGTCGTCATCAATCGGGCTCAAATCTAAAAGAAAATAATTATTTGATGAAATATAAAAAAGAAATCACCCAAAGATTATCGAACCCGCAACCTATTCTCGTATAAACAATAACACTACCAACTTAACCAACCGTCATTACGAAAGCCTGTAAATTTTTTCTATATACTAATGTGAATTTTAAATTTGGGGGATCTAATTCTAATTATAAAACTCAAAAGCCCCAAAAAATAATTAAAAACCTTTCAAACTTCATAATCTGCACATCAGCCAAATAAAAGCAAACAAGCAATTGTCTTCTTGTTGAAGCCAATGCACTTTGGGCTGTAGTGTAGTGTACCGGTGGTAAAAGTTCGGGATGAGACATATGTCATTCGATTCGTCTCGACGAGCTGAGTCGAATGGTACCACTCTCTACTTTAGGAAATGATTCTGGGCCGAGATATAGGTCCCGAAAAATTAGAAAACCAAAGGGGGGAGTAAGCTCGATTTTGGGGTGAAAAATTCGAATATGAAAATAATAGCTCATTCGAAAGAGCTCGTCGAGCTGAGTCGAATGACACCAAAATCAACGCAATCTGACTTGATTTGACAAAGTTATGCTCGTTTGTTTTAGCTCCTTACCTATGGCGCCCGAGTAGGTTTTTGATGCTACTGGAGCCCCAAGTACGTCCAGAGCAAGGGAGATGGGACTAGGTTTATGTTACGAGCCCAGAACCAGCGCCCGTAGACTCCCCGCGAGGCGCGTGCCGCAAAACCCCGCGCGAAGCGCGGGGTTTTGCACAAGCGCCTCGCCGACGCCCCATAGGTTTATGTTGTTTGTTTTTCTATTGTAACTTTGTATAAACTTTTACAATCAAGCTGATTTTGGTGTCATTCGACTCAGCTCGACGAGCTCTTTCGAATGAGCTATTTATTATATGCTTTTTTGAATTTTTGACCCTAAAATCCGTTTTTTGACCTTTTCGAGCCCTATATCTCGACTCCAACTTGTTCAATCAAGCTGATTTTGGTGTCATTCGACTCGGCTCGAGGAGCTCTTTCGAATGAGCTATTATTTGCATATTCGAATTTTTCACCCCAAAATCGAGCTTACTCCCCCCTTTGGTTTTTCAATTTTTCGGGACCTATAACACGGTCCAGAATCATTTCCTAAAGTAGTTAGTGATACCATTCGACTCAGCTCGTCGAGACGAATCGAATGACATATGTCACATCCCGAACTTTTACCACCGGTACACTACACTATATCCGCACTTTGCCATTTTTCCTCTGTGTTGTTGAATGTTGTGATTCAACCGGTCAGCCATTTCCTAAAAAACAAAATTTTATTCCATCCAAACGAACAGAAAAACCTGAATAAATTCTGCAGCCTCTCTTCTATATTTAGTTCAGCAGCCGAATCATAGGCATTCTAGATGGAAGCCGAGAAAGTTCACGTCCGCAAAATACCTTTTTGATTTCTTTCCAAGTTTGCTAGATGATGGAACCGATTCTGTCATCTTTCAAGTAAGATCCATACTGAAAGCTTTAAAATGTTTAAAACCCCTTCCCTTTACCAGACAATTGCTAAACACTTCATAATCGAATTTAGAAGAGGATTAATAACGGATTAACTGAGGGATTGTTTGCAGACAAAACTTGCTTGTGTGAAAAAAAGGGCAAAAAACAAACCTCTAAATTTTTAAGAAGATTCCATGGACGTCCAAAGTGCTTTGATGATTTTTTTTCGCTTCTTTCGCTTGTTGTTCTTCTTTTTGTTGATTTTTGTTCTTCTTTTTGTTGATTTTTTGTTTGTTCTTCTTTTTGTTGATTTTTTTGTTTGTTCTTCTTCTTGTTAATTTTGTTTGTTGTTCTTCTTTTTGTTTGTTGCTGCTGGACAATTCTTAGAGGCATGGCACTAAATAAGTTAAATGAATTTGTTTAGGCAGAGTTATAAACTACCATAAAGCTGATGAGCAGTTATCAAAGTACCATAGAAGCAACAAGTCCCATGAGAATGCCAAACAGACCGCGCGACCCCACACAGAAGGAAGAACTCCAAACAGATGCCAGGAGAATTCCATACAACAGCCGTTAGAACCGAAACAAAGCCAGACTCCAAACAAATGCCAGAAGAACTCCTACAGATGCCGAAGCAAATGCTAGAACATTCCCCCGAACATCTGACGGAACGTTCGCACATTGTCGCAATTCTTTCGCACAGTTGCTGGGTTATTCCCCCGCACATTAGCCGGAACATTCCCCCACATAAACAGATGAAGAACTCCAAACACTGCCAGAAGAATATCATACATTGCCGTTAGAACTGCAACAAAGCCAGACTCCAAACAAATGCCAGAAGAACTCCTACAGATGCCGAAGCAAATGCTAGAACATTCCCCCGAACATCTGACGGAACGTTCGCACATTGTCACAATTCTTTCGCACAGATGCATGGTATTCCCCCGCACATTGCCGGAACATTCCTCCACGCAAGCTAAAACCCACGCAACACGCCTAAAGGACGCACGCAAAATGCTAAAGGGGACTTGTGCTTTTGATGTTGGAGAAGAGAGCTCCACATCCGCCTCTACTGCTAAAAATATGATTTCATTTCTAAGGCTAAAGAAAACTCAAACTAACGTTTTAAAACAAAACCAGATTGATGAAGTCCAGATGCAGCAGCTTCTTTGGTTGCAAAGCATACAAAGCACTGAATGAAAAAATATAAGGAATGTTGTTGTATTAAGACACAGCAAGTTTTGTCCACAAACAGGGAAGGGAGAGGGGGAGGGGAGTGAAGGGCAACTGAAATTGTGCCAAATACAAGCCAAGTGTCTGAAGACCACCATCATCATCGGTCATTCATCAGTTCTAAAAAAGAAAAATAAACATGAGGCAAATTAATTAGTTGAATAAAAATTTGGGACCTTTTTCACCCATGGCGTAACTGGTAGAGCGTTAAGCTCACTTATTAAGAAAGGAGGTTCGAACTCAACGGAGGACCATCCCAATAATCGAAAATTTTTCTCGGCACTACTAAAGAAAGAAGGGACCATAAAAATAAAAAAACCTGAAGTCATCAGCAACAAAGTCAAAACATTTTCACAAATAACAGATTGTCTCAACTTTCGAGCCGGTGAAGGTGTTTTTAAACAATTTTTGTTGACATTTGAAGAAGTTGAAGACAATAATCCTTTCCATCGTTGTTTTAATGGAGAAATGAATGATTCATTGACTGGAGGGCGTTGAAATAAAAATTTGTTGAAAAACTTGTTGTTGTTGAAGAATTTTGATGAAATAATTCTTCATCAATTCTAAATTGTTTGTTGACTAAAAAATTGATTTTAGAAAAAAAATGACTCTGTCCACAAAAATGTTTTTCAAAAAGTAGTAAACAAAAAGAAATGTTATTGAATGAACAGAGACGCAAACAAAATCAATAATCTTTTTCTATATTAAAAGGAACAAAGCAAACTATCTCTCATGTTTTTCAATTATCCCTCTTTAATTATTGATTTTCTTCTCTGACCATTGCTTAGACAACAAAATCGTGTAGTGGTCAGAGAAGTCAGATTTTAATTTTTCCGAGGAAAAATAAAAAGTCGACTTCTCTAACCACTTCATGATTTTGCTTGTCTAAGCAATGGTTAGAGAAAAAAATCAATAATTAAAGAGAGACTGCAACAACAAGAGACGATGGACAATTAGTGTAATTCTCTCATTTTCTTAAAGGAGTGGGGGACAGTTAAGTCTTGCGCAAGCTCATATTCTGAAATTAATTAAAATTCTGATAAGAAAAACACCAATCTCCATTATTAAAAATTAAAAAGAAAAAGAATACAACATTTTTAAATTATTTAAATATTTATCACAACACTTTTTAAACCTCCTTCCCTTTTTTTATTCTATAATGTTTCCAATCATCAAACTGACTGTTTCATCTGTTGATCTAAAAAACAATTTGTTGAAAATCTCTCCCCCCCCATTTACCTAACAGCCAAATTAATTGTCACAGTTTGGTCAGAAGGATCCAAAGCCATTCTTATACGACACAAAACATTAATTCCTCCTCTAAATATTCCAGAAAGTAGCAAAGTGTGGGACGATTTTCCTTCAGGAACGCGTTCTGAATGTTCAACAGGCAAAAGGCCAATACATTTTAATAAATTCTTTACTGCATCTAAAAAAGAGAGGGAGAATTTTTAAAAAAATCTATTGAAGGAAGGGTTCTTCAAAAACAAAATTTTTATAAAAAAATTCCCTTCACCACTCCATTCTCCTTTCCTAGTCAAATTATTCAAAGTATTTTTAAAAATAAGCCTAGGCTTGGAGAACCCCAAGGAAAATCCCCCAAAAATAAAATTAAAAAAACCTTCAAGAGTATTAACTGTAGACAAAGCATAAGTTTCATCAACTTCATATTTATCTGTCAATGCTTCCCAAGCAGTAGAGAATGATCCTTTTGGTAGTATTGGTAATAAATAATCGGCAATGGTTACTTCAATTGATTCGAGCTGGAAGAAAAAAAAATTAATTTTTAAACTTATGGATTGAAGGAATAAGGGAGCTGATCTTAAATAACTACAAAAGTTCAAGTTTTTCAATGCTATAACCCAACAAAGCAGAATAGAACCGGACCTGTCCTCTGAAGCTGTAGTCCAGGGAAAATCTAGATTAAATCACGGAAGCTGAAAAAATGCCTGACTAAACTAGACTTGGTTAAGGTGTGCGGACTTTCCTATGACCTGTTTTCTTTGATAAATTGTTCCCGAAATACACTCAACACTTTTATCCTGTCAAAAAGAACTAGGAAATCCTTCTCTTATGGAAAAAGAAAAGTTTTCCTCCGTATTTAACCCCCTAAATCCCCAAAAATTCACAAACCGCGTAAACATCAGCATAAAATTCTTCAGATTCAGGTTCACCAGTTGCTGGATCAACATCTCTAACTTTAAATTTTAAAGTTGCATTAAATGTCCCAGTTAATCTTCCATCTTCTGGCATTTTTAACAAAACATAATTTACATCAGTTTTGGAAACTGGCAAAGATTTTATTGGTAAATTTAATTCAATTTGCCAATTATCAGACTCGTCATCTGGTTCATCTTGAGGTTCTAAATGAACATAAACATCCTCCAAAAGTTGATCATTCACTGTATTTCGACAATCAAACTTGAAAAAAAGAAATTATCATTAAAAATTTTTCTAGGGGATAGTGTAAGAGAGACCGCCGAAAAGCGTGTCAGGCACATCCAAAACACAACTCAGGTCTCTATAGAGTTGTCCAAGATGGTCTAAGGATCTTGGATTCATGCTTGTTTTCTTGAAATGATTGTCAAAATCTTGATTGTTTCTTTGGGATCTTTTTTGGATTGTCGAAAAGCACGAGGTCATCTTTACCTGAGGTCGGCTTGATCTCGGAAATTTAAATTTTCTATTCTGGACAGCTCTATCAATTTAATACAGAATTAGTCTGTTTAGAGTTACTGTTAGGGTTTGATGAATCCTGGAAAATTTCGGATTTCGACAACTCTAACTTGACCTATCTACAAGCGAGGCAAGCCTAACATAAGTCCATCTTTAGCTTTGTGGCAGAACCTAGGTCGCAGCCGTCTCTCCAAATTTTACTTTAAAAAAACCTGTAAAAGCACATAATCATTAAAAACATGTTTAACACAAGAAACGTTATATTCAGTAACACTTTCAGTCAATTCAAATGTTGGTGAAGATTTGAAAAGAGGGCCAAGTTTTTCAAATTGAGGAATTGCCGAAATTTGAGCTTAAAAAAGATAAAAGACATTTTATCCCACTCCTCAAAAAACTCAAAAAAAAAACCTGCAAATATTTCCATTCTCGAAGCTTTACTTTCTTTTTTAATTGGTTCTTCTATTAACATTGTTGATTTCTTCTCTTTTTTAGCATTATTAGTTAATGGTTCCAAGGACAGTGGGACTTGTTTAATATCAAAAGGTTCCTCAAAATGTTCATTTTGGACATATTTTTCTAATGAATGTTGAAGACCGGCAATTGAAACCTTTAAAAAATTAGGTTAGAACATATATGGTCTATCAGGTTTTGGGTAGGATTAAGAATAAAGTCAGATAGAATCTCAGATAGAAAAGTCTGGGTTTCGAGTAACCCGTGACACATTCTTGGTAAATACACCTCTAATATTGGCATATAGATTCCAATTACTGCTGAAGGCAGTGCCTCATTCTGTTAAGTCTACTCTACAATGAGACTACTCTTTTTTGTGCCGGTGTCACAATTTGAGGGTTGGGAGGGACTTAAATAAAAAGGGGGAGGATCAAAAAAGGCTACTACAAAAAATTATTAATTAAAAAAAACAAACTTTGAGTGTATCCAAAATATATGTGACAATAGCTGTTTGATCTTCACTCTTTAAAATAGACAAATATAAAGTAGCTCTATCTCTAACTTCATCATCAGTATCCAATAAACAACGTTTTAATAAAATTATAATATTTGGACGTAATTTTGGACATTCAGCACCAAATTTTGCTAAAGCTGTAACTGCCGCTGCACGAACCTTTAAAATAAAAATTTTTATTTTTAAAAATCCTTGAATAAAAAAACCCTCTCAAGACGTAATAAAATCACCCAGAACCCAGAAATAATTTTAAAAAAAGGAGGAGGAGGGGGGGGGGGAAGAGGAGGAAAGAGGAAAGGGAATGCAAGTCTCAATCATTCAAAATATCGCTTCATTTTTGTTTATAATCATTTATGAATTAAAAACATATTTTAGGCCTTTTAGTTATCATCATTGACCGGCACACTTAGAAAATTCTAGAGATAATCGGAACCTGGGGCACAGAATGAAATGGAAAAAAAATTTTTTCTCAAAAAATTTCCCTCGATTATTCCTTTTCATCACTAAAAGTCCCCAAGAACCCCCACCCTCTATCATCATTAGAAAACTAAAATCCCCGATCCCTCCAAATTTAACAACAAAAAAACAACCTGTGTAGTCTCCAAAATAACACGATTATAAATAAATCTAATATATCTTGCTGGATGATTTGTTGTTGGTCCTTCTCTTCCCAATAAATGTAAAACTTTTGTTGCCAAAGCAGCATGTTCACAATCCTCAATAAATTCACACAAATGTGATAAACCCAAATCTTTAGCATTCGAATTATCTTCAACAATTGCAATTATTGTATCAACAATAGCTTTTTTATATTCAAAACCGCCCTCATCGCGTAACATTGAAGCCAAAAAATTCATTAAAGTTGCATGTTTACGTGGATAGCGAACACAGAGAGAACGAATTGCTTCGATTACAACAATCTTTAAAAAAAGAAATTAATGAGACAATTTATCCCTTAATTTTTCCCACTTTTATTAAAAATTTTTTCTAGATTCCCGTATCACCCAGTTTTGAGACCAAAATAATAATAATATGGCCAAAAATAACTGCTAAAAGTCCGCAAGTTTTGTCCTCAAAAATTATTATTCGTATTTTAATGATAGAATTATTTTTAAAAAATTAATGATAATTTTTTGAGCAATATGGAACCCTTAGAAGCATAAATAAAAAAACCCCGAACATTCCAATAAATTTTAAAGGAAAAAAACAAACTTTAAATTCATCACTTATTTCACTAACAAAAGTTCCAATTTGTTTCATTAAACGTTCAACAGAAGCTTCAGCACCAGTTTTTAAAAGTGTAGTTATTGCTAACGTTGCGATAGAGCGATTTTGATCCGTTATAAGTTGTTCCAAATCAACATTACACGAAATTACTGCTTGGGGGTAATTGATGGAAATTCGATTTAATGTACGTACAGCAGCAAAACGAAGAGCAGATTTTGGAGAAGACAAAAAAATTTGAAGAACACTTATTGCTGAAGCTAATTCTCCACTGAAAATTTTTTTTAAATGATTGGAAATTAAAAAGAAAATATAAAGAAAGGTTAAAAAAGAAAATTTAACGAAGTAAAAATTGTTGGGAGGCAGAAGGATCCGAACCGAATACCCACGACTTCTTAAAGAATCTATCACACTAACCATTATACCAACACACCCTGTTAACATCCGATCTTTAAATCGAATTAAAACTAACCTAGAAATCGAAGGCATCCTAACAATTGCTGAAGCAGCTTCATAAACCACCATTTCGTGTTTATTTCGCAAACAACTTTCAATAAATTGGAATGCAATGCGGTCACTAAATAAAAATAATCTTTAAAATTTAACAAAACCAAAAAAACCTTCCATCATCTTCTTCCACCAATTTTGCCGCAATTCGAATTAAATAACAAATAGCCAACGGCGAGCGCAGTCCAGATTTGCTAAATTTTTGAACCATTTTGAGGATAGCAAGACGATCACTTGAACGAATTTGGTAGAGAAGACTTAGAGCGTGAAATTGGACCATATGGTTGTCAGAAGAAACGGCTTCTTGTACTTCATTTGCCCAACGGCGAACAACATCCGGACTTCGTTTCATTAAATGAAGTGAAGAAACTAATGCCGCTGAAGAAACTGAAGGAACTTTATCAACTATAGCTTGCTTCATATAACGTTCTATTGCTTGTAGCATTCCTGTATCGGTTAAAATACGGCATAGGGCACGAATTGCTGATGGGCGATAAACATCTTCTCGGCCAGTCATGTCTTTAGTTAGACTGAAAAAAGGGGGTTTTTATTGGGAGAAAATAATTGCAAACAAATAAGGAAAAGAAAAGGAACCAGAATCCCGGTAACGTTTGGAAAATAGGCTTGGAATTTGACTGGACTTTATACCCAGTTTCTCCCTCAAACATGAGTTGTTTCCATTCCCATTGAGTCTACTCCGTATCAAGACGTCCAGTCAGAACCTGATAGGCTTGGACTTCCCCTGGATTCAATTCCCAGCTTTTCCAACACAATAATCCTTGCCCAGGATCCAGGTCAGGTCAATAAACCCCCAAATTCATAGTCAACCCCCAAACCTTTCCTCAAACAATCCCCATCACTATATATAAACAACCACCAAAATTTTCAAAAGAAAACCTGCTCGTAACAATAATAACATCACTAGAAATTGTACACAATTCTTTAATAGCCAAATACACCAACATTCTCAATGTCACATCCTTTGCCTGCCACAATTTAGTTATAGCAAAAAAAGTATCGGTAGCCTCAGTCTTCCCAATAGTCTCTCCATGTTGAATTAAATAGAGTAATTTACACAAAATTGGGCGACATTTTCTTGCATTTATTGGAGTTTCGTTAAATGCTCGAGTCTTTAAAAATAAACTTTTTAAAAGAATTTTGGTCATTCCAACAGATTTGTTGGTTTCTGGTACTATCTCATTATACCTCCATGCGTCCGCAAATAGAGATTCGGGGGAAATCTATGCGTCTGACATTATCTTCGCCTGATCTTTATTCCTAGAACAGTCTTAAAACTTTATGGAGGCAGGACAATATAAACATTTGCCGCCAAACATTTGTGGACACATACGGATATTATCCGTATCTATGTCAGATCTGATTCTAACCTCAATAAGTGTTTGACTACCACATTTAATGCAAGCCCCTTTTACATAAAGTCCAAGCTCCTCTATAAAACTATGCAACTAGAGCGAAGTAAAGGGGAAAGAAACTCAGAATTACCCACAAAATCTATCAAAAATTAAAAAACAAACTTCTTGTACAACAGTTGCTTTGTCTAAATGATCGTAAGGATTGCCGGCTCCAGCTTCATCGTCTTTCTTGTCTCGTCGCATTTTTTTAATAAAATCGAATATATTTATTGTTTTAGAACCTTAAATAAACAAAATTTCATTAAAAATGTAAGAAAAATTCGAAAAATGAGTAAACGTGTATTTATTTTGGGGAGAGCGTCGAAAAAAAAACTTTGACAAAAGATCGACAAAGCCACATGAGTCAAAATGTCGTCACGACCAGAATATGATAATAGACCGGCAAGGGCAAAATCAGTCAAAAGGCCGGCACGACAAAAATTGACTAAAAGATCGATCAGGCCAAAATTGTTCAAAACATCGATAAGGCTAAATTTGTTAAAAGAACAACGAGGGCAAAGGGGTCAAAACACCGACAATCAGCAAAAATTTTAAAAGATCGACCAAGCAAAAAAGTGACAAAATATCGACGGTTATAACGTCTTATCAAAATAAATAATTACTAAAAAATTAATTTATTTTTAAATTTCCACATTTTTTTCAGCTTGTTTATGAACAATAACTAGCAATTCTTTAGCTGCTTTAGCAACATCATAAGCTGCCTGACAAGCTTCATCAATATTTAAAGGCCTCGAAATACATTTTCTTGATAATTGTTTCATTGCTGCTTCCATTTTAAAGGCACATTGTTGAATTGATTCGATACGAATATACGAGTCTGGGATTACATTGAGTATTCGAATAATGTGGTGATTGATCTGGAAAAGGAAAATTTAATTAGAGGGGGGAAAAATTCGTGAAAAAATTATTTGCGGACAATCCGCAAATAATTTGCGGACAATCCGCAAAAATTATTGCGGACAAATCAGAAAACTTTTTGTTGACTCGTCCGCAAAAACATTCCAAACAAAAAAAATTTTGCGGATTTGTCCGCAAAACTATTGCATAAAATCCGCTAATTTTAAGAACAAGTTTTTTATCCGCAAACACCAAAATCCTTCAAAATATTCAGAAAAAATTCTTTAAACTAACCGTATCAGCATGATACATTGCATTTGTTTCTCTACTATTTATTTCTATATTTGGTTGTAAATCGGCCAATAATGCCTTCAAAAAATATTTTATTAAAAAAATTTAAAAAAAAGCAAACCTTGATTGCAGTAGTTAATAATTCCGTTTCCAATATTAAATTGTCAGGGAATACTGAAAAAAATAAAAAAAATTAATGTTCACAAATATTGTCCGCAAAAAAATTAAATGTCCGCAAATATTTGTCCGCAAAAATACAAAAAATGTCCTCAAAAATTTAAAAAAAAAAAAATTCGAAACCTTCTTCATTAAATATTTTATTCATATCATTTCCTTGTTTATTTGTTGTATTTATTAATTGTTCATTATTTGTTTCATTTCTAGTTGTTGTTGTTGAATGTTCAACATCTTTTTGTTGAACTATTTTTAGATGCTAGAAAAAAATAATTTTTGAAACTAGTTTTTTTCGTTACTTTTTTAGATAACACCAAAAAATTGACAGAAAAAAGGACCACAAAAATAGCCTAACAGCAAAAAATTTTTTGCGGACAACTTTTTTTGTCCGCAAATTTTTTGCGGGCAAAAGTACAAAAAAAAAGTATCCCAAAAATTCACAATTTTCTTACCGAAATTGAATGACTCGAATTTTTTCTATAACTTCTTGTCTCATTTGAATTAATATTATTTATATTATTACTTCCCAAAGAATGCTTCTTTTCATTATTATTATTAAAAGAATTTGTTCCACCATCAATTTTACTTGAACCAGCAAAAGAATTTAGTCTTTCTTCATGTCCAAGTAAATTATTTTGAAGTTTCATTGAACTTGAAGAATGGGCTGAATGTAGAGGAATTGAAGGTATTTGTGTTGTTGGGAGTAAATTATTTGTGTTATTGTTAGTAGATGAATGACGTCCACTAATTTTTGTTGATGGATAAGTGTCTTGAAAAAAAATAAATTTTAAAGAAATTTTAAAGAAAAATTTTTCTTTCAGGCAATATTCGCGGACAATTAAAAATTTTTAAAGGGATTAACCGCGATATAAACATTAGGAACAGACTTTTAGGTACCAAATCCAACCCTCAGTCAATAACATGGACCTGACCACTTCCTAAGCAGATGATCCTATATTCCAAGCTTTTACGGGAAAAAATTTTCTGTGGACAACCAAAACCATTTTTAAAGAATTTCCCTTAGACGCAGCATAAGGTCCAAGCTTCTAGTAACTAACAATAAGTGCCGAATCCAACTCATATAATTAGCTCCTATTTCAATATCTTGGATCTAGACATCACCGCATGGTTTTCATTTTTATATAAAATCTCAAAAAAACCTGTAGAATAATTATGAACATATTTTTGTTGTTGCTGATGAGTAGGTCTCATTAAAGTAGATGCTGACATCATTACTGCACCAATTTGAGCTGTAGCATTATTTAAGGACACAGACAAGAAATTTTGTAAAGGTGGGGTTTTAGTTGAAGTTTGCTGTCCTTCAAAAAAATTTTTTTAAATTATTCTTAAAACTTTCTTGTCCGCAAAAAATTTGCGGATAAAATTTTTATCCGCAAACATTTTTGCGGACAAAAATATTTTCAGAAAAATTTTTAACTTCCAGAAACCTTGTGTTGGCGATGCTGATCTATTATATTGATTATATTGTTTCCACAATTTTTCATTCATTTCCTGTCGAATATTTGTTTGGTCATATTCTAATCTTTCCAATGCTCGTTGCATTTGTTTAAGAGTTCTAGAAAAAATTTTTTTTTAATTTCAAAAAAAAATTCAAAAAACCCCAAAATTTCAGAATTTGACATTTCCATCCTTTCCAGTTTCTCATTTGTATCTCTCAATTTTTCTTTTAATTCCAAATAATTATCTAATGAAGAAAAGTGATGTTCTTGGTCAGAATGTAAAGTTTTATGATTTTGACTTCTAAAAATAAAGGAAAAAACGATTTTCTCTCTAATTGTAAGCCCTTAAAAAAGTCCGCAAATATTATAAGAGTTCGCAAATTTTATCAGCATTACATGCTCTAATGACGAAACACGTTGTAATGCCAAAACGCCGAATTAAAAAAACACCAAACTCCAAGGAATAGAAAGGGCATCAGAAGAGGAAATTGGGTCGCGTTTTCGAAAATTTCTCGGGTTGGGTTTGGGCCAAAAAAGTCCGGGTTTCGAGTAATCCTTGACATCCCTTTTGCGGACTTTTTAGAAGCACAGAAGGAAAAAATTAAAAAAAACCTATTTTCAGTTGAACTTTCAGAAAGACACAATTTCCCTCTATTATCAGAATAAACACCATCCAATTGTTCATCACTCAAAAAAGAAATTCTAAAAAATATTTTTTTAAAAAGTAAAAAATAACTCCAAACAAAACTCATTATTTTTCACATCCTCAACAGGAATTTGTATTCCAAAATAACGTCTTCTAATTTCTTTAAGTAAATCAATTACCAAATAGAAAAAATCTGATGAACTAAATTTTGCCAATTTTTGACGCATTTGGTTACGTGTAGCAGAAAGTTGAGGATTTGGCTTTAGAAAAAGAAATTTTTTTCTTAAAAATAGTCTACAAAAACTACTTTACCTATAAAGAAAACCCTTCAGTGATTCTGAGTCAATCTATATTTTTCCGTTACAGATATTCGGAACCGTCAAGCTTATTGTTAATTGTATACGAGGATTGTTCAGACCGAATTTTAGAAATCAGGAAAACAGGTAAAACAAAATAAAACGCAAGAAGGAAGAATCAACATAACTAACCTATCCCAAATAAATCCACAAAAAACACTTAAAAAGGGTTCCATGGATAATCATTAAAAACCGAAGATGAAAGTATCAACTTCCTTGCTTTATCCAATTAACAAATAAGTCGGTCCCATAATTGCAAAGATCTCCCTCTTACTTGAAAAAATTCTCTTAAACAAAGAAAAAAATTTTTTTACCGGTAAAAATATAGCCACATGTTTATGCATTCTAATTTGAGAATTATTTAAGGCAGACCATTGCAATTCAATTTCACGTCTATCAACCTATTTTTAAAAGAACAAAAATAAATTTTCTAACAAAATTAAAAAAACCTCATCATAAACATCCTGTACAAGCCTTTCAAAAAGTAAATCAGAAATTAAATGTACTTGCTTTCCAAGATTGTGCATTCTTTCGGAGATGAAAGGATCGACCAAATCGGGGATTAAAAAGTGTTGATTGTCTTTGTGTGAAGGTTTTCGACCTTGAAAAAAAAATTATTCCATAAAAAATTCAAAAACAAACCACACAGAAAAAGAGAAAAATGATCAGAAACTTCAAATGAAAGTTCAATTATTCTTTCGGATAGTTCCAACTTGAAAAAAAGAAATATTTTTACAACAAAATCGTATTCTCTGGACGGGATTTCTTTCAAAATTTAGTTGGGGACTGGATAAACAAAATAATCTTCAAAAATCGGAAATCAAAAAAAAAACCTCGAAGGTCGAAATTCCGAAACAACTCTGCACTGGATCCCACGGGATTAATCTCGTGATTAAGGCAAACCAGGTTGTCGTTTACACCCTTAGATTGCGGGGGGGGGGGAGGGGGTTTAGTCTAACCCCTTACTATTAACCTGTAAAAACAATGCATGAGATCTCGTCCAATCCCTTACTTAAAAAATAGTAAAATCAACTTACATGTCCTTCCTTTTTAGCAACTTCGGCAGGTGTTTGTCCACAAGAATTTTTACAAGAAAAATCGGCTCCATAAATCCACAATAATTCAACTTGAAGATCCTGACCATTTTTTGCAGCAATATGCTAAATTAAGTTAATTTTAAAGAAAATTTTTAAAATAAAACCAGTGGAGTGTTTCCTTGATCGACAAAATCTGGAGATGCACCAAGCGCTAATAATCTGCAAAAAATATTTAAAATAGAAATGATTTAATTTTCCATGGAGCAAAAAATAATTAGAATTTCAACTTAACATTTTGCAAAATTATAAAAAAATAAAAAAAAAACTAACAAAAACAAAAAATGACGTCCAAACGGACTCGAACCTGACACCTCAACAAAGATAACCCAAACAAATACCACTAAACCACAGAACTACATGATCACAGAAAATGAAAACCAACCTTAATGCTGTAATAACATGTCCAGTCCGAACACTAGACCACAACTGTCTGTTCCTAAAATATTTTTTCCTGGCTATTATTTAACTAAAAATTTTATACAAATCATCCACAGTAAATTCATCTTTTGCTGGTCTAATTGCATAAAGTAGTCGAACATATTTGTCATTGATAAATGCTTCCTTTTTGGGGATTATTGGATCACTAAAATAAAATTTTTCAGGGGAAAAATTTTGAAAAATTTTTTAAAAAATTTTCAAACTTCGAAACGGGCTTTTTCTTAACTCTTCCAGAATGAGAATCAATTAAAGAATGTTCCCATATATTATTAGATCCATTTTTGTATAAATAATTTATCAATTTTAATTGATTTGTGTGCCAAATCCCTCCAGTTAGTGAACGTATTTGGCTTATATGGCGGCCTAAAAAATTATTTTTAATTTAAAAAATTCAAAAATACCCAAATTTCGATGAACAAAACAACATTCAGAACAAATAAGTACACAATGATTTAATGATGCCCATCCAGGATCAGAAGCTCCGCAGTCAGCACAGGTTAGTGTAAAATCTTCAGAATTGTTAGTAGTTTCCATTTAAGTGTTATTATTCTGAAATTTAATGAATTTAATTTAAAAAATAATAAAAAATTGAATGAAGAAGAGGAATTAACAAAAAAGGCAAAAATAAGATTAAAAATGGTAAAAATTAAGAATATGGCCAGTATAGAATATGGACAGAAATTATAGTCACTTGAAAGAGCTCAAAGAGAGGAGTAAAATGACACCGAAATCAATGAGCAGTCTCAAATATGGACTGAAATACAGACTTCTAAATATCGAAAAACCATTAAAATATTTAAAAAATTTAATAAAATTGGCGTTTATTAAAGTTTTGGCAAAACGTCAAAACTTTACAAAAAATTTTTGCCAATGCACATTTCGCCAATAAGGGTAAAATTCACGTTTTGCCAGTTCATCCCCATTGACAAAATGAGTATTTTTATCCTTATTGGCAAAATATGGAATTGGCGAAAGATGTATTGCACTCCATTTTTTCTACTTTAATAAGAAAGACAGAGAAAGATTAGAAAAATGCTTGTAGTCAGAGTAGCAGAGAAATTAGAAAAATGGTAGTTAGAGAAAAATATTGCAAAAAGGTCAATATAAAAGGAAAGCAGGAAGTAAAAATGTCAACAATTGATTTCGAAATAATTTGGCTTGGTAAAAATGTCAACAATTGATTTCGAAATAATTTGGCTTGGGTTTCTTTTTAAATTTGTAGACAGTCACGTGGTTTTGTCCCAAAATTTTATTTGTTTTGTTCTAATTTAGCGTTGTTTTAGAAAAATTTAATTGAAAAATGATGAATACATTTCCTTCAACAACAACTTCAAGTTCTTTATTCGGTGCCCAACCAACTACTTCATCATCTTTATTTGGAGCAAAACCTGCAAATTCTTTATTCGGAACAAACCCTTCTACACAAACTGGCAATCTTTTTGGAAGTCAACCTTCTACAGGGTTTGGATCGACTGCTGGTGTTGGTATTTTGGGAGCGAATAAACCGGCGGTTTCGGTTAGCTAAATTGTTTAAGAATTTAAAATATTTTTCAAGGCTTTTGGTCAAGTTTCACAATCAAATCTTTTTGGGCAACAACCTCAACAGCCTGGTGGTGGTCTTTTTAATTCTGCTTCTTCTGTTCCTCCTACCTTTGGGGCTACAACGGTATTTTTTGAAATCATCTTTTTATTTACATTACAATCATTTTTAGACTACTGCAAGCATTTTTGGGGCCAACAATACTGGCTCTTCATTTGGTGGATTTGGACAACAACAGCCACAACCGACGCAGATTGGGGGATCTCTTTTTGGCAGCCCAAAACCTGTTCAACCTTCTTTTGGTTCGTTTGGAGGTAATCAACAACCGACACAAACATTTGGTATTTTTGTATTTTTTAAAATTTTTACTTTTATTTTTCCCAACCTGCAACAGCTGGTGGATTGTTCGGACAAACTAATACTTCTGTGCAAAAACCATCGTTAACTCTTTTTGGATCAGGAGGGCAAGCTTCTTACCAACCGGGTGTATTTAGCACAGGTTTTTTTATCAGTTTTACTGGTTATGTCGCGTACTACTAGTAAAAAATTTTTGACTTTTATTTTGGTTGAGAGCCATAAAAAGGTTCAGGACCTTGAGTTAAGGAAAAATTTTTGCTGCGCCAATAAAAATCATGGTCTGGACTCAGATCCATGTTAATCTCGGCGTGCTCTGGATCCCTCCAGCTTTTTTCGGTCCGAAACCTTGTCCAAAGAAAAATTTTGAAATTCAGAGACTTGATCTTACTTTTTCTCAACTTGTGAAATCTTTTATTCTCGCCATAAAAATTACTTTTAGCAAAATTTACACCTCCATCTGCTACTGATACTATGCAATTGAAAGGGTCACAGCAACAAGTTCAAACAAAACAAATGTGTATAAGTGCTATGAAGGAGTATGAAACCAAAAGTTTGGAAGAAATTCGTTGTAATGATTATATTGGGGGAAGGAAAGTGAACACATCAGTTGCTCCAACAAATTTTGCACAACCTCAGGGAGGTGTATTGTTTTCGAAACCCGGCACAGGATTGTTTTCTACTGGTTTTTCTTTTTAATTTTTTAAAATTCTTCTAATTCCTCCGTTTTTCAGTTACAACTACAACACCTGCTACTTCAAGTTCTCTATTTGGCACTCAACAACCAGCTACCTCTTCAACTTTATTTGGAGCAAAACCTGGAGGTTCTTTTTTCGGTGCAAACCCTACTACACAACCTGGCAATATTTTTGGAAATCAACCTTCTACTGGGTTTGGATCGGCTGCTGGTGTTGGTATTTTGGGAGCGAATAAACCGGCGGTTTCGGTTTTTTAGATTCTTAAAAATTTATTTAAAAACATTTTTAAGGCTTTTGGTCAAGTTTCACAATCAAATATGTTTGGACAACCACCACTACAACCAACTGGAGGAATTTTTGGTTCTGCTCCTGCTCCTGCATTTGGCGCAGTAACGGTATATTTTCCTTTAAATTTAATAAACGTTTTCTGTCTGTAGACTTCTACAACTCTATTTGGTGGCAATCCTATTTCTTCATTTGGCGGATTTGGTGCTCAACCACCACAACAACAACCAGCTACAGGAGGAATTTTTGGTTCGAAACCGTCTTTTGGTGGTTTTGGCTCTCAACCACCACAACAACCTTTTGGTTTAAAAAAATTTTTTTTAATTTTATTTTTGACCTTATAGGTGCCCAACCAAATACTACAGGTTCAATGTTCGGTTCCCAATCTGCAACTGGAGGAAATTTATTCGGACAACCAAACATCGGCTTGCAAAAACCATCAATTTTTGGAGGAGCTAATGCACAAATTCAACCACAACCAGGCACATTTCGTATGGATTTTTCAAATTTTTAGCTAATTTTTTATTTATTTTTAAGCTAATACTCAACAAAGTCCAACTCTACTTGGTTCAAATTTAAATACTTCAGCATTTCAAAAAGAAATTATTGAATCACAACTTTCTTCACTTCCATATGGAGATAGTCCTCTTTTAAAAATTTCTACATCTCCAAGGAAATCTGCACAGGATATTATCAGGTTTATATTTAATAAATTCGGCAGAAAACTGAGCTTAGTTAGGAAATACCAAAAAGATTTAATGGGACTTGAAATCCTAAGAGTTTTTCCGATACAAGGTAGTTGTTAGCCACTGCCGCTGGGTGAAGAAAAAAACTTCAACATCTTTAAACTTTCCCTTTCCCACCACTTTTCATTTCTGTTTTTCTAGTATAGGTGAACCTGCTTAACATATTTCTAAAAAATGATAATTTTTTTTATTTTTTTAGTCTTTCAAGGCAAATAACTTTTGGTACAAAAGATGGTCAACAAAAATCTTCTTCTACTACAAGTCCACAAAATTCTTTTCTTGCTGATTTGTCTATTGTTTCAACAATTTCAAGAGGAACAAATACTCAAGACAAAGAAAATTCAATTGGAGAAACTCTTTTTGATACAAGTTTAAGCTACAAACCTTTAATTATATTGCCGTCAGTTGGATTTGGTGCAGCATTAGGATTGAGACATGAGCCAAAATTGACAAAATCATTTGCAAGGTTGTTTTTTGAAAAAAATTTTTTTTGAATAAATTTTCATTAAGCGAAAAATCTTTCATTTCTGGAAAATCAACATCACTTCATTTAAGTTTTGCTGAGGATGACACTAAAAGAATTAAATCGTTGGATATGTCTGTGGTTTTTGAGCCTTCTCCAAATGTATGAGAATTTTTTCAATTATTTTTTCAATTATTTTTTTTTTGCTTTTTTAAGGAAGACAATTCATTTATTGCCGATAAATCTTCTCAAGTTAATTCTGTTCTTGTCCCATTACAATTATCACCATCTATGGAGAGTGAACGTCCTACTATTGAAGAAATTCAGGTCTTTTTAATTTTTTGTGCCATTTGCTAGGGGAAATATTAGGGGTTTTAGATATATATTAGTAGTAGATAATTTGCTGTATCGGGATTTGCAAACAAAACTAGATCCTATTGCTAACCTATACACCTGTTTATTTACATGGTCGAGACATATGTTTAAGTGTTTTTATAGGGACAATACTAAAGTAAACCTTAAATTTAAAACATCTTTTTATAATTTTTAAGTCACCACCAGAGAAGACTCTTCCTCCCAAAGAACCTATTCAACAAAATAAACAACAACAACAAAATACTCAACAACTATTTCAGCAACCACAACAGAAAAAATTTAAAATGAAATTGTCTCGTCCAGAATATTATTCAAATCCTTTATTAGAAGATTTGGAATCATTGTTTGACTCAAAAGGAATTTGTAAAATTGAAGGTGGATTAACTATTGGACGTTTGGGATATGGAAGTGTTTTTTGGAGAGGACCTATAGAATTACAAGAACCTTTGGATTTGGATGAAATTGTTCATTTTCGAAATAAAGAAGTTGTTGTATATCCTGATGAATCTAAAAAACCGGAAGTTGGACTTGGATTAAATAAACCTGCAGAAGTTAGTTTAGAAAATGTTTGGCCGATGAATCCAAAAACTAAAATGCCAATCAAGGTTTTTTTTAATTTTTTTCTATATATGGGTAACCTTATTCTATGAACCCCCTAAATGCCGTAGGACTTCATTTGTAAATCATCAAGTACCAAAAATGTGTAAAAACATTTTTCTATGTTCCAATGGGTGGAAGTGAGTTTCAATATATGTGGGTCTTATAGCGAGGTCCCTTTTATTGTGTGTATCATATAGTGAAGTCCGCTATATTGTGGTTATCTTATATCGGAGTCCGATAGTTTATGATGGGTCTTCCGTATTGGGATTATTTAATTTTTTCAAAATTTTTATTTTTAAAGGATACTGACGAATTGATACGAATGAATTTTAAAGGCAAATTGGAACGCTTATGTGCACGTATGGATGCGTGTTTCGTTGATTATCAACCATCTCGGGGGGTTTGGATATTTCAAGTCGAACATTTTTCGAAATATGGATTTGTAAGTTTTCTTTTTTGGGAAAATTTTTAAATATTTTTTTTGTTAAAGCATGATGAGGAGGATGATGAAGACATTATCGATATTAATCAACAACAACAAACGGGCGGTGATAAAATTCATTCTGCCAATCTGCAAAATCTAATACAAAGAGCAAAAGTTCCTTTACGCGAAATACAAAAAACATCTGATGGAAATAAAAATAATAAAAGGGAATACTTACAACAGCAAACAACGGGACTTGTTGACAATAGAGGAGATTTTGCTGAATTTAATGAGGAAGATTCCAAACTTTTTCAAGACCAAATAATTTGTAAGAAACTTCGTTTTGATGATACTTTGTTTGATTCCAGGTTTGTTTTTGTGTTAAATTTAAATCTTTTAAAAATAATAGGAGAAGAGGTGAGGGGATCGGAGGGACTTCATTAACTTTAAACTCTCCCTAATACACCTCTTATAGGATACCTTCCATAAAGTCGACTCTCCCTATATGCTACAAAGAATACCTCCCCAATATAGGAATTGGACCTCGCTCTAATATACCCTCAATACAAGCGGCCTCGCTACAAGATACCTTTATTACATTATTTATAAGGAGGCTATACAAAAATCTCTTTATAAATTTAAATTTTTTAGTAAACTTTTAAATATTGTCGCAAACAAAGAACAACAACAAGGCCAAATTTATCCTCAAAAATCAAAATTGGTTGAGCGTTTACCAAAATATTTTTATCAAGGACTTGATTCACAAAATTTGTCCAAATCATTTTTAAAAAAATGTGGAATTAATTTTCTTTTGCCAAGCTGTAAAATTGGGTTTAGTCAAGGTTTATTTCCTGTAATTTAAAGAAATAGAAATTTTTTTCAAGATTTGGTTTTTGCTGCAATTCCACCATCTACACATTTAAATGCTGTTAATATTTATCAGACGAGAGTTATTGTTCCTACAGTTAAGGTATTCTTTTTATTTTCTTTTTGGTGTAAAAAAAATTTTTCGAAATTTTCGAAAATTTTTTTAAAATTCTAAAATTTTCTCTAATAAATATAGGAAGATTTTTTTACTTTCTTAATATAAATTCATCAAAAAAAATTCAAAATTTTTTTTCAGAATTTCTTTCTTCAATATATTCGTCAAAACAATTTAAATTTACAAAAATCACTTGAAAATTTGGAATTAACTCAACTTGTTCAATTTGACCCTCCATCACCAATATTAAGTTATTTGGATAAATATTTGACTGAATCTTTTGTAAATGGAAAAGATTTGAATAAAAGTTTTGATGGAATTTGTAAAATATTGTTAATGGATTTAAAGACGATTGAAGGTTTTTTTTAGTTATTTTTTTAAGTTTTAAAAATTGCAAAGATTAAGGGAATTTTTTGTCCCCCTTTTTCTTTCTCATCAAATTGATTTATATTGGGGAGGGTGTTTTTCTGCTAGGGTGTTTTTCGAGTTTTTTTTTCAAAATTTTCTTCGACTGGGTTTTGTGTTGAAAAAATTCTTTTCCGGATAACTTGTGATATCCCTGCCTTATATTTTTTTGAAAAAAAAATAAAATCCTCTCTTTTAAGAATTTTTTTAAAAAAAATTTTGAGATAAAATAAAAATTTAAAATTAATTTTTTATTTTTTTAACAGATAAAATCTCTCAAAGAATTTTAATGGGTGATTGGTTATGTGAACAACTTTCAATTGAAGACAACAACAAAACAACAAATAAAAAACCTTTTTTAAAAATCTTTAAATTTTTAATTAATGGACAAATTGAAAAAGCAGCAGAATATGCAAAAGAACAAAATTTGTTTAATTTGGCTTTGTTACTTTCTTTATATAAATGTCCGTCTGTTGGTTTAGTTAGAAATATGGTTGCTAAACAGGTTTGGAATTTTTTTCGGAAATTTTTTTTTGGAAATTTCTGTTATGGTTTTTCTGGAGTTTTGAGAATTCTGAATTCTTGTTTCCTAAATTCTGATCTGATTTGCTTCTTTGGAACTTGGGTCTTTGAACTCTGGGACATTTTGAAAAAATACGATTTTTTCCAAAAAATTTTTTTAATAATTTTTCTGAAAATTTTTTTTAACAGCTTTCAATATCTTTCAAACAAAACAATGTTGATAAAGATTATATCAAAATTTTACAACTTTTGTCTGGAGAATTTAAAAATTGTGGAGAGTATAATAATTTTGGAGGAGGGGGAAATGGATGTTTGGAAGGACTTAATTGGTTACAAATACTTGGTATTCTTATTTGGTATCATGCATCCCCTACAACAACAATGATTGAATGTTTGGATATTTTACAGGAATTGGTATAAATTTAAAAATGAATTAAAAAGAAATGAGGAGGAAAATTAAATTTAAAATAATTTTTGTGTGGTTATTTTTTGTAGTTTTAACGGGCAGAAATCAAATAACTCATATCCTCTCCCCTATATTATATTTTGTTTACTAGAGGCGGTTGACTTGTGAAAAAATAAAAAGCTTGAAGGGTTTCAGGTTTCTCGAGCTTTCCTTGCCCCTGAGACCAGACTTGGGGAGGGAGAGATAACGATTATCAAAACTAAGATTTTATGAGAGGATAATCGGTCTCAATTGGTTGACATATATTCCTCACAAATCCACCGTCTCACAAAAAAAATATATCTTTTTTGTATTTTAGTTATCAGGATTTTTTCAGAATTTTTATGTTTTTCGGAAATTTATGTCTATTTAACTCCTGTATTCAACACACAATATATGTATACCTAAAATATTCTTTATCACAAATTTTTGTTTTGACTTTTTCTTTAAATTTATTTTTGGTTGTTACGAAAACAGTATTTTTGTCAAGCATTTTTCTTTGTTTTCTATGCAAACTTTATTTTTTTATTCAAATAAATATTTTTTAAACTCATTTTTATCCATCTTTTTCTTTACACCTCTCTCGGCTAATATTGTGCCAGTTGTCCCAACAGTAGCAATACCAACCAAGTACAACCGTCCTCCTCTATTCGTATATAATCCACCTTCAGAATCTCCGGTGGTTACTCCCTTGTAAAGGGATCCCGCGCATAGACTAGTACCACCAAGGTAAAATCTAAAAAAACAAATTTAGAACATCGTTTTTTAATTACTGCAAACCCCTTACAGCTGGCACTTGACTTCAATTTTATTGCAGCATGATGGAGTTTTCCGTAGGGTATTAGAGGCGATCCAATGTGGGGTAGTTCCTCTGGTGCCGTTATTAGTCCGTAATCCAACTCCCAACGAGATGGGTAACGCATGCAGTGCGCAGAGGTTAGCACCACATTAGGGGCAATGATAACACCGGTACATATTGCAACCTTCGGGCAGTCGAAATAAGAAATAAAGACAAATTTTATAACTAACATTTTCTCAATAAATCATGGGGTAGGAAAAATACAAAATTAATATTTTTTGTGTATTTCTGTATGTATTTTTTATTCTGGGGAAACAAAATTTTTATAATTAAAAAATATTTTTCTCTTATTTTTAAATAAAACAGACGATTTATACTGGCGGACACAAGAAAAAAATCACCAAAATAACCTTTATTTTTTGAATTAAAAATGTTAAAAATTATTCATCAAAAAGAAAAAAAATCATTTTAAATATTTTTAACAATTTTTTCAAAATTTTCTTCACGCTTTTTGCATTCTTTATTAATATTAATCGGAATGAATTTAACACTTCTTTCAGTAAATATATTTGCTGGGCACAAATCCCTCCCTTTTGGGCACCCTTTAGTCAACCCAGTTATTGGGTAATATTTTTTATGAAATGCTGGGTGGTAGAGAATCTTTTAAAAAATTAATTATCAAAAAATACACCCTTTTAGAAATTACTTTTATAGCAGGCCCATAATTTTTAGTTTGCCATAATTCTATGGAAATAGAGGCGGTGTAGTGGGGAAGAGCTAGAAATAAAACAGAAAATTAAATTCTGAAATTAAATTGTTGTATTTTTTTGTATTTTTTTTTGTGTTTTAAAACAGAATATTAAGGGAAAACACAAAAATAATAATATTTCAGAATCAGAATTTAAAATTTCAGAATTTATTTAAAAATCAGAATGGTTATCTCAGAAAAGATCATAATTTTCAAAAAATCAGAATCAGAATTTCATTTTATAAAATCAGAATTAAAATTTTTCAGAATTATTTCTTGTATTTTTTAATTCTGATTTTAAATAAAACACAAAAACACAAAACATGAAAAACACAATTTTAATTATTCTGATTTTTAATTCTGAAAACAAATAATTGTGTTTTTAATTCCCCCTTTCTCCTTTTATTTGTTCTGAAATTAATTAAAACTCGACCCGTTCCAGCAACACTTTCTTCATCCCCTAAAGTACACAAAAATCCAGCAACCGTTGTGTCATGCGCAGAATATGCAAAATATTTTAAATTAGATATCCAACTACATTTACTATCATTTTTATTTAAACATTCCAATTTTAATTTTATTCTTTTTACGACATCTCCTAGCAAATTTCCTTTAAAAAATTTTTTTTAATTTATATTCCCCCTAAAAACCTCCTCTTAGTCGAATCATTTCCGGAGAATAAATTTGTTGTTCTATTCCAAAATAGAAATCAAAAGCTCTGAAAATAAAAGGGAAGATTTATAAGATAGATAGATAGTCTCGCTTATAGACACCCCCTCCTAGGTGCGAGAGTGGCAATACCTTCTATTTAAGATACCTTTCATTATAAGAGACTCTCTATTTAAGATACCCTTCATTATAAGAGACTCTTCTTGGCTTCAAGGGTGTACATAAAAAGAGGGTTCTTTCTACTACTCACATAAAAGTCAAATTGTAAATGTGTTGCTGAATTTCTTTTGTAAGCCATTCCGGTTGAGTCATGTTATACAAATTCTTTAAAAATTATATTTTTTTAATTTTTTTTTAAATTATTTACTTCAATATAAATAACATCATCAAGTAAACCAATACTTTCAAGTGTAAAATTCACTTAAAATTAAATTTTTTTGTATTTTATTCGAAAAATACAAACTTTTTGTTTTTTCATTAATATATTCAAAGAATTTTTCATTTTCTTTTTTTACATTTAAATAAGCTGGACTTGTTCTGATCTTGGTAAAGAGTTGTTCTGCACGGGGACAAAAGGCGTCCAAGTTCCCAATCTATAAATTAATAATGTGTTTTATTTGTGTTTTTGTGTTTTTCTGGTTTTTATTCTGATTATTAGATTTTGATTTTGTAATTCTGATCTTTTAATTCTGGTTTTAGTTCTGATTTTTTAATTCTGAATTGGTATATTCTGATTTTTAATTCTTACTTTATTCTGATTCTGATTTTTCAGATTTTTTTGTTTTGAGTTAAAATTCTGATTTTATTCTGATTTTTAATTAAAAATATACTATTCACGTTATCTGTATAAATAGGCACTGTATGTATCGGAATGGGTGTCCAACGCGATGGCCATTTCTTTGGCAAATCGGGAATGTCAATTCCTGGCACTCCCACCGGAAACCTTTAAATAAATATCCATTAATTTAATTTTTAAATTTTATTTTTACATTCCAGCAAGATTTGCTTGGGCACTAGCCAAAGTTCTATTCACGTCTGTACTTCTTATATAGATCTCTTTAGGGGAATAACGCTCACTGATGAATTTATTGTCTAGAATATATCGTTTTCGAAGTAAATGGCCGAGAGAATATTGTTGACGCATTCCCAACTTTTAAATTAAAATATTTTTAAAAATTCTCCAAAAAAACTTCTGTAAGTTCCCCAAACCCAAACGGCCAACGACTTTCCCCGTTGGGATCAGTTGGGTATGTTGTTATTGGAGCTCTATCTCCATGTCTCCAGATCTATTTAAAAAATTAATTTAATTAATTTTAAAAATAATTTTAATAGCCAACCGTGTGGACAAGCAACAATTTGTCTTCCTCACTTTCTCCATTTTGTAAGGTATTTCCAAAAATCAGAATTAATAAAAACAACATAAACATTTTAGAGAAACATAAAATTTCAGAATTTCTGTTAAATAAAAACAATCAGAAAAACATACAAAACTTTGTTGTAATTTTATTCTGATTTTTAAACGAACAATTTAAAGGAAAACAAAATCAGAATTTTTCTTAAATTAAAGTTGGAAACAATGTTTTAAATTTATTCTGATTTAATAAAGTTGGAAAAACACAAAACATTGACTAAATGTTTTAAACTTATTCTGATTTAGTTGGAAAAACACACAAACTTTGTTTTAAATTTATTCTGATTTTTTTTAAAGTTGGAAAATAAAAACAAATAAAACGTTCTGTCAATGCTTTTTCCTTTTTGCTAGCAAGGAAATAAAACTAGCAAGGAAACAACTGTTAGGTTTAATTAATTAAATAGGAGTCAGAGATTAATTATACAGATTAGTATTTTATTTGCTAGTGACTGGCTTTTAATTAAATATTCTGATTTTAAAGTTTAATTTCGATAAAACGTTTCCCCTGCCAGAACCTTTCCCTCCTTAACGAGTCAGTCAAGTTGGTCTCGGTGACGTCTTATCTGACGGTGACGTCTTATCGAGTTTTTGACTAGTTCAAAAAATTTTTTTGGGAAATTTTTTGAAATTTTTTGCGAATTACTATAGCCATTATTTTTTATTTTAATTATTTTTTTATCTAACAAATTTTTTACTTTTTCTAGATTTCCAACAAAAACAACAACCTACAAAAAAGATAAAAATGTAGTCCCTGTCCAAGAGAGGAAAGGGCATTACTGGGAATTATAATTGGGTCACAACAGAGGAGAGATTGCTGAGTGATGGCAGAGTGGTTCCAGTTATCTGGGACAGTTCTTTTTTTTATTTTTCTTGGCAGTGTTGTGGTCAGTTTTTCTTGTTTTCCAAGCTTCTTTTTTCTTCTCTTTAAGTACTGTGCAACTGGCGTTTCTTCCAAATAAAAAGAAGAATGAGAGGGAAATATGAAGAATATTTAGAGAAAAAAGATTTTTTGTTTGAAGATTTGCCAGTAGAATAGAAGAGAGAAATTGTTCCAAAAACCCCCTTAAAGGCGAACGCTTGTCTACAGATGAAGATATATAAATTCGTCAGAAAAACAAAAATTCACTGCCCAAAAGAAAGGAAGAGCTTCGCGATGGGGGGTCAAAGGTTGCGTCATTTTTTGGGTATAGGTCGTAGTAGGATGTGGAAAAAAATAAGAGAAAAATGAAGAGTGGACAGCAACCGCTGGTGAGGGAACGCCGGTCAGATTTTTTCTTTTTTGACCTATTATCTTGCCAGACTGGACATTGGGCATTTTTATGTGTTTAATAGAGGAAGACAGTCTCTGACAGAAAAATAAAAAAAGAGAGGTGAATATTATTATTTTTTTGTTTAAGAAGAGAGAGAACACCAAGACATTCTCAACTTTTTTTTGCTTTTAATAACTCAACAGAAAAATTAATTTTTCTAAAGCTTTTGGTATGGTTAAATAGAGAATTGAATAAACTACAAAATCTGAAAAAATCAAAATTTTAGGAGAAAAACAAAAAAAGTTGTGATCAAAAAACTGTTAAAAGTTGACGTTTTTGAAGGTTTTTTGACCACAACTTTATTCTAGATTTTCAAAAAATTTTTGAATTTAGCTTCATTTTGTAGCAAATTTAATTCTCTATTTAATGATACCAAAAGAAAATTTTAAAAATTTATTTTTCCCGAGTTATAGTCCATTAAAACACCCATGTCAGTCTACCCAAATTTGCCTAAAAACAAAAAAAGACGAGCATTTCTTTACATTGGCATCTGCTACTATTTAATATGTACTCTCCCTACATTTTACTGACCACCTCCTATTTTTACTGGACAGTAAAAAATAAAAAGGGCTGAGACTGTCCATTTTTACTACTACCAATTTTTGCCTTGTTGCGCTCCTTTCTCCCTATTAAAAACTGAATAAATAATTTTCTGGTTTTATATCCATAAAAGCAAAGAAGAAAATGCCAATGTAGGGAAAGACGACTGGCACAAATTTGATATTTATTTATTGTAATCGGGAGAAAAATGGAGACATTTTATTTAAATGGTAACAGATGTTAATGGAAGGATTTTTGAATTTTTTTCCTCTTTAAAAAATTAAAAAGTTAAAATGTTTTGGCATTTTGTCATTATTGACAGCCGAAAAGTTTAAATTTCCTTTTAAAATTCAGGGGAAATATTCACAACAAAAATGAATGTTTCCGGAACATTACAACAACTTTTGTCTTTAGCTGATAATCAGAAAACAATGAATTTTGACAACATTAATAGTCATCAACATGTTTGTGAAAAAGAATCTCAACAACAACATAATTATGTTATTGTTTCTGAAGAGAATAAAGAAGAAGAAAAAAAGGTGGGGATTTTAAAAATAAAAACATGTTTTACAATTGTAAAACAAATAAATGTTTTTACAAAAAGTTATAAAACAAAGTTGTAAAAACATAAAACTTGTCTCCAACAATTTGTAAATTAAAATGTTTGCAAGTTTTTATAAACAGTTAAATAAACATGTTCATGTTTTACAATTTGTAAAATTGTAAAAACATGTTTATTTGAATTTTACAATTTGCAAAACAAATGTTTTACAAATGTTTTTACAAAACAATGTTTTGTTACAAATGTTTTTGTAAAAACAAATGTTTTACAAATTGTAAAATTTAAATAAACATGTTTTTACGATTTTAAAGTAAACAAACTTGTTTAGAAAATATCAGGCAAAGTTTTAATATTAAACTTTTTACAATTTGTAAAAATTGTAAATTAAACTTGAAATTAAATAAACTTGTTTTTCCCTTTTAAAGTCTGTTGAAAATTCTGAAATAAACAATTGCAAGGAAACTGAAAATACAAAAACTGAAGAATGTGCCTTACCAACAACAAATGGGGGTTTTGAGGAGAAAAATGAAGGAGAAAACCAATTAGAACAACAAATTGAAAACCCAATTCAAAGACCAATTTCTGTAGATGTTAATCAATTTGATTTTAGTTTGCCAGACACAATAAGAAAAGAAGGGATATTTTTTAGGTGTTTTTAAAGATAATTTTTAATAAAAATTATTTTTTAGTTTTGATGAATTCGAAAAAGCGTTTAAAGAATGGCAAGTTCTCTTCCAACAAAAGTTCCGTGTGGCCAGTTCTGAAAAGCAAGGAGATGAGGATTCTCAAGTTTTTAAACGTTTCCGATATCGATATGTTGTCTATCATTGGTGGGAATTTAAAATCAGAATCTTAAAAACATTTTCAGAATTAAATTTGAACATTTCTGATTTCAGAAACTTAAAGTACAAAATTAAAAATAAAAACATTTTCAGAATTAAATTTAAACAAAACAACTTATCAGAATTTAAAGTCAGAAAAACAAAACTTGTTTTAAATAAACTTGTTTTACAATTTGTAAAATAATTTGTAAAAATTGTTTTGCTTCCGGAAGATAAAAAATTTCCAAAATGTTTTTACAATTCTGAAAAATTATATTACAATTTGTAATTATAAATAAACTTTTTTCACTTTAAAACTTTAAGTACTCGTTATGGAGAACCGAGAAAGCGTGGGGCTGGTCGAAGACCTCACCAAGTTATTTTTTCTTCCTTTAATTTCTTCAAAAATTTATTCAGAATTATCTTCCTTGTGGGTGCAAAGCAAAATTAAGGCTAAATTATCATGCACAAAATGGTGGTTATTTGCTTATTACAACTTTGGAGACTGAACATAACCATGACGATAAACATCCACACTTTAATGAAAGAGGAGAATTTAATTTTGATTCTGATGGGGAAAATGGAGGAAGTAAAAAAATAAGAAGTTCTCCAGAGGATGTTGGGTCTTGTGGTAAGGAACTGTTGAAGATATTCTGGTTTTAAAATCGGAATTCTGATTTTCAAAAATCAGAATTCTGATTTCTCAAAAATCAGAACTATTTTAAAAATCAGAATTTTGAGCTTAATAATCAGAATTCTGATTTTCAAAATTCAGAATTCTGATTTTAAAAAATCAGAACTATTTTAATAATCGGAATTCTGATTTTTCTGGTTCAATCAGATCACATCATTATATTTAAGAACACAGTCCAAACAGCACCGGATCTTTCAAAACACCCGTTGTTGTCTCAGCATTTTCACCTTTAAGTCTACAACCATTACATAATTCCCCTTCTTCTGGTGGTCAAAGCAGTTCTGAGGGTGCTGCAGAATTAATTCAACAACAACAAAAACTACAAAAAAGACCATCAGCGTCCCCACGCGAAAGAAAATCTTCAACTTATCGAAATAATAAAACAATGAATGGACAACAACAACATAAAACAACAACATTTTCTAGTACTTGTGATTCTTCTCAAGTTAAAAATGAAGGAGAATTGGATACTGCTTTTGCGTTAAATTTGGCGTTGGTGTGTTTCTGGTTTTTAATTGTCTTTAAAATAATTCTGATTCCAAAATAATTCTGGTTTTAAATTAATTCTGATTTTTAATTCTGATTTTAAACTAATTCTGATTTAAAATAATTCTGATTTTAATACAATATTATTCTGATATTTAATTCTGATTTCTAATTCCGATTTTAAAATTATTCTGATTTTTAATTCTAATTTTTTGAAAATAATTCTGATTTTCTTTAATTTAAATACAGAAGGCTCACCACAACGCTCAACAACAACAACAAACAATATTTCCAACAGAATCACCACAAAACATTCTCTCAACATCATTTCAGAATTTTCCAACAACATCTAATAGACAAACTCCATTTTCTGATTTTATGCGTTTTCGACCACCTTTACAATCACAATTAAATAATTCAAATCAAAACAATAATTTATTGCCTCTAATTCAAGAATTGATTAATCGTTCAAATGGGGGTGATAAACAAGGAAATTCTGTTGTTAATCAATCAGAACAACAACAACAACTTCTTTTAGGTCTTTTATCTCAACAACAGCAACATCAACAAACACCCCAGACATCTATTAGACAACAACAAGTTGGAAATGCTTCTGCTTCCTTATTATCTGCTTTGCAACATTCTATTTTAGTAAGGAAAACATTAAGAAAAACATTTTTTATTGTTTTGTTGTGTGTTTTTATTTAGTTCTGATTTTACAAAACATTAAAAACATGAAACACAAACAAATAATAATTTTCAGAATATGAAATAAACATTTTCAGAATTTAAAATTAAAAGGAAAATTTCAGAATAAAAGTCAGAAAATGTTTATTTCATATTCTGAAAATTTATTATTTGTTCGTGTTCTAATGTTTTTCTAAAATCAGAATTAAATAAAAACATTATTTTAAAAACATATTAAACATGAAATAAAACAAATAATAAATGTTTGAATTAAATTCTGGTTTTTTAAAATCAGAATTTAATAAAAACATTCGACTGTTATAAACTTTGTCAAATTAATTTAGCAACAACAGCGTCCCCAACAACAACATTCTTCTTTCAACAATCAAATCACCCCTTCTACTTCCTCTAATAATAATTCTGCTAACATGATGGCACTTTTACACATACAAAATATACTTCAAAATTCTCCAAACATTTTTGGGTTAAAAACGCAGCAACAACAACAAACAACACCCAATTTAATTAATTTATTATCTGGAAATAATAGCAATAAAATTATGTCTGCTTCTGCTTCTAATAATATGAAAAATGATACAACAGAAGCAAGAAGAGCCGATATAATTCAAGTAAAATTTTTTAATTTTTCAAATTTTACCAAAAAAATATTTTAGGAGGCTGATCAAATACTTCAAACAATTGTTCAACAAATGATTAGAACTAGGGATTTAGCCAGTTATTTGCGTAGACTAAGACAATTTTTGTCTGATAATTTTGTTGAGTGATATTTTGAGGATTTAAAAAATGTTTCTCATTTTTAAGTAAAATACATTCCGAGTTGACTTAAAATTCTGATTTTTATGTTCAAATAAAATTCTGGTTCTGTATAAAATTACAAATAAAAAATCAGAATTATTTCCCAACAACATCCAACAACACTTATTTTTCCTATCAAGCTATTTACTTCTACCTATTTATTTTTTGTTGTTTTCGATTCGATTTCTGATTATTTTTTATACCTCTTCTACATATAGCTTGCCTTTAGTACTTATATATTTTTGCTTTTATTATAAAACTTTCTATAGCCTTACTATTATTTTTTATTTTGTCTTCTCGAGATTTATTGTACTTTGATTTTGTAAAAAATAAAGACTCAACATGTTTTAATAAAATTGTTTTACAACTTTACAAATTGTAAAAAAGTAAAACTTGTTTTACAAACATCACCAAGTTTAAAAAAACAAGTTTGTTTTGTTGTTTGTTTTAAAACAAGTTGCTTTGTTGCAAACAGGTTTTTAAAACATCAAGTTTTACAAACATAGATAAAAACAGAGAAACATGTTTTACAAACATTAAGTTTTAAATTTTGTTTTTATTAAACTAGGTAAAACTTGAACATGTTTAGACAACAAAACATACGTTTAGAGGTTATTTCTATTCAAATAAATTAATTTATCATTATCAGTGGGTGATATATATTTTTATATAAATAATTTTATTAAATTATAAAAAAGAAACAAACTTATTTTTGAAGGCTATAAATTCAAAAATTTTTATGACATTGCATTGTTTGCTATTTAAATCGCTTATGAGAGGTATTTTTCCAGCTTTTCACTCTTTGTTGTTGAAATAAATATTCGATAATATGATTGAAATGTGTTTTTTTAATTTGTTTTTGTTGTGTTTTTGTGTTTATTAATTTTATTTTTTATTAATAATTTACAAAATTAAATCAAAATTTTTTCTAAATTTTTTCATAATCGATCTGATCATTTTAATTAATTTAAGATGGAACACCTTTTTTATCAGGTCGCCTCTCTTTAATAATTTTTAATTTTTTAACTGTGAATTGCCTAAACATAGTTTTTAATTGATCAAATATTTAATGTATTTTTATGTAAATTTTAAAGAATAAATAAATGTATTTCCCAAAAAGTATTTTATTAAAAATACACTTTTCGGAAGCATTTTATAAACGATGCTATAAACATCTGTATTTTGCTTTCCGGAAAAACAATACAAAACACATGTTTTTATAAAATGCTTTAATGTTTCCGGAAAGTATTTGTTAATAAATAAATATTTTCCGGAAAACACATTAATTTTTTTAAAATCTACATAAAAAATTTCCGGAAAAATGCGTATACAATTTAAAATACGTTTAGATATCCGGAAATGTATTTTCCAAAATCACAAATAATTGTAACATTATTTTTGTAAATAAATTAAATATTTAATTAAAAGATTACAAAAATACTTCTCGTGACATTTTTTTAATTTTTAAAGAGAATTAAAAAATAATAAAACAATTCGGCTTAACTTTTAAATAGCTTAAAAATTTTTTTTTAAGTTGTAAAAAAAGTTTTGGCCCTTTCTCTCTTCTCTTTTCAAAAAAATTTATGTTCCTTTTTTAATTTTTTATGTTTTTTACATCTCTTTTATTAAAATATTTTTTTATTAAATTTTTTATTGCCTAAAAAAGGAAGAATCAATTTTAATTATTAATCAAATATTTTATTTTAAAAATTCTAGACAAATCATGAGAGAATTAAATACATCTATTTTAAATTATACAGCCTTTAAATATGTAACTGTTAAAAACACTAAAAAACACAAAGAAACAATTAAAATGTTTCCGGAAAATACATTTTGATCACCATGTTTTGGAGAAAAAACATTTCCGGAAAAGAAAACACATTTAAAGAAAACACATTCTACATTCCGGAAACAAATACATATATCTTTTTCGGAAAACTTTTTCGGTATTTTCCGGAAATGTGTTTTCTCGGAAAATACATTTAATATAAAGTTTTCCGGAAAACACATTTTTTCAGTAAGCTGTGTGTTTTCTCATAAACACTTTTACTTGAAAAGTTTTCCGGAAAATACTTTATATCTTTAAATATCTGTCAAAACACGTTACTACTTAATAGAAAATATTAGTTCCGGAAAAACATGTACTTATTTATTTTTACTTGTAGAAAATAAAATATTAAACCATAAAAACATTTAGTACTATTTACGTAACCCAAAGGTGATCGCACTTCGTTAAATAAATGAAATATTATTTAGAACATTTTTATATTTTTTTGTTTGTTTAGTAATTTTTTTAATTAAGTACTAATTTAAGAAAAGTAAAATATATAAATGTTTTTTTTTGTTTTTATTTAAAAATGTTTATTTTTTACTAATTTAATGTTTACTTAAGGATATAAAAAATTTGTTTTTTTTCTTATAAAACCTTAAACCTATTATAACTCAACATTTTTATTTTTCAAATCATTTTATTTAAAATTTTTATACATTAAAGAATGTTTTCCGGAAAATATAAACTGTTAATAAAAAATACATTCCGGAAATGTATTTTCTGAAATGTGTTTACAGAAAAGTTTTCCGGAAAATATATATTAATAGAAAACACATTCCGGAAAATACATTTATATAGTTTTCCGGAATGTATATATTAATAAAAAATACATTCCGGAAAATGTGTTTACAGAGAAGTTTTCCGGAAAATATATGTGTATAATAGAAAACACATTCCGGAAAATACATTTATATAGTTTTCCGGAATGTATATTAGTACCAATACATAGTAGAAAATACCGTTCCGGAAAATACATATGTATTTTCCTGAAAACATTTATTAATAAACACTTTCCGGAAACATTTTAGTATAAAAGTCTTTATTTTCTAAAAACATGTATTTTTTGTTTTCCGGAAAAAGTTGTTGTGTTTTATATTTATTTTGTGTCTTAATTTCTGCCTTATCAATAGCTACTAATTATTTACATTTACTTTCATTTCCAAATTGAACCACTCATTAAAAATATTTAATTTTAAAAAAGGGTGGGTATTTATAGCTTTTCCTTTTTTAGTCTTTTTAAGGACAAGTTAATTAAAAAATCTTAAGACTTTTTTTATCATCTGATAATTTTGATAAAAATTTTTTTGCTTATCTCTTTAAGGCTTTTATTTTTATTTTAAGACGTTTTTAATTTATTTTTTTCCTTCAATGAATAATAAAGAATGCAACGTTTTATATTTACCAGAAAAACAACAAATACAATAGCACCATTTGTTGATATTGAGAAAGGGATTGGTGGTGGAGGTGAAGTTGAAAAAACAACAGAGAATAACAACAAAGGAGTTAAAGCAAAATATTATAATGAAAATTGTTTTAAATTTAAAAGTAAGGAGAACTTTTTTGTAGATTTTTTAGGGGAGAATAATTTTTTAAAAAATTTTTTGTATGACATTTTGTCCCAAAAAATTTTTTTGAATAAATTCTTAAAAATTAAAAAAAATATTTTTGGGACAAAATGTCATCTACACACAATTTTAATTTTCAAAAATTTTTAATTTCTAGGAAAATCCCTTCGGATACTCCAAAATGTTGCTACTTTATTGGAGGATTGGTTATTGCTTGCATTGCTGGGAATTCTTGTAGCTTTGTGTTCTTTAATTATGGATATGGCTATTGAATACTTGCAAACATGTTTAGTAAATTTTAAAAAATTTTTTAGAAAATTTTTTTGTGATTTTCGAGAATATTTTTTATTGGGACAAAATGTCACCTAATGAAAAAAATTTTTAGTCTTTAAAAAATTTCAAAAAATTTTTCCATTAGGATGACATTTTATCCCAATCTAAAATTCAAAAAAATTTTTCCCAATTTCAGGGCACGTTTTCTTCATAGAAATTGTTCGAAAAAACACTCAGGGACATTTAAACCTCATCTCTACTTACTCTGTTTGGGCAGGTTATATGCTTATATTGGTTTTGGCTTCAGCTTTTTTTGTTCGTTTAATTTCTCCTAGTGCTATTGGAAGTGGAATACCTGAAATGAAAGTTGGGAAAATTTTTTTTTATTTTTAATTATTTATTTAGACAATACTTCGAGGTGTTATTCTCAAAGAATTTTTGACTTTGAAAACGCTTTTGTCTAAAATGGTTGGATTAACACTTTCTTTGGGTAGCGGGTTGCCTATTGGAAAGGAGGTTAGTTAAAAAAATTTTTGTGGTTTAGTCAAAACCTTTTTTGGTCATGGTTTAGTTTATGAGTCCAATGAAGCTAAAGGGTTTATTGGACTCATAAACCTCGACTAGATCCTTTTTAAATAAATTAACTAGTCTTTAATGAAGGGTATCATTCAAGGGGTAATTGCTTATTCAGCTCCTTCCAATTTTATAGTCAACCCAAATTTTTGAAGTAAACATCTAAATTTTGAGTTTATCTAAGTCTCGGGATATCTTATAATAAGGTCTTGAACATTTTTTCTTTAAGGGACCATTTGTTCATATAGCCTCAGTTGTCGCTAACCAATTAAGTCATTGTGTCCATTCAATTAAAGGTGCTTATTCGAACGAATCGAGAAGTTTTGAGATGCTTGCAGCTGCGTGTGCAGTGGGGGTTAGTTCAACATTTTCTGCTCCTGTTGGAGGTTTTTCTAAAAATATTTTTTAAAGTTTTTTGAAAAATTATTTAGGTGTTTTATTTTCAATCGAAGTCACAGCAGCATATTTTGCAGTAAGAAATTATTGGAGAGGCTTTTTTGCTGCAACCTGCTCGACTGTACTTTTTCGAATACTTAGAGTGCTTTTAGTTGAAACTGAAGTTACCGGTAAATTAAAAATAAATTTAAAAGTAAAAACACTTGCTTTTAAGTTACTGCCTTCTATCAAACTCAATTCCCTAGAGATGCGTTTTTGCCGGAAGAATTACCAATATTCTCTATTGTTGGGTTAGTTTTGTGTTTTTGTATTTTCCGGAATCAATTTATTTTAAATTAATTGATGGGATGTATTTTCCGGAATGTATTTTGAGAATATTCTTTCCGGAAACATACATACCTATCCGGAAAAGTTTAGAGAAAAACATTTTCTAGAATATTTTCCGGAAACCTTTGTGTTTTGTTTTTACACTAATTGTATTTTCCGGAAGCGTATTTTGAGGAATATTCTTTCCGGAAACTTATATACACTTTTCTGGTATATTTTCCGGAAACCTTTGTGTCTTGTTTTTACACGACTTATTTGTATTTTCCGGAAAATTCTATATTTATTTACTCCCCGAGTTTTTCTCTAAACTTTTCCGGAAAACATTCTTTTTTTCTTTAATTTACCCTCATCTTTTCTAGTGTTATTTGTGGTTTTGTTTCAGCAGCATTTATTTTTCTACAAAGGCATTGTGTTATTTTTCTTCGATATAATTCAATTTCAAAATTTTTTCTTCATAAACAGTAAATTATTTTTATATATTTTTTAAATTAATTTTTATTTTTTAAAAAATAGTTGGTCAATATATCCAATACTTATTGCATTAATTATTGGGTCTATAACCTACCCTCAAGGATTTGGACAATTTTTGGGAGGAGAGGTTTTTTTAAAATAATTTTTTAAATTTTTTTAAAATTATTTTTTAAAGAAAAAATTTATGTACGCAGCAAAAGTAAGCAGCAAAATTTTTTTTTAATTAAAAGAATTTTTGTTTCAAAAAAGGATTTTTTTGCTGACTGCACTTTTTCACTTCCCAACGACAGTAATCGTGCTTGTCCGGAACAATTAATTTCTTCTTGGTCGAGGGAAGACTATTACACTCATTTTACGACGTTGCCCATATTTATTGGAGTTTATGTAAATTTTTTGAAATTTTTTTTTGAAATTTTTAATTTTTTTAAAGTTTATTTTAACAATTTTGGCAAGTACACTACCCATTCCTGCTGGAATTTTCGGTCCTTCTTTTGTCCTTGGTGCAGCTATTGGACGCTTTATTGGAGAAATTATGGTTCTTTTTTTTAATTTTTTTTAAATTTATTTAAAAAGGCCTCATTATATCCAAGCGGTCTTCGAGGTCCAAACGATTTGCAAATATTCCCTGGTGTTTATGCAATAGTTGGATCAGCAGCATTAACTGGAGGAGTAACTGTAAGGAATGAATTATTTTTTTGAACTTGAAAAAATTTTTTTGTAGCACACAGTTTCCGTGGCAGTTATTGTGTTTGAACTGACTGGACAACTTTTACATATTTTGCCTGTTATGGTAAAGAAAATTTTTTATTTTGAAACTTTTATGAAGTTTTTTGTAAAAATTCTTCGAAAATTCTTAGAAATTTTTTTTGAAAAATTTCTTAAAATTTCTTTGAAATTTTTTAGATTGCTGTATTAATCGCCAATGCAATTTGCTCCAATTTACAACCTTCCATTTATGATTCTGCCATTAAATTGAAACAATTGCCATATTTACCTGATATTCCCCAAACCTCTTCTCGGTTTATTTTTAATAAAATTAATTTTTCGATTTATTTAAATTTTCTAGCTTTCATGGAATTTTAGTCGAACAATTTATGACTTGTGATATAAAATTTCTTTCAAATGAAACAACATATGCTGAAATGCAAGAAATTTTATTTGATAACCCGAGGCTTAAAGCTTTTCCTATTGTAGAGAATGAAGGTATTTTTGATTTTTTTTTGTATTTTCTGAAAATTCTTTTAGTCTATATATTTTCCGGAAACTTTTAATCTTTCAGAATTATCATTAAAAATATCCGGATTTTTTATACTTTTCAGAAATCGGAAACTTTTAACAAATACCTATTTCAAATAACTTATTTTCGGAAACTTTTTTTTTAATTTCGGAGCTTTCGGATATTTTTTTATTTTTCGGATTTTATTATTTATTTTCCGGAAAACTATAATATTTATTTTTCTTTTAGAAACACGAATATTAATTGGATCTTGTAGTCGTTCCCGACTTATTAGAATATTAAATTCTCATGTAGGCCCAATTACCAGAAAACAAGAAGCAATAAAAAGAATAAATACAATTGATAGAAGAAAGAATTCCCAAACAACAACAAAAAAAGAATCTTTAATTTTGTCGCCTTCTTCAAATATTCCTCTCTTAAAATTTTTAGAACCTCCAAAAGAACAAAAACATTCAATTATGGAATTTGATAAAATAACAAAAACAAAATCTGAAAGTTTAATTGAAGGGAAGGAAGAGGAGGAGGAAAATGTTAATAATAAAAATAATATTCTCCAACAAAAACAAAGTTTGCAGCAACTATATTTAAAATGTTTAAATAGACCGTCAATGTCTGTTAAACGTTCATTAACTATTCCTGCAAGTTTAAGTCATTCTTCTAGTTCTAGTGATGTTTATAGTACTATTGGAGGTTTCTTTTTGAAATTTTTAAAAATTTTTTGTGAAAATTTTTAAGATATGATTAGAACATTGTCAAGGTTTAGTCAAAGATTTAGACGTGGAGTTGACCAAAATGGTGAGATTGACTTGATGGGAGATGAGAGAACAATTTGGGAACAGGAACAATTGGCTAAACGAGTTGATTTTCGTTCTATTGGAATTGACCCGGTTTGAAATTAAAAAAATTTTGAGGAAATTTAAAAAAAAATTTTTTTCAAGGCCCCCTTCCAATTAGTAGAAGAAACTTCACTTTTCAAAGTCCACTCATTATTTTCAATGTTGGGATTAAATCGGGCTTATGTCACAAAATGTGGTCGTTTGGTTGGTGTTGTTGCTTTGAGGGATTTGAGACTGGCTGTAGAATTAATTCAATCAGGAGATTTAATAGCTCGGAAACCTTCATTAATTTCAAATGAAAGTAGTGAAGAAGGAGAGGAAAATTTAAGCAAAACATTTATTTCAAATTTAGAAGAGGTTTTTGTTTTAATTTTTTGTAGGGAAGGCGGGAGAGGGACGGGAGGATTTTTGAAAAAAATTTTGGAGGGAATTATGGGGTTTGTGGGAACTGTTGGTGTATTGGTATGGAGGGGGGGGGGTTGAGTGAGTTAACAAATTTTAAATTTTTGATGGAATTTTTTTTAATTTTGGGAGGATTTCTTTGGTTTTTTGAGAAATTTATGGGGAAATTTTTGATCAAAAAAAATTTTTTTTAATTCAAGGAATGCCCAGATAAAAATGATTCTCAACCTAAAAATGAAATAACAAACAATGAAGGGTATTTTCGATAAAATTTTTTAAAACATTTTTTAAATTTTTTAGTATTAAATTTCAAACACAAAAAGAAGCTTTAATTGTACCTACAAAAGAAGTATTGAAAAATAATGAAAATAATGTTCCCATTTTTGTAATTTCAACAAGTGAAGATGAAAAATCAAATGAAGAATTAAAAGAAGAACAAGAAGCTTTTGTGGCTAAGCAAGTTTTTTATTTTTAATAATTACTTCAAATTTTGTATTCTTTGGTGTATTCGGAAAATGTTTTGTTCGGGTAATTAGAGGGTCGTGGGTTCGATTCCGGTTGTTGAAATTTTTAGGTAAATAGAAGGAAAAATTATTGAAAATAATTTTTTCAATATTAAAATTTTTTTAGAAAATTTTAAAAATTTTTTAAACTAAAAATTCTCTCTCTTCTTTATTAGTTCTTCCCCAACTTCAACACCTTCATGTTCGCCCTCATCTTCCCATTCATGTTTACGCGGTGCCAACAAAAATAATAATAATAATCCTCCCAGTCCAGTACGTAAAGTTCGTATTATATCACCTCTAAATTCACCAACAGAAGAAGATTTTTGTGATAAAAATAAAAAATTTCCTCCTTTAGAAAATTCTCATTAAAATAATTTTTAATTTTAGAAAATTTCAAAAAATTTAAAAAATTTTCCAATTTCCTGAAATTTTTTTGGAAAATTTTTTGAAAATTTTCTAATGACCATAAAAAATAATTTTCATCCATTTTTTGTTTTTTTATTCTTGTTATATTCAAAACGAGTTTATTATTATTTTTGCATTTTCTGTAGCTTTACTTTAAAAATTGTTTCTTCTTTGACAATATTAAAAAAATTTTTTAATGCTCATTTTATTTTTCATTTTTTGTTGCCTTTTTTTAATTTTTTTTAAATTTTGTTGATTTTTTATATTTATACTTCTGTACACGTTGACGATTAAAAAATAATTTTTTTTAAATTTATTTTTATTTTTAAATATTTTAAAAATATTTTTTAAAAATATTTTATATTTAATTTCTAAAATTTAAATATATTTTTATAGTTAAAACAAGATTTTTTAATTGAGAAAATGAGGTCGTTTGTTGTTCTTTTTGATGAATGTTCCTCCTCCTCTTTTGATGAGTGTTTCTCTCTCTTTGCAAGATTAATATCTTTATGTTGAAGTTGTGTTCAAAAATAAATTTGTTTAAAAGTTTTGATGAAAATCTTTGGATGGTTATGTTTATTAAACAGGTTTATTTTTTTATTTTATAATTTAAATAATTAATTTTTTAAGCTAGTTGGCTAGTAGAAAAAATTTTTTATTTTTTGAAAAATTATTTTAAAAAAAAATGGATGTATTGTTTGGGCATTCAATGAAAAGGTTGTTGTTTTAAATAAAAAATTCTGAATTTTTTTTATTTTGAAACTGATTAAAATTTTTTGCAAAATTTTTTTCAGTATTCCTTTATATTTTTAAATTTAATAAGTTCACTGAAATTGTAAATTAATTTACAAAGTTTTCGTAAAAACAATTTAGTTCCTCAGACGTTTCCGGAAAAATCTTAAACTCAATTATTTAATCTAAAAATAAATTCTGAATTTTTAAAAATCAGAAATTTTGGATTAAAAAAATTTTTGAAATTATTTTTTCTTTTAGTCTCTATTTGTTCGGAACTTGCAATGTCATTCATTCATTATTTTCAAGAATTGTTATAACCAAATTCTTTTTTGACTATCCTATTGTTATTTCATTGTTTAATGTAAGTTTAAATTAATTTTAATTTATTTTAAATTAAATAAAATGTTTTTAAGATGGCGTTAATTCTCTCATTAATTGAATTTGGAAGGTAATTTTAATTATTAAAATTTTAATTAATTTATTTTTATTTTAAAGAATGACAAAATTAGTCAAAGTGCAGCCATACACTGTAAATCCTTTTATAAATAAATAATTATATTTTCCGGAAACTCTAACATAAAATTACAAATTGTAATTATGTTTTTTCCGGAATTGTAATATAAAAATTTCTCTGAAGCATAGATATGTATATTTTTTCCGGTTTTTATGTCTCAAGAATTTATCTATCTTTCCGGAAAATTATTAAAGTACTTCCGGAATTATATTTTTTTATATTTTCCGGAATTGTATTAACCTTCTCCGGAAATTCTATTCACTTCCGGAATTTAATTTATATTTTCCGGAAAAATATTTATTTCCGGGATTCTATTCCTTATATTTTCCGGAACTATCATAGAATTACAAATTGTAATTTATTTTTCCGGAATTGTAATATAAATATTTCTCTGAACCATACATATATATTTTTCCGGAAAATTATTTTACTTCCGGAATTTTATTTCTTATATTTTCCGGAATTGTATTAATATTCTCCGTAAATTCTATTCACTTCCGGAATTATATTTTACTTTCCGGAATTTTGATTTATACTTTCCGGAAGAATATATTATTCATTTTAAACAGTTTCATCGTGGAAAAGCTATGTTTGTGCCTTCCTTTTTCTATTGTCTTTCGCAGTTTGTTTTTCTAAAATTTGTAATTTAATTTTAATATATTTTTACAGTTATATATCCCTCAACTGTCTTGATGGAATTTCTCTTCCATTTTTTCCATTTCTCGAAAAATTTATAGCAATAACTACAATTCCTTTTTATTTTTTTATTTTACGAAGACAACGACCTTCAATCCAAACTTTGACAATTTTAATGTTTATTTGTTTTGGATCTGCTTTGGCTTGTAAATTTGCCTTAATAAATTTAAAAAAAATATTTTTTTTAGCTGTATTTGAAATAAGTTATGATATTTGGGGGTTAGCCTACTCTCTTGGAGCTTTGGCTATGCAAACTTCAAGTTTAGTTTTAATTGAAAAAGTCCGGGCACAAATGGATATGTCTGTTGTGGAATTAATTTATTTAAATAGTTTCAATTGTCTTTGTCTATTTTTGGTGGCGGATATTGTCCAGGATGAATTGAGGGATGCTTATTCATATTTACAGGTATTACAAAGCAAATTACAAATTGTAATTTTGCTTTTCCGGAATTGTAATATACCTATAAGCATTTTTCTATAACACTATTTTTTCGGTTAGACATTTTCCGGAAATGTTTATATCTATGTCTATATCTTCCGGAAGCTATATATTTTCCGGAACAATTTATAATTACAAATTGTAATTTTGCTTTTCCGGAATTGTAATATACATATAAATATTCTTCTATAACGCTCTAGTTTTGGTTAGACATTTTCCGGAAATGTTTATATCCTTGTCTCAGGAAACTATATTTTCCGGAACAACTTATACAAATTGTATTTGTATTTTCCGGAATTGTAATACACATAAACATTTGCTTGAAGTAGTTTACCAGTAATTTAAAAATTTTCCGGAAACAAAATAGAATATGTATGTACAACCAAAATTCTCTAACATTCTTCTTCCATTACAGACAAGCACAACAACTACATTTTATGTTTCTCTACTTACAATGATAATTTCCGGTTCCTTTGGGCATTGTTTATTATTGTATTGTGTTGCAACTACAAACACAGTTAAAAATACTTGAAATTACAAATATAAAATTGAAATTTTATTTTCAGTTAAATACAGCAGTTACCCAAAATTGTTCAGCATCAATACAAATATTTATTGCCTATTTACTTTCTATTGAAGTTTTTTATGATTCCGAGCCAAATTTTACAACATTTTTGGGTGTTGTAATAGCTATAGTTTCGACAATTTTTTATTTTCTTTCTTCAAAAGATAAAGAATTTAAACCTAATGCACAAATGTCAACAAAATATCATTCTCTTGTGCAACATGAATAAATTAAAAAATTAAAAAAAATATTTTTTTAATTTTAAAAATGATTTTTTTGTATTTTTTTATTTTCTATAAAAGCATTTTTATTTTTAGTAATTTAATTTTAAATTAAAATGTTGGCAACATTTTAAGCTAATTAATTAATTAATTAATTAATTATTTTTTATTTTTTTTTCTTTTAATTTTCGAACATTTTTTTTCTTCTCCCAATTTTTATATTTATTTGTTTGGGGACTCTTTTATAATCAATATATTTTTATTGCCAAGGAAAAGCTTCCCTCTGTTGTTTATTTCCTTCAAACTCTCGTTTTTTTAACCCTTCTAGCCAAGAAAAATGTCGATGGTTGGTAGCTATAGAATATATAGTTAGTAGCTGGCAGCGACCTCAGAGGTTTTCTTTTATATTTTTTTTTAAATTTCTAAAAGAAAATTTTATTTTTAAGAGTTATTTTTTGTGCAAAACTTCAGCAAAAAATTTATTTTTTAATGCTTTTATTTTTTAATTTGGCCTTTTTCATCAAATGAAGAAGAAATGTTGTTTGTAAATATTGGCAGTCCCTACCAATTTGTTTTTGATAGAAGACTAAACTTGAAGTTTGTATTTTTGTTAATTCTCGTTCCTTGTATTTTTGGCAAACAAGAACAAAGGTTTGGGTTTTAAATTAAAAAAGAAGTTTTTGGGGAGGGGGGGCAAAACAACGTCCGAACAAAATACCGTCTAGGCATTAAAGCGGGAAATACAGCCCGATTTACGGAAAATAAATTAGGTTCATCTCAAATTTATCTTCTAGACCATAAGGCTGTTTGAATGATGCTAACCATAAGGCTAATACAGCACTTACATATTTGCCTAAAATTTTATTTTAAAATTAAATGTGGGGACGGTATTTTGGTCGGACGGTGTTTCGCCCTTCATCCAATTTTTAAAAAATATTTTTAGTGTGATAAAGAAGGCTGAACAACTTTCACGTGCTCTTAGAAGCATTTTTGAGGATGGAACAAAATATGAGGAAATTTCTAAAGTAATTTTTATTAAATATTTAATTTATTTGAGTAAATTTCAAGGCATATTCGGACCTTACAGACGCGGATGTTTTTAATCCGGAAGAGGAATTGAAGACAATAAAGGAGGAAATTGAACAATATTTAAAGGAACGGGCAGCAATCGCTTGGAATGCCAAAATTAGTTTGGAACAACGCCCATTAAATTTTGATGAAGGAAAAAATGGGGAAAATGAAACTAAATTAGAAGATTTGAATGACCCAAATAAACATTCTTTTGTTCGATATTTGAATGTGAAGAAGATGAATGATGGCTCGACGCTTTATAAAAATAATTTTGGAGGGTCTTATGAGGTTTGTAAAAATTTTTTTTATTTAAAACAACTTGACAATAGGAAAGGGCGAGTCGGCCAGGGACTAAAATTTTCGATTTTCGGCGGCCGCCCTTGTCAATAGAGTTGTCCAAAACATGAGAGGTTGATAGTTAAATTCCCTTTCATTTTTTTCCACAGGCATTTATGTATTTTCCTCATTTTCTTCAACTTAAAGAGGGACTCAACTATCAACCTAGCGCAACCCTTACTCACCTAATTTCCTCATAAAAACATTTTTTCTCTTTTTTAAAGGTAAACGGTAGTCGTCAAGTTCGTCTCCGCCCCAATCCAAATTTTTACGGTTTACCAACAAGTTCAGAATCTTCAGCTGTTCATGTACCCACACCTATATATAATAGAGGTTTTTTTATTTTCAGAAATTTTTATAATTTTTCCCAAAAAGATCCAGAATTGCTTCAACGTATTCGTTGGTCAGATATAGACCAACAATATCGCCGTAATAGAGAGCAATTAAAAGATTTAAATTTTCAGGTTTAATTAAAAAAAAATTTTTCTTTAATTATTTTCCCTTTTTTCAGAAGTTCTGCTCAGATTCTGGATTTATGCGTTTCTTTCCCAGTGCCCCATGGCTGTGGGAGGATAGACAATCAGAATTGGACCTGTTTGATTGTAGAGTAAGTTTTTCTTTAAATTTAGTTTTAAGCCCCCCCCCCTCTCCAAACGGACGAAATGGAAAACTAGAGAAAAGACGCCGTAATGCGGGAATTTGTTCACATTTTGGCATTTCGACAGCTTTTTAGTGCTTCTCATTGACATATCGGCATTTTGCCATTTTTTGTATTATATTTTTAAAATAATTTTTTTTATAAAAGAACACAGAATGGTATGTTGAAGCAGCTACAATTCCAAGAAATTTAATTATTCTTTTGGACACTTCTGGTTCAATGCTTGGCCAACGTTTTGAAATTGCTAGACAAACAATTGAATCGATACTTAGTTTGGATTTTTTTGAATTTTAAACATTTTTTGTATTTTTAGGTACATTGTCAGACAGCGACTTTTTTAATATAATTCAGGTTTTTTTTAGAATTTTCTAAAATTTTCCAAAAAATTTATTTCTTTCTCAGTTTTCAAAAACAACCACTTTAATGGAGCAATGTGGAGACCGTGAACTTGTTCAAGCCTCTTTACGCAACAAAAAAGTGCTTCTTTCTAGGCTTAACAATATAAGTTCTGAAGGGAAGGCAGACTACGAGAATGCTTTGCACAAAGCTTTTGTTGCCTTAATGAACGTGAGTTTATCTTAAAAAATTAGAAAAGACTTGGTGATACCGAGTTTTACGTACGTCCCCCTCTCTTTTTTTCTTACTATGGTCAGATTTGTTCAATTCCACTCGATTTCTCTGTAGCTTATTAAAATGAGAGATATTAAAAAAATTTCCGTAGAAGGAAGTCTGACCATTATGTCATTTAACGAAAAAAGAAAAAGAAGGGACAAAACTCGGAATTATCAAAAATTTTAACTTAAAAATTTAAATTTTTGTTTGCTTTTTTTGCTTATATTTTTGCTTTAAAAATGAGTTTTTTCATTTTTGCTTTTGTTTTTTCAATAGTTGCCAGAAGAAGGCGTTAAATGGATGACAAAAGAAGAAGTAGCTAAAGAAGCAGCAATTCACAGGTCTGAAGGGACTGAGCCTGATCCAGACATAAATTATATTCAAATGGAGGAAAAATGTAAGTTTTAATAAGATGAAGCTTCAAAAGTAAATAATCGTTTTGTGCAGTGCTTGTTGCTCCTGAACGCTTCTTAGACGCGGTAAGAATATTAATGCTTTTTAGGTGCTTTATTTGTTCCCTTGGCTTTTTTGGAATTTTACCCTTGAATTTTTCCTTTTTGTAATTTTACCATTTTCCAAGTTTACCATTTTAAATCTGACCCTTTTTTAATTTTAATTTGACCATTTTTTGCTTTTTCCTAGCTTTTGAAGCTTTTTGCCCAAATTTTTATTTTTGACATTTCTTATTGTTATCTGTTTACTATAGATTAAAATTTTTATTTTTAGATTCACAAATTTATGGGAAATCAACACCAAATGGGTTGTCAAGATGTGATTATTGTGAGTTTTGAATTTTTATGTTTGAAAAAAAAATTAATTATCTTTTGTAGCTTATAACTGATGGAGCGCCAGGATTTTTTAAAGAAATATTTGAGCTTTATAACAAGGATAAAAGGGTTTTTTTATTAAAAAAAATTTTTTTTAATATTTTTTAAGATTCGCTTCTTCTCTTTTGTAGTTGGTGAAGAAGCAAAAGATTTTGAACAAGTTAGGTGGATGGCTTGCTCAAATCGGGGGTTTATGGCACATATTGTGTTTGCTTTTAAATTATTTTTTAGAAAATTTTTTTCTTTTTTTCAAGTTCTATGGCAGATGTTCAAGAGGTTTTTTGAGGAAATTCTAAAATAAAATTTAATTTTCTCGTTCAGAAAGTCCAACAATATGTTCGAGTTTTGTCAAAAACTGTGGCTCGTCAAAGAGCTGCGTTTAGTGAAAATACACCCCTTTGGAGTGGCGCTACAAGGGAAAGAATGGTTATTTTTTAATTGTTTAACTAACAAAGGGAACCTCCCGAACTGTGGCTAAAGATTTTAAGTAAGGATACCTTGTGTTCACTTATTGACAATTTTTTGGCCTTTTTGTCTTCGGAGCTATTTTCGGATGGTTTCGGGCCTTCAAGTTTTGACATATTTTGGAGTGGCTGAGTTCCCCTCATTTTTCATATTAGAAAGGATAATGCTCCTTTCCTCCCTCTTTTCTATCTCTTTCTTCTCCAATGTGGAAAAAATGGTTCCTTATAAGAATTGGTCTTGAAATTAAATTTTTAAAAATTTTTAGAGTGAACAATTAGCAGTTTCTGTCTCCTTCCCAGTTATTCTACCAAATGGACAATTTATGGGTGTTACTTCAGTTTCCGTCCCTTTATTAGAATTAACTCAGTTGGCACATCCAATTCGTGTTGGTGGAAAAAGTCATTTTATTTTGTTGGATTCGAATGGTTATTTACTTTTTCATCCACAATTGAGACCTTTGGAATCTTCTACTGGCGAACTTAAATCTGGATTTAACAGCGTAGAATTTGCTGATGCCGAAATACAAAAACCTTTTTTGGTTTTCTTTTTAATTTTTGAAAAATTTTCTAAAAATATTTTTGAAGGCTAATCGTGTGTCTATTGATTGTTCTACTGGGGCTGTTGAACCTAGAAAACTTGAAACTCTTTTTGCTTTTGATGAAATGGTATTTTTTTACTTACGTTTATAAATTAATGATAGGCCTTTGTGTCTATGTGAGACTATCCTTGAAAGTCAGCAAAGTAATCTGGAGGGTAGGGTTACTCAAAACCCCAGACTTTCTTCTATCCGAAACCCGACCCGAAGAACGTTTTGAGAACCCCTACTGAAAAAAAAAGAATAAAAAAAAGAATCCCCGTTCTGACTCTTTTCTCATGTCAGCTCGGCCATCTCAGGTACAAGAGAGAACATTCCTATTTTTTCAAAGAAATGTCATCAAACGAATTTTTTTCGGAACATTTTTTTGTGACTTTTAGTTTTTTTTTAAATTTATTTTTTTAAATTAATTTTTAATTATTTTTAACATTCCTTTTAATTTTTTAGAAACACATATACCCTCAAAACAAGTAATTTTTTATTAAAAATATTTTTTAATTGTTTCTCTTTTTCAGTCATTACCACGTTGTTTGTATTTCTGGAACTCCTTATACCCTTTTATTGGCTCTTCCAAAAGATGACGTTCAAAGATTGCGGAGAACAATTCCTTTAAATTTGTCTTTGTTTCAATTGAATTGGTTAAAAGGGAATGATTGGCGGTTACAAAAAGATTGGAAATATTGTTTACTTAATGATAGTGATTGGGCTATTAGGTTTCTCTTTAAATTTTAAAAAATAAAATTGGGAATTTTTTACAAAAAATTATCCTCAATTTTTTTATGATAAATTGATTTTTGGGACTGTGCCTTAATACCAAACTGTAGAAAAATACAGACTTATAGCTTTCACATTTTACCAAGCGGAAGGGTAAAAAAGCATAGCTCTGCGGGAGACGGGGCGGAAGCTTCAATAAAGGTGAAAAATTCCCCATTAACATAGAAGGGTGTTTCAACACCCTCATTTTGATATTTCGTTGTGTTTTTAAGGAGTTTGGTATTTCGACATTTGTTTCCATCATACAGTTAATTAAAAGAAATTTTTTTCAGTGAAGAAGATGCCTTTACTGAATATATTAAACAAATGCAAGAAAGTGGAAAATTTCCAGGTTTTTATATTTTTTTCCATTAAAACTTTAATTTTCCAGAATTATGCAAACCTCGTCAAAAATTAGTTGAAAGGGCCTTGCTGGATTTACAAGCATCTACTGGATTTTCTCAACTTTGGAATAGGGAATGGGAAAGGAATAAAAAGTATTTTTTTTAATTTGATTAATTTCTTAATATTTTTAAGGAATGGAATTCATTTGGCTTTCTTTGTGGGTACTTCAGGTGTTGTTCGCTTTAAAAATGAAAGTTTGGATCGTTTTCTTTATGATTTTGTGGAAAATGACAATCCGGAAAATTCAGTGTAAGGAATTTAGATTTAATTTGAGAACCGACATTCACGGGTAGAGGAGTTGTTTTCAAGGGGGAGGTAGTTGTGCTAGTTCACTACAGGGTCTGTGACTTTCGGTCTCACCTAGAAGATTCACTATAACAACCTCCCACCGTCCCCGGACAACATTAGGGATGGGCTGGTTCACCGAGGATGGTGGTTGCACCCTTGTAAGAATTTTCGAGTTTGTGGTTAAGTGGTTTATGTCTTAGATTTTTGACTTGGCCCATGTTCGGGTTCGATCCCCCACGGTTCCCTTTGTTTATTTAAATTATTTTTTTTTAATCAGAATATAATTTTAATATTTTAGACCCTCACTTTACCGTCACTTTTTGCTTGATTTAAATCCAAATGCTGCAGAATCTGATTTTTTCCGAAGAGCAACAAGGCAACCTGAAGGACAAATAATATTTGATTTGAATAGAAAAAGTTTACTTTTTTAGAAAAATTAAAGAAATTAAAAATTTTTCAGCTCGTCTTAGGCATAATAAAAATGGAAGAAAAACAGCTTATGGTCATGCTGAAAAAGATGCTATATTAGCTTTGGCATATAAAGCAATTAAAGTAGATGGGGCATTAGCTGGAGTTGTTGGAATTGAGGTTTCGTTTTAATAAAGTTTTTTTTGGGACTACCCCGGAAGGTTAACTGATCCTGGTGGTCAACTCCAAATATTTGGGCGGATAAAGAAGAATTTTAAGGAAAGGGGGTATAGGTGGATTTGGGAGGATTAGAAAGGTTTTGCTATGATTCTAATCCTCGTGTAAGATGTTTAAGGGACAGAAGACAGAAATTCTCTCTTGCAATTGCCAGATAAGGAAAAAGGATAAGGTCAATGTATTTTTTTCTTGAGTTCCCTCTGTCCTCCCGAATATCTGGAGAGTTGACCTCCAGGATGTTGACTTCTGAGAGTTGACCGACTTGCTTGGGCCCGCTTTTAAAGATAAAAAAATATTTTTTCAAGTTTTTATATGATTCTTTACTCTCTCAAATGAGACATATTGGATGTTTATCAGATAATAAAAAGGGCGAAGAAGAAGAAGAAAATTCTCGTTGTTATTTATTAGACGAAAATGGTTTTGTTATTTTCTCAAGTTCAAAAAACACGAAATATTCTAATTTTGTTGAAACAAATATTTTAATACCAGAAAAATTGAAAATGATGGGGGCAAATAATTTAAATATAAATTTTAATAATCAAAAAAGAAGACAAAAAGGAGGAGGCAATTCTTCATTATTTGGTCAAAGAGGAATTTGGGCACAACAAAAAATATTAAAACAACAAAAATTGGAAATTGAACAAAATTTGGAATTGGGAAAATTTTTTGGACAATTAAATAGAGTTGCTGAATGGACAATGGAATTGTTGATACGTAGAGGGTTTTATAAAAGGTTTTTTAAATTTTATTTTGGGAAAATGACATTTGGTCCCAGAATTGGTTTTTTCTGATTTTTGTTTTTTTTGTTGCCCTCTGCTTGTATTTTCTGATTTAGTGTTCAAAAAGTAATATTATAAAAATAATTTACTAAAAAATAAATTGGATAAAGTGTCACCTTTAAAGAAAACTTTGAAAAATTGAAGATGACATTTGGTCCCAACAAATTTTATTTTTTTATCTTTAATTTTTTGTTGCCCTTTTTTGTGTTCTCTTTATTGTTTGAATTTTCTAATTGTAAGTTCAAGAACTAATTAATTTACCAAAAAATAAATATTTGGGATCAAATGTCACCTTCCTTTCAAAATTATTTAAATTAAAAAATTTTTTAAATTTTTCCCAGGGATTATTTTACCGATGCTCAAGCAATTTGTGATCCCCCTAATGATGACTTTCAATCACAACAATATTCAATTAATAATCCAACAATAACACCTTCCACCACAACAAATACTATAAGTATTACTTCTGCTGCTTCAACTAGTCATTCTTTCAAAATATTTCCAACATTTTTAGTTTGTTTTTCTTAAAAATTTTTTTTAATTTTTAAAAATTTTTTCAGTCATTTTCAACTTCATTAATTCAATTTATTAAACAATTTGTTTCAATTATTGCAATTTTGCTCATTCCAAATGAATTGCTATCAGCTTCTTTTATTCCAATTAATAGTTTTGTTTTTTTAATTAATTAAAAATTTTTTTATTTAAGCCTTCTCTAGTCTTTTAAAAATAACTGATGGACGTTTCCAATGTAGAATGCATTCATCTTTTTATTTGGGGCAGACAAATGTTAGTAGTGATGGGGTAAATGGTGCTTTGTTGGAAAGTGATTCTTATGGTTATTTTTTGTTTTTTTTTATGAATATTTGTAGTGAATTTGACTGTAAGATACCTTTTAGAATTAAGATGCTCTTTACAATTATTTTAACATAAAAATAGCGATGACATTTGGTCCCTTTATTTTTTCTGAATTTAAATTCCAACAGAATCCGCTCCCCTTTCTCTCCCCCAGTGAATGGGTGAGCTGTTTGAGCGTTTTCCAACTTTAGGTTGACATATGTAGAAAATGGATTGGTAGGGAGAGTCGTACGAGAATCGAACGGGGAGGAGGATCGTACAAAAATCGAGATCGATATCTCGAAAAATTTCGATTCTCGGAAACCTAGATTTTTGTCCGATAACTCGTCTTGTCTCTAATTTTAGGATAAAAAATTTTTTTGTTAAAATTTATTTTTAGAAAGACCATGCTCACAAAATGCTGCCCAATGTGCTGTTCGTGTATTTGCTTCATGGGTTCCCCATACTAATTTACTTTTGTATTCTTTTTAAATTTTTAACATTAAAAAACTCTCTCTTTTTTAAGAGTAATAATTCGACAAGATTCTCATTCTCAATGTTTTTCTCAAGATTCATTTAGTCATTGTCCATTATCCCAACCTCCATCAATTCCTTTTGGATTTTCACAAAATCTTCCAATTTCTACTCAAGATTCTTCTTCAGAACAACAACAACAACAATCAAATAATCAAAATGTAGAATGTATAGTTTCACAACCACAAGAAAGGAATAAACCAATTCAATGTCTTAGAGATGATTTTTTGGAGGTTTTTATTTTAAATTTAGCGTAAATGCTCTAATATAATTCTTGGGTTTCTATTAGGCGCCCAACTCTAATAGAAGCCCTTCCAAGGAGATCCTTTGAAAAATAGAAGCCCACCTCTCTATTAGAAGCCCATTCGAGGGGACATTAAAAAAATATAATCCCACTCTCTATTAGAAGTCCTCTCTCTAATATAGTCACTCCAAGCAGACCCATTGAGCCTCTTATCTTTAATGGGAACCCGCTCTCTAATAGAAGCCCTCATTCTATTATAAGCTCAGTCAGTCAAAGTACAAACGGAAATAGAAATGGCTTTAATTAGAGCATTGACGGTAATTAAAAAATTATTTTTTACATTTAAAAAAGGACGATGCTGATGAAGAAACATGTTCTGGAACAAATATGATTAGAAGAAAAAATTGGTTTATTACTTTGTTTAGCTCAATATTAGTTGTTTTTGTAACTTTATTAATTTTTAGATGAGCAATTTTTAACATTTCTTATTATTAGGATTAATGAATCTCATTCCTTTATTTGCAGTAAATGTTTTAATAGAAGCCCTGATTGTGAGCTTTAATTTTTCGATGGATTAGGGCATAGGGTTTTATTCCTATCCATGGGACATGGCCGTATATCCGTATGGACTCTTATTGGAGATGGGCTTCTATTGGAACATTTATGGTAAATTTTGTATATATTTAACAGTTGTTTTTACATGTTTTGAAACAATTTTATTTTATTTTTTTTAAATATTTTTTTGATAAATTTTTAAATAATATTTTGAAACGTCCTTCACTAAATTGGTTGCTAAGCCATTTTGTAACTATAATTTTCTTTTTTTAATTGTTTATCGATTATTTTTCTATCAGATTTTGATTTTAATTTTTATTTTCAGCTGACAATTTCCAAAAAATTTAAAAAATGGGAGCTGTTTTTGCTATGCCTGCGTGTGCTGCTTCTGTACGGTTTTTTATTTTTTTTTAATTTTTGTGGGAGGCTAAAAATTGATTTTCTGAAAATTTTTCTTTTAAATTTTATATAATTTTATTTTAGATGGCCTGCTGTTTTGGAAGTGCTGCTTGTTCCCTTTGCTGTAATGTTTGTCCATCAACTCGAAATTCTACAACAACCCGAATTATGTATTCTTTAATGCTTTTGGTTGGAACTATAACTTCTTGTTTTTTACTTTCCCATTGGCTTCAAAATGCTTTGGCTAAGGTTTTTTTTAATTATAAATTTTTCTTTAAATTTTTCTAATAAAAGGATGGTTGGCTTTGTACTATAACACACACAGGAGAATTGTGCGAAGCAATTATTGGATATCAGGCTGTTTATCGGTTTTTTAAATTATTTTTTGTAAGATTTTTAGGGGTAAATGTCCGCAAACCAGTTTTGCGGACACCCTCGTTTTCAGATATAAAAAAGACTCATAATGGTCAGAGCATAAAAGTTTCATAATATTCACATATCACCTGCTCTAACATATAAAATAGAGAAATGAGGATGCTCTGACCGTTATGAGACCATTTTGATTATAAATCCGCATAAATATGTCCGCTAAGATTCACAAGTACCCAATTCTTTTTTCAGTGTTTGTCTTGGAATGGCTGCTTTCTTTTTCATTTTTATGATTTTGATGCTTGGAGTAAGATCGAGTCGTGATGCTCGTGCTCAAATACAAAATGGATTTTGGTTTTTTAAATATTTACTGCTTGGACTTTTGGTCTTTGGATTCTTTCAAATTACTGATAAAACATTGGCTACACGTATTTTTTTTATCTTTATTTTTCTAGTAGAATTAAAAATAGTTTGGGATCCAGGACTTTTTTCGAACCGGAAACTTTTAGAAACTTGTTGGGAATCTGACCCGGCCTTTTTTCTCAGCTCGTTACATCCTTGATCCAGACCTTTTCTTAAATTGTCTGTCAAGATCAAGGCCTTCCTCAGAGTTTCTTGGGGTTTCCTTTACTTTGGTTTTTTTCCAAATCTTGTGACAAATAAGGTTTTCCTTTTTCAATTGCCGGTCTCTTTGTTGGATCCTTGTTTCCCATTCATTTCCAAAAAAAGCCTTTATTAACGAACATTTTTTAATTTAGCAATGATGTGGATTGGAATGATTGGAGCTTTTGTTTTTATTCTTATTCAACTTGTATTTTTTTCTTTAATTTCTCTAAAATTTCTTCTCTTTTTAAAGGTTTTAATTGTCGATTTCGCCCATGGAATAGCAGAAAATTGGGTTAGAAATTATGAAGATAGTGAATCTAAATGGTGTTTTGCTGGGCTAATTTTCTTTACTTTTGGATGTTATGCACTTTCTGTTTTTGGAGTTATTATGCTGTTTATTGTCTACACATCTGTATTTTTTTATAATTTTTAGAAAAATTTTTGAAAAATTTTTTCAAAGGGAGCTTCTTGTCTTCTTGGAAAATTCCTCATTTCCTTCAATTTAATCCTCTGTTTCGCCCTTTCTGTGATTTCTCTACTTCCGAAAGTACAGGAACATATGCCTAAATCTGGACTTCTTCAATCTGGGTTTATTACGCTTTACGTCGTTTATTTGACTTGGAGTGCTTTGACTAATAATCCAGGTTTTTTAACACTAGAAATTAAATAGGATGTGATATGTGTTCCCGTTGGTGTGATGGTTAGTGTTCTCGGTTTTATTGGGCGAGGGGGTGGGTTCAAGTCCTTTGTGTGGTAAATGTTATTTATAGAGAAAATAATAATTTTTTAAAATTCTTTAAAAGGTTTTTCAACAAAAAATATTTTTTTATAATTTTAGAAGCATGAAAAATAACTTTATTTTTAAAATTATTATTTTTTCCATCCATTTAAGGGTTAATTTCCCCCAAAATATTTTTTAAAAAATAATCTCCATTTTTTACTAGATCATCAATGCAATCCTTCATTAATTGATATTGGAAGTTCTTCAGGAGGAAATTCAACACATTACCAACCAACATCAATTCCACTTCCAGTTAATTCTATAGTTTCTTTGGTTATTTGGTTTTGCTGTTTGTTATATGCTTCAATCCGTACTTCAGCCTATACAGCAATTGGAAAGATTGGGACAGACGGGGAAAATCGTGGTGGTGAAGGTCAGGACATCCCTTTAAGTAAGATTAAATTTAAGGGAAAGAAAAAAGGTTAGGGAATGAAAAAAAATTTAAAGAAAATTCTGTTGAAAATCTCTCATAAAATTTTTAAAGGCGAAGCTTCAGTTTCAATGGATGATGGTGGACATGGAACACGAGTTTATGACAATGAAAAGGAACGTGTTGCTTATTCTTATTCTTTCTTCCACTTTATTTTTGCTTTGGCATCTCTTTATGTTATGATGACTCTTACTTCGTGGTACACGTTAGTAGTTTTTATTTTTTTTGAAGGAAAATCCTGGTAGTCATAGGGTCGATAAAGATGGATTTGGGAAATTGATCCTCTTTTTTAGTTCAATTGGGAGTTGACCTCTTGGGTGTAGTCCCGTAAATACCTACTTTTTTTTAATTTTTAGGCCAACAAATTTAAATTTGAAAGAAATAAACAACAATATGGCATCTGTTTGGGTCCGTATCGTTTCTTCTTGGCTTTGTGTTGGAATATATATTTGGACTTTAATTGCTCCAGCTTTGTTCCCTGATCGAGATTTTAATTTTTAAACAAAGAAAAAAGAAATTCAACGAAACATTTTAAATTGTATTTACTTAAAATTGTAAAAATCATCTTTTAAATAAAAATTTTTTTAATTCGAATATTGAAAATCGGTTTTCGATTAAACACTTTTTAATTTTTTTTCAAAATTTTAGTACTTAACGCGTTCAAAAACTGGCGCTCAAAAGGCCACATTCGCACTCAAATGCCGCGCCGAACTGACCACTACCCTTTAAACACGCGAGCTGTCTAACGTCTCTTTATTCTTCACACTCTTTCTGTCATTATTGATTTTTTCTATCTGCTAATGCTTAGACAATACAAAAACATGTATTGGTTAGAGAAAAAGATTTAAACTTTCATAGGGGAAAACAAGAATTCTTTTTCTCTAACCACTACATGTTTTTGTATTGTCTAAACAATGGCCGCTGTCAAAAATCAATAAAGCAGAAAGAGTTTGGAAAACATAGAGACGTTAGTTAGCGCGATTATTTTAGCAGCGTCGTTCGCGTTTATTTTTGTTTATTCTATTTTTGTACTTTTTGGATTCCTTTTAAGTTATTGCGAACTTTTTCTTAATTTCGACATGTTTAAATTTCATATTTCAGATCAGATTAGTATTTATTGTTGCAATGACTAAAGCTGAGCAAATTGTCCAAAATCGAGAGAAGAAGTTGCATAATACTATGCGTGAATTGAAAATTCTAAAACTTTGCTCAAACATTTGTGTTGGCGTTTCGGGAGATAGACTTACTCGTGCAGCTAAGGTTTTTTAAAGTTTCCTTATCAAAACCTTAATTCTCCTTATCAGGTTCTTGAGCAATTGACTGGACAAACACCCGTTCTTTCCAAGGCCCGTTATACCGTTCGAGCTTTTGGCATTCGTCGAAATGAAAAGATCGCTGTTCACTGCATGGTCCGTGGCTCAAAAGCTGAGGAGATTATTGATCGTGGTTTGAAGGTTATTTAATAATTACTTTGCTTTTATAACTAAAAAAACTTTTTAGGTCAAGGAATTTGAACTTTATAGAGAAAATTTTTGGATACTGGCAACTTTGGGTTTGGAAGCAACAGAATGCGTGGCTTTTCCTTTTTTGGGGATTAACCTTTTCAGGGGGGAGGGTGGTATTGAATTGCGGACAAAACTTGCTTTTTTCAATTTTTGAAAAATGTATCCAATTTTTTCCAGTTCTTCAGCAGCAGCAACAACAAACAACTTCAACAGCAGCAACAACAACAAACAACTTCAACAGCAGCAGCAGCAACAACAAAAGTCCCATGTATCGCTTCGGCGATATTTGGGCAAAAGTCCCGGAGTCGCTTCGGCGATATTTGGGCAAAAGTCCCGGAGTCGCTTCGGCGATATTTGGGCAAAAGTCCCGGAGTCGCTTCGGCGATATTTGGGCAAAAGTCCCGGAGTCGCTTCGGCGATATTTGGGCAAAAGTCCCGGAGTCGCTTCGGCGATATTTGGGCAAAAGTCCCGGAGTCGCTTCGGCGATATTTGGGCAAAAGTTTATTAAATTCCAATGCTCTCGTCTACATGGTTAGTTTTTTTACTTTATTAAATTCGCAAGTTTTGTCCGCAAGGTTTCTCCCTTAAATAAGTTTATCCTTTCCCCATGTTAAAGCCAATTAAATGGTGGCCAAGTTCTTCTCAAACGAGATACATTGATCTGCTTGTTTTGAATGGTTGATCTTTTTATAGGTTGTTTTTATGTTTTGAATTTTTTAATTTACTTTACTTTTTCAGTAGATAATAATTATATGCTGAACCTCCAGGACAATCTGATTATTTAAATGAAGATGACAGCGAAGATGATGAATTTGTTGTAGAAGATATTAAAGCAAATGTTCCTTTTCAAAAGCAAAATAGAAGTGGAGTGACTAATGGAACAATTGATTTGGACACAAATCCGACATTAAAGGTTTAAATTTTTTGCTTAATTTTTTTAAAGATAAATTATTTTTTATTCTTGTTTTATTTGTGTTTTAAATAAATGATAATTTAAAAGAGGATAGTTTTTTTAATTCAGCTGATAGCGAAACGAGTAAAAGGCGGCTTTGTCTCCTTTTTTCAGATTTTTCCATATAAAATTGAGAAAGTTCTTTTTTGATATCTTGCAGGTTTGCTGGTACTTCGTTCTTTTTTATTTCCTACTCGCAATTAGAATCGATGGAAATCCTGCAGAAGTTATTTAAAATTTTTGTTCCAGTTAAAATACCTAAATTAGTGATAATTTTCTATACTCAGGACTCTAGTGTCCCCTTTATAGTTTTCATCACATTTAGTAAAATAGAATGTATTAATTAGAGATGAAAATTTTGGAAATAGTGTGAGAGTAGAGATGTAAATTTTAAATAAATGACACTTTGTCCCTTTGTTTAGAGAACAATAAAAAGAAAATAACCGGTTAGAGAATACATGCTGTCTAGGTCGGTTCAGTGCCAATTTTTGAGAGTGAAAAGCTACTGTATTCGAATAAAAAAGTCTTAATTTGTTCGATAAGTATTTGATTAATTAACTTGGATTTGTTCTGATATTGTCTTGATAAAGTCCCACGTTGTTTAAATCCAATGCTGTAGATAATTGATCATAAAATTTGAAAAATTAATAAAATGGGTGAAAAAAATTGGTGATTGATGATCAAAAATTGAAGATCTTTTGATGATTCCTGTTAGGCCTGCAACAGCTTTATTTAAACATATCCAACCTTAATCAATGTTAATCAAGGAAAGATAGAATTTATCAATTTATAGTTACCATAATCGATAAATTTATACAGTACCATTACGCTCTCAGTATTGAGCTCTCAACCGCCTATACAAAATATCGGTCAGTAAAAATACCGCTGCAATAAAAGACCGGAGCGGACCAAAGCGTTAAAATACCGAGTATTTAAAAGACCGCTACAACAAAAGACCGGAACAGCCGACTAAGTCAAAAGACCGGTGATTAAAAGACCGGTGCAATAAAAGACAGGAACGCTCGAAAGAGGTCAAAAGACCGAGTAAAGACCGGTGCAATAATCAATTATTGATTGATATTCATTTTATTGATTATATTAATTTTTAAAAAATATAAATTTTGTAAAATTTTACAAAATAAAGTATCGATTAGTATTGATTTATCGATTGATATCGATTTTTAAAGATTAAAAATTTTTAGTATTAAAATCACACTCAATGACCGCACTCAACCGTCCTTTTAATTTTTTGGGATAAAATGTCATTTATTTGGCAGAGGAAACATTACGCCAAGATTACGCAAACTTTTAAAATATCAAAATCTCATATCCCCCCCCCCCCCCCCCCCCCCACATTATTTCTCGTTTCTTTTTCAATCTTTCTCTTATATAAAACTCTTTTTTCTCTTTATTATTAAATAATTAAAACAATAAAACAATAATAATAATTAATTTCAATGTTTCTGAGCAATTTCACTAAAAAATTGTAATATATCCTCTATTCCAACTTCAAGTTCAATTTTAGAGCCTAAGTAGCATTTAGAGATTAATTGTTGATAATGTTTAACTTGATTAAGAAATTCTTCTTGCATTTGTCTCCAAACAACTTGCAATAAAGAAGAATCATTACTACTCAAATGTTTTTCAATTTTTTTGTACAAATTTTCCAATCCTTTTTTAACTTCTTTTGCTGGATATGCTGTTGTTACTCGTTTTAATTCTATTCTAGAAAATTGTTGTTCATAACTTATTTCTTGTGGAGATATTCCATTTTCCATTAAACGTTCAATTCTTTCAAAGAAATTCTGAAAAATTTTTAAATTAAAAAAATTTTAAATCTGGCAGACTCAAGTGTCCTTTTAATTTTATGGGATAAATTGTCATTTATTTGGCGTTCAATACATTACGCCACAAATGTGCGAAATTTTAAATTCCAAAATTCCACAGACTTAAATTCCACACATTTTCTCTAACCACAAAATTTCCTCGCCCTCCCCTTATTAAAAATTTTTTCCCCTTTTAAAAAATTAAAATAATTTACATGAATTTTTTCCAAAGGTCTTCCCAACATTTCTCTAACATAAATTGTTACATTTTCTTGATATTTTTGTCTAACTTCTTTTCGACGAGCATCCAAACAAGGAATTTTTAATTCAGAAAGTATTGCTAAAAAATTAAAGTTTATAAGAGAGATTAGAGGAGAGGATGAGGGGAGGGTGGTCTGCGAGTTAAAAAAATCCTGGTAAACAGGACAAAGCTCTAGGCTCAAAGAAAAATCCAAAAAGGCTGGACCAGGATTATGGACATTTAAAAAACCCCAGGCCTTCCACAAAAATAAGAAATAGCCCTATAAAAATTCCTCATTCACTCTAACCCCCCCCCCATAATAAAGTAAAAATAAAAAAAATTCAACAAACAATAAAAAGCATGAAAATTTTCCATTCTAACAACCGAAGCTGGGCATTTTGAATTTGGCGATTCAGCAGCATTATCAATCCCAATAATTATTGCTATAGTTAACTTTTCTAGCCATTTATCCAAATCAACTTTCCTTTCAGATTCAGCAAATATTTTTATTGAAGATTTTGCCAAAGAGCCAAAACGTCCAATTGTATCCAAAATTCCAATTCTTTGTCTTTTTGTTATTGAAATTTTTGAAAATGAATTTTCTATTTGATTCTGAAAATTTTTATTGAAATTATTAGGAAAAAATCTCAAAAAATAAACCATTTGTTCATCAGAAAGCCTTTTTAAGGCGACTAGAAAAGAGCCATAAATTATTGAAAAATAGGAAGAAGGATCACAAAAGTTATTCATTTTTCGTGTTAGTACAACATAAATTGAGATTATACTTTAAAAATAAAATAAAAAATATTTTTTTAATATTTAAAAATAATTTTTTTAATTCAAAAACTAATTTATACTTAAAATAAATAAATAGGCAGGCGATAGGTATCGAACCTGGAACATTTTTGTGTATGATCTCAACGCCCTACCCACTCGGACACTACAACAATAATTGAAGTAACCTATTTTACAAATAAAAGGAAATCAGCCTTTTTAATAAAAGTAGATAATTTATAAGGGAAAAGACCTATGTCCTTAATATTTAAAAAAATTTAAAAAATCCACAAACGTTATATGATGATCATTATAAATAGAAACTAGTCCATAAAAATAAGTAGGTAAAGGTTCAAATATTCTTCCAATTGCAAATTTAATCTTAAAAAATTTTTTTCCTTTTTAAATTTAAAAAAACCTGGTCATTTAATTGTTTTTCCATTGTTTTATTTGTTGATTCGCCTGGAAAAAATTCTTTAATAGAAAATTATTTAATAGAAACCATTTTTATTATTAAGTTCACTGTCCAATTGAGATATTACATCCGTATTTAAATGAAAAAAACGAATACAAAATTTTTGTTCACTTTCTACAACAACACGGCATTCAGCTACAGCAGTTTCTATTAACTAAAAATAAATTATTTAAAAATTTTCTTAAAAGATAAAATAATCCTTACAGAGCTTTCAATTGATGTAATAGTTATTAAAACCGGTTAAGAATAAAAAAAAGTTATTATGGCCAAAAAAGGACCACAAGACTGACATTATTCCCTTGGATCTAAACGAAGAATAAGGGAAATGTAAGGGAGTTTATAAGCATACCCAATACCTCTTGATTAAATAAAAATTTAAAAAAAACCTCACATTTGTATAAACTTCAATATTTTGTTCATTAATTAAATTATTAGAAGAATTTTTCCAATTATTATTTGTTAAGGAAGAAGCTTCTCTTGTTGCTAATTCAGAAAAAAATCTATCAAATTCTTTTTTATATAATTTTTGTGCTTCAATATTATAACGGTCCAAAACATTTTTATAAATATTTGGGCGTGTTTGTTTTAACCAAGAAATTAAATCTGAGAAAGGTAAAAGTGCTCTATGCCTTTGTGAATGTTTTTGCATTATTATTTCACCAATATGTTGGTTTTCTAACATTGAATCCTAAAAAAGATAATTTTTAAAAATTATTTTAGGCCTGAAAAAAGCGAAGAGCTGTCCGTAACACAGACCAACGAAAAAAATCTTTCTGAATTTTTTAAAAATTTTTACAAGTCCCGCAGAGATTGCGGAATGGAAACGTCGGATTGTGGACAACGGAAAAAAAATTTTTCGATAGCGGGCATCTCTGGTACCAATTTTTATTAGAAAAAGGGTTCTCCGGATTGTTTATAAACGATACAAAATATTCCTATAAAAAAGGCTTCGGGTAAAACTTTCAAAATAATCACAAAAAACCTCTAACCATATTTCCAAAAATTGTACTAATATGTGCATAAAATCTGTCGACAAATTCTGAAGTAATTTTGTTTAGCATTTCAATTCTAGAATGATAAGCTTGCATTGAATTTAATTCAGACTTTTTTGTTATAAAATGATCAATAATTCGAGCAGCACGGCAACACAAATTTATACTTAAACAATGGAAAAATAAAAATTATAAAATAAGTATATAGTTGTGGGTTTGCGGACCAGTTTTTGCGGACATATTTATGTGGAATCATAATTAAAAATAATTTTCCTTTTATATCTGACCATTGTGAGTTCTCATAAAAATGCCCGCAAAAATTTATTGGGATAACTTATAAGTACCAAAAAATAAAAAATCAAACCTTATAGGATCTGAAAGATTCGCATTTTTTAAAGCTTCAATATGCTGGTCTTGCACCATTTCTAATTGATAAACAAAATCTTCTAGTTCAGTAGCCAATTTTTTATTATTTTGTTGTTCAATATGTCGAAGGCTGTCCTTTTCTTCAATTAATTCCACACTGTCTCTAACAAACTGAAAAATAAAGAAAATAGATTTTAAAAGACCAGAAAAACATTTTAAAAATATTTTTTAAGAAAAAACACTCTAAATTTAATTAAAAATGTTTAAACAGCGCAAGAAAAATATCAGAAACCAAAAGGATTCGAACCCACAACCCCTCATATAGGCAAGCAACGACTCTCCCAACTTAACCACAACAAAACTTAACGAAAATCCAAAAAATAAGTAACATGTGTCGAATACAAAAATCCTAAAATTTAAAGAAAAATCAAACCGATAACAAGGTGTCATATTCATCCAACTGTTTTTCCACACATTCTGCCAATTCAATCGCTGTATCAATAAGTCCAATAAGTTCAGCAACATTTTGTTCATTTTCCATAATACTCGATAAATTTGCACTGTCAAGTTGGGAAAGTTGGTCATTTAAAGAAGACGAAAATTGTCTAGCTTGGCCTATTTGTAAATTTGCTTTTTCGAGTAAATGACGAAAATCGTTTTCTTCTTTTAATGAAATTGGCTATAAAAAGGGATATTTTTGATGAGAAGCTCCTTAGAAACCTGATAATTTGTATCCAATTCCGCAGGAGTTTTAGAATCTCCGTCAAAATTTTCTTCATTAACGCTTCCATTTTTTGAAGGTAAAGTATCAACAGGTAAAGACACATTAACAAATTCTGGTTTTTGAATAGGCAAATTGGCATTTGAAAACTAAAAAAATACTTTATTTTTATTTAGAAAAATAAAAAAACCTTAAATAATTGTCTGATAAAAAACTCTTTTTCTTCTGCAGTATTTGAATATAGTTGATATAATTGTCCTTTAATAGTCAAATTAAAGTCTGGAAGAGGCTAAAAATAGTTTAAATAAAATAGTAGAAAGGAAAGAATTTTTGCGGATTTTTGGGAAACTACCTCAAATCTTGTCCATAAATTTTGAAAAAGTTTTTCCAAATAAAATTTAAAAAACCTTTCTTGGATTTATTCCATCAACTGAACGAATGTCTCTAAGAGCATAATGTTCTTTTTTTGAAAAAGAATTTTCTTTTTCTGATTTAACCATCCAAATGCGTGCAGAAACTGGTTGTGTTGTCGTAACTGAAATTTAAAACAAAATTCAAAAAAAAATTAATTTAAATAGAACAGAAACAAAACTTAGTCTTCTAAAACTCTGTACTAAACCTGTATACCCAATATATCGTCAAAAGAAATTACAACATCGGGGCAGAGAATGCTGGTAACATGGACAGGATTTTGTCTGTTCGGAGTTTTGCCCCAACACGTGATAAAAATAAACTAACCAACTAAACACAAATACAATTCTCTTCCCTTTTTCAAAGTTTTTTTAACATTCGCAACAGCCAATAATCGTTCTCCGTCTTCCTGAAATAAAGCCTTTTGTAAATTTGATCTAATTGAAACCATAATTTGTTAGAGAATAAAACATTAAGTATTCTAAAATAGAAGAAAATTAAAAAAAAATTTTTTTAATCAGAAAACTAAAAATCATCCCATTTTTATTTTTTAAAAGTTGCTAAAAATTGGCTAAAAATATTTACTTTGGCAAAACGTTTATTTCCTTTTTCTTTTCCTGTATCTCATTTTTACACACTATTTTCACTCCGGAGAGTTTCTGCCCATATATTGCCAATTCCATATTTTGCCAATAAGGGTAAAATCCACGTTTTGTCAACAAATTCATAGACAAAATGAGAATCTTAGCCTTATTGGCGAAATATGTTTTCGCAAAATATAAGTTTGTCCAGCGATTTAATTTCGAGATTTCAAGTCGTTTTTTCCTCGAGACCGAGGTTTCCACATCACTTAACTGTTAATTTTTTGCGTGGCTAGAAGAAGGGCGATCGGTTTTTACTAAACAAAATTAGTTCCTTTGTGTTGACTCATGTATTTTTTATATTTTTTAGATTTTTGATTACTCAAAAAATTATAAAGAAAAGATGCAAAATTTACTTCCAGGCAAATTTGGGCAAGCAGCGTCTTCAGCTTCAGATTCAATGAAACAACAACATGATCCAAATTCAGGGTATATTTTTTAAATTTACCGTAAATGCTTTAATGAAAGCCCTAGGTTTTTATTTTTCAATAATCCCTTTGGCTGGTCTTTAGATATGGGCTTTTATTAGAGAGTGGGCTTATATTAGAGCATTTACGATATTTGAAAATATTTTTGTATTTTTTCAAAGATTTCCTTGGTGGGTACGATTCCTTGCAAAAGCACTTGGAATTATTGGAGGATTTGTCGCCATGTTTTTTGCTGTGTTGGGACTTTTGACTTTAAGTCCTCGATGTGCTATTGCTTCTCTTTTACAGCTGTATTTTTTCTTCAATATTTTTTTTATTTTTTCTAATTTTTTTAGAGCTGCCGGATTTTTGACTGTTGCTTTGGAAGCTCCTTTTTGTTGTGCTTTTGTTGATTTTATTGAACGAATTGCTCAGTTTTCTGAGTCTAGAGCCTACTGGCAAAAAGCTGCGCTTTACTGCATTATGGGAGCTGTAAGTTTTTTTAAAGATTTGACATTTTTTCTTCAATTTTCACAGATTCCATGTCTTATTTGTTTCGAGTTGGGAACAGTTTTGGGCACTGCAATGATTATTGCTGCTGGTTTCGCTTATGGATTTATGGCGCTTGGGAAGAAGTAAGGAAGATTTATTTATTAGAAACTTAAAAAAAATTTTCTAGAGCTGATCGTGACACAATGATGGGAAATATTGGTGGAGGTGGACAGGATCCTGCATGGAGTCCACAAGTTAATCAACCATTCCCACAACCTGCCGGATTTAATCAGCCATAACTTGATGAGATGAAGAGAGAGGAGCTCACCTCAAAGACACTGATATATAAATGTATTTTTCACTACATATAAAGGGAAGGAAAGGTTTTTTTTCAAAATTAAACTATTTAATAGATGGGGTTAGGGAATATCACCCTCAAAATCTTTTTGAAAAAACCCTTTCCTTCTTGATAAACTCAATGTATTCTTTCTTCTAAAAGACCCCTAGTTTTCCATTTTATTAATTTTCACACAAATTTTCATTTTATCCAATCCCTCTACCTATCATTACCAGGGATGTCACTCGGAATTTCCGCCTAGAAACCTGATCCGAGAAATTTTCCAGAACACGCCTCGACTTTTTCCTTCCTAAACAGCTAACGTACCCGACCCGAACCCCCGGACTTTTTTAAATCAGTGACATCCCTGGCCCCTACACGTCTTTTGGAAAAATCTCATCTCCAAACCTAGTATGTTTTCAAAACATTTTTGTCTATTTTCTTCCTCCCGCTCGAATATTCACTATTTTTGTTAGTCTTTATTTTTGGCTACGTCTAAACTTGAAAAATATATATTGACATTTTTGACACTATACTTATTTTTTACCTAAATTTTAAAAAAATAAATTGTCTGTGGTTGTGTTTTTTGAGGTATTTTTTTATTAAAATATTGAATATTTGTTGAATAAATGTGCACATATTTTTAAAATTAAAGAGAAGAAAAAAAGAGATTCGATTAAAAAAAGAATGTAAGGGCTGAAAAAATACTCAAAAATTTTAAAAATATTTTCTAGACCTTACAAAAATAAATGGAGTATTGTAAAGCTTAAAAATGAGAATTAATTAAAATATTAATACTGAAGGGGTCGAAATGGTAAACTTAGAAATTTGAGAAATACAAAAATTTTGGTTATTTTTGTTCTGAAAAAGTATAGTAGATTAGAACAGAACATTGTTACTTAAACCCTTTCAACAAAAATCCCTCTTTGCGGACAAAACTTGCGGATTTCTGATTTTTTTCAATTTTGTTCTAAACTACTTTAACATTAAGAAAGCGCTGTGGCTTTAACGAGATTTGATTAAATGGTAAAAGAAAGGGAGAAAAGGATATGCTTAAAAAGTTCCTATAAACGATATTTTAATCATGCCTTTTTGCAGAAAGTTTGTTAATCAGCAAACAATATCGAGTAAATGGAGAGCCCAGTTTGTTAAGTTCTTCCATTGTTACACCCCAAAGTTCTACTGGAGGTTGGAGAACTCCAAACTTCTTAAATTTGAGTTTTAAGGTAATAAGGTAGGTCCCAGACCGTCGGGGAGAGAATTTTTCGGGGAGCAGGGGGCCCATGAATGGGGAATGACTGTCAATGGAATGGAGAAGTCAAGAGGCGGGGATGTCGAGGAACGGCCTTCGGAGAACGAGGATCGGGGATTGTCCTAAAAACCATATTCGAACGAGGAATAAGTGTCGGGGATCACCCCTAGTTTCTATTAAAAATTAAAAAAACCATTTCATTAAGATCATGACGAAAAAGTAGTCGATTGTTCACATTTAAACAGGTAATTGCTTCTTCATTATCGATTGTAAGCACTTTATAACGAAAAGTTGCATCTCTTTCAATTCTCTAAAAATTAAAAAAGATTTAATTTCCAATAAATTTAAAAAACCTGTAAAATATTTTGCGATTCCTTATCTTTTCCAATAACCAAAACATCATTTGTTGCAACCGAAAGACGAGATTTAAGTGGCGAATTGCTCCCAATATTTATTGGAATGACGGAAAAGTCAGCAAAGGTTTTGGCGACGTGCTGAAAAAAATAAGTTATTCAATTTAAAAATCAATTTTTAAATCCAAAAAAAATTTTTTAATAATAAAGTATGAAAAAAACAGGCAAAAAATAACGTTTTCCCCAGTAAAAATCATATGGGAATCAAACGGTCTCGAACCATAGACCCCTATCGATCAAAATCCAAACCCCTAACCAATACACCACAAAACACCAATAACTTTTAATGATAAATATTAACTACAATATTTCAATTTTTCTCTTATAAAATCACTCACCAAAGCTCCTTCAGTATTCGTTCCATTTTTTCTAATTCCAACAAATATTTCCTTTCCAGTAAACAAAACATCAGAACCTTCAAGATAAACTTGTTTTCCATGTAAATGTGTCGGTGTATCCATAACTTGCCATGCCAAAACATTTAAATGGGCAATAAATTCGTTTGCTCTAGTTGTCGAATTTTTTTTATTTTGACTTTTTGGTCTAGTTAATAAAGCTGTCCCGTTAATTACGATAGCAATATCATCAGCAAAAAGATTTTGAACAGGACAGTCTTCTTCTGGAGGTAATTCGATTACTTCAACGCCTGACTAAAAAATTTTTTTTTTTGAAATTTTCAAAAGATTTTTTTAAAAAAACCTCTCTCAAAGTGTCGCTAAGATCTTGATGTTGTTTTGCTGCCAAAGCCAAATCAATTTTATTTTTCATCTTTTTATCTTCGAATTTTAGTGATGATGGAAAACGTAACATTATTGCGTGAGTATACTTCATGGTTGATTTAAAAGAAAGAAAAAAATTTTTGGACAAATTACTGGGTGGGAGAATAAAAAAAAAATTTTTTTAATTTCTAAAAATTTTAAAATTAAAAAATTTATTTAAATTTTTGCATTTTATTTACTAAATTGGCATTTTATTTATTTAATTTTAATAAATGACATTTGATCCTGTTTTTACGGTAAAGGACATTTCAGTATCTACGAGTTCGCCCATTCAGTTTCCAGGCCATCTTTTGGGCCATAACTTTCTTGATTTTTCTCCGATTCGAGTAATTTTTATATCATTCGAAAGGTCTCGAGATGCGGTATCTTTTTCATAATTGAATCGATCTGATCAGAGCATTGCTTAAGAAGTTAGAGCCTAATAATTATCGAAAATCTCGATTTCCCGCACTTATTCAGCTGTAACTTTTTGTAGAATCATCTGATCAAATCAATCCTTTTAAATAAAATACTCCACACATTCAGAGCTTTCGATTGGTATATTAATCGCTCAAATCGGTTAAGAATCAAAAAAGTTATTGCCCAAAATATGCCCTCGATATTGAATCAGCCGATACTGAAGCGTCCCCTACCCCCATTTTCATTTTTGCTTAATTTAATGTTTGCAAGCACACGTGGAACTACAAAATATGTATTTTAGCGGTAATTGCGGTTTGTTATATTCACAATCAATTCTAATTTAAATGATAAAACTTTCTCTTTTAGATAACGAAAAATGAATATTTTTAGACTTGCGGGCGATTCAGCCCATTTATTGGCTATTTTAATTTTATTATGGAAAATTTGGAAAACAAAATCTTGTGCAGGTTTTTTTTAATTTTTTAATTGAGAATTTTATTTAAAATTATTTAAAGGAATTTCTGGACGTTCACAAGTTCTTTTCTTTGTTGTCTTCGTTTCGCGTTATTTGGATCTTTTTACAAATTTTGTTTCAATCTACAATACTGCTATGAAGGTTTTTTTTGGATTTTTTGTTTAAATTTTAAGTTAACCTCTGGCAAACTAATTTATTTTTTGGGCGCTGGGAGGGCCCGAATTAACCATGTTTCGAATATTTCTTTGAAAGACATTTTTACTACCACTAGGGTGTTGCTGAAATTTTTTCCTTCGCAGTTTTGATTTCTAAGGTATCACAGAAAAATTCGGCAAAGGTTTTTTTCACATCTAAAAAAGTTTTTAATGTTAAAGTAAGGAAAAAGACAAGTAAAAAGAAATTTCCCCCCAACCGGACTCGAACCCCCAAAATCAAACCTCTAAAATCCACAACGCTAACCACTAGGCCACACATTAACTACGACGGTTAACAATAAATATTGAATAAAACTTCCCAAAAAAATAATTTTTTAGATTTTCTTTGTCGCTTCATCAGTGGCTACTATTTATCTCATGTTTTTCAGATTTAGAGCTACCTATGATCGGTTTTATCTTAAAAATTCTTTTTTATTTAAACTTTATTTTTTTTAGAAACCACGACACTTTTCGAATTGAAATTTTATTGGTTCCAAGCGTGATACTTGCTTTGCTTATTAACCACGAATTTACGCTTTTTGAGGTTTTTTAAAATTTTTTTTTGAAATTTTTTTAAAAATTTTAAATTTAAGGTTCTTTGGACTTTTAGTATTTATTTGGAGGCTGTAGCTATAATGCCCCAACTTTTTATGCTTTCAAAGACGGGATCGGCTGAAACAATTACTGCGCATTATCTTTTTGCTTTGGGTAGAAAATTCTTTAAAAATTTGCAAAAAAATTTTTTTTCAGGAAGTTATCGAGGCCTTTATATTCTCAATTGGGTCTACAGATATTATATGGGTATTTTTTAAAATTAAAAAAATTTCAGAAAATTTTTTCCCTTCAGAAAATCATTTGGACGTAATCGCTTTGGTTGCTGGAGTGGCCCAGACCGTTCTTTATGCCGACTTCTTTTATCTTTATGTGACTAGAGTTGTTCAACAAGAGTATGATTTTTTTGATTTTTAATAGAGTTCGAACTTGGGCAGCGTATCCGTATTTTTAAAAATTTTTTTTTTGAAATTATTGAGGCCTGTAGAAGCCCGGAAACTGGATATTTTAATAAATCCGACTTTTCGTAGTTCACAGGTTCCGGTGTTTACAATTAGCCCGGAAACCCCCGGGTTAGTCTTAAACAAAAAACCCGGATACCGGGCCTGGAAAATTGAAAGGTTCAAACTCTAATTAATCGAAAATACTTTTAAAAAAAATTTTTGTAGGCAAAAAATGCAACTTCCTGCTTAGAGGCATTGAAAATTGAAGAAGAAAATTTTTTTATTTAATTTCTAAAAAGAAACAATTTTCTGTTTGGTCTTTGGATTGTGTTATAATATATTCTTTTTCTTGTCTTTTTTCGGTTTTTTTTTTGTTAAAAACCCCACACCTTTCTATTTACCTAATTCCCTTTTTTTAAAATTATTTTTTAAATTTCCCCTCCCTTCCCCCCAAGTTTCCCTCCTCCTAAAGGTTTTGTTAATTTATATTTATCTAATTTATTTTTGGTATAGGATAAAAAATATTTAAATTTATATTTTGGATTTATTTTTAAAAATTTTTATAACTCTGATCTAGTCTAGGGATTAATTACAAAGTCTTATAAGTCCAGCTTCTCCCTCCAATTTTATCATCGACTTTTGCGGGCTTTTTTTGTGGACTTTTCCAATTTTATTATAAAAATAGAAAAAAAGGTTAGAAAAAAATTCCAAAAAAATTTTTCCGAAAAGATAAAAAGTCGACAGACACAACTTTAAATTAAGATAAGGAATATTTTAATTCTTAAAAATTCTCTCTTATCATTTTTATTAATTTTAAAAATTAATTACCTCTCCAAAATGAAGTGTTTGCTCCCCTTCCTTTGGATTTTATTAACAATTTTTGTTTCTTGTACTAATAGCACTTTAAATGAGAAAAGTGAACTTGTTTTGGTCCAAGCTGTAAGTTAATTTGGAAAATACTTGTAAGGATTGGATGCGGACTTTTTTTGCGGACTATGTAAAAATCCGCGGAAATGGCTGAGCCAAAAAAAGGAAGTTTGAGAGACAATGTAAAATTAAGAGACTTTCTCTGACCTACAGAGAAAATTTTTAAAATTTTGGCTCCTTTCTGGTTTTTTAAAAATAATTTTTCAAATTTATTTTCTAGTTGTGGAGACACGGTGATCGTTCACCCACAAAAACCTTCAAAACGGATAAATATCAAGAGAAGGATTGGCCTCAAGGATGGGGACAATTAACGCCTGTAAGCTTCCTTTAAATTTTAAAAATTTCAAAAATTTTTTTTAAAGACAGGGATGGCTCAACATGTAGAGTTGGGAAGAAGACTTAGACAGCGTTATATAGAGGAATTGAAATTTGTTGGTCCTCGGTATAATAGTCACGAAATTTATGTTAGAAGTACTGACTGGAATAGAACATTAACTAGTGCTATATCGGTTAGTTTAAAAATTTTTTTAGGAAAATTTTTTTAAAACTTGCGGACAAAAAATTCCGCAAAAAATTTTTCTGTCCGCAAAAATTTTTTTTTAGAATTTTATTGGCTTCTACGGCCCTGGAAATGATGATGAATACCCAAAGGATTTGGGCGCAAACAAATGGCCAGGATGGTATTTTCCAATAGCTATACATTCACTCCCTGGAAACGAAGATTTTATGGCTCCTGGAGAATCGGAATGTAAACGATTTGAACAAATAAAAGAGCGGATAACTTTAACAGAAGAATACAACTCGACTTTGATTAAATATAAATGGCTACTCGATTTTTTAAGTGAAAAGACTGGACAGAATCTTGACCCTTTCGATATGTGGATGATTAACGATGCTTTTTATATTGAGGTTTTTTTGATTAAAAATGAATTCTTTTAATTTTTTTAAAGAAATTAAAAGGGAAAAAATTGGTAGACTGGGCAGAGGGGAACCAGACACTTTTGGATACGATTGTGGAACTTGACAATTTACAAGAAAGATGGATGGTTGGGTTAGGTAATTATTTATATTTAAATTTTGTGGAGGAGTTTATTTGTTGAATTCCTGTTTAAAAAATTTTTGCGGACTGTCAGGATAAACTTGCGGACAGAAAAAATTTGTCCGCAAAAAATTTCGATATTTTGCGGACAAAAATTTTTTTTATTTTTTTGTCCGTAAATATCCCCTACTTCACATTCTTTGATTAACCAAACCATATACCTTTTTCCAAATTTATTTTAAAGATTTAAAACCTCTGGGTGATGCCAACTTTCGCGAAGAACTTCCAAAAATTTTGGGCGGGCCAATCTTATGGAAATTTATAACAAATATGCAGGAGAAGTTGGCTTGTTCAAAGCGGATGAATTCTGTAAAGGAAATTGACAGAGAAATGGAAGGAAGAAAATCGCCAATAGGGACGCCCTTGTGTAAATGGATGAACAAAATGCGCTATTTTGCGTACTCTGCGGTTTATTTTTTTAAGTAAAAAGGAACAGAAATTTTTTTTATTTTTTAGCACGATAGCACAATTATTGCTATTTTTGCAGCTTTGGGTCTAAACAAAACGAATTATGACGAGGATGGTTACCCGAAGTACTCTACTTGTTTAACTTTTGAATTGTGGAGGGAGAAGAATACTGGTCAATTTGATGTTAAGGTATTTATTTTTATTTAAAATGGGGGAGTTTTTGGGCTTATCGAGTTTGCGGACAGACCTGTCGACCAGGGGCCGGGTTGAGAATTTCTCCGGTTAACCTTTATTTGAATTTACTTTTTAGAGCTTTACCAATCCCAGGGGAGCAGGAAATTAAAGGAGAGGAGAAAATGTTTTACTGTGCTCCGAGCGGGATGGTGCTAGTCAACTTTCCGCGCACACAAAACTTGTGGGCAAATTTTGAGCTGCTTGGGGGAGGGCAAAATTTTGTTTAATCAAGAAGAAATTTAAAAAACCAAAAAAACACCTTGGTTTTATTTTCTGTCCGCAAAAACTGTCCGCAAATCTTAAACTAAATTTTTTTCAAATTCTTTCAACTTAGGTGCTTTTATGGAGACCTTACACTAACGAGACTTCCCCTAAAGAAATAACGACAGATATAGAAGGCTGTCAAAGCAATTCAACCTTAGAAAAATTTGTTGAAAGATCAAAGCCTTATCAAATGCTGCCTTCACCCAAAGACGTAAAAATATTTTCTAAAAAATTTTTTTTATTTTTCAAATTTTCAAGTATTGTTCACAACTTCTACAACCCCTAAATAATGCTGCACGTTTGTTAATTCAGTGGAAATTGAAAATGTAAGATTTTTTAAAATATTTATTAAGATTTTTAGGCTCATTCTAATGGGAATTCCTTCAATTGTTGCTAATGTTGTATAGAGAAGTTTTTTGTTTTTGGAAATTATTTTTAAAAGGTTTTTTAATTAAAATTTATTTTTTGAACAAAGGTTGGGATTTTTTAGTTTTATCAAGGAAAAAATAAATTCTTATTCCTTACAATTAAACATCAAAAAAATAATATTAGATTAATAAAGAAGCAAAAAAATAATTGATTAAAATTAGGTTATTTCTAAATTTTTCTCAATTTTATTTTTTAAATTTTTTACTTCATTTTTTCTTCAATTATCTCTATTTTTGAGCAGTAACACGTAAAACTCCATTGTGAGTCAGATGTGACTTTAAAATTAATTTTAAAAATTATTTTTAATTTTTAAAAAAGTTCGCAAATTTAATCCGCAAATTTTTCAAAAAAATTCCAAAAATATTTTATAATCCTTTCTCATCCTATTTACATTTACAAATAATTTTTTATTCTTGTCTGGAACATTCAAAACCTTTAAGAACTTGCAGACATTAAAAATTAAATACCCAACCCAAAATGTCACCACCCAAAATATCAACCCCTTTAATTTACATACCTTAATAGTTTGAATATTCACGTTGTCAGGCAATTTGTAACTACGATTAATTTCACGACTAACCGACCCATGTTGATCACTACGCGATTCGTGTTTGCAATGAATGTTTAAATGATCCCCAACAACCTTGACCTTTTTTAGAAAATTTTTAATTTAAAAAAAATTTAAACTTCAATCTCGTTTGGAGTAAAATAGGCAACGTCTAGACCAACTTCCCAACGATTAGGCAAATCGTGAATACGAACAACCCCGTCGTTGTGTTGTAAAGGCCAGTCCCATTGTTGGGCTGTCCATTCATGGGTAATTTCGATTGGTTGGGCCATTCGAGAAAATTTTTTGAGAGAAAATGGAAGGCTGAAAATAAATATTTTTTAAAATAAAAGTAAGTTTTTGTTACACTAAAATCTTTGTAAATAAATATATTTTCTAAATCAAAGCTTCTTCAAGTATCCTCCCCTGATCATCTTTTAAGAGGGAGGACATATGCTTCCCTTTTCTCTCTTTTATCAACAACAAATCTTCTCTTAAAGACCAAGGAATGAAAAAAAAGTATTTTTAAATGTGTGGTAAACAGATTTTGAAAGAAAAAAGCTTTTAGACATTAAAGATGAAAAAAAAGAGTTAAAAACAAATAAATATTTCGAAAATATTTTCATTCCTTTGATTTTTTAATTGGTGATATTTTGGGTTAAACTCTGATGCTGGTAGAAACAATGCTAACTATCCGCAGCTAGAGATATTTTTATAAATTTGAGTCTGAGTTTTCTTCATAGTTGAAATGCTTGCTGCACAAAACTCAGACTCAAATTTATAAAAATATCTCTAGCTGCGGATAGTTAGCATTGTTTCTACCAGCATGAGAGAATTATTCAAGTAGAATTTTTTGGTCTAGTGGATAACGTCTTTGACTACAAAACCTATTTAAACCTAAAGGGTGAAGGTTCGACTCCACTTAAGAGTAAACATTTTTTATTTTATAAAAATTACAATTTAAATAAATTTTTTCTATTTCTTCACATTTTCACAATAAAAATGAAGAAAATAAAACAGATATCCAAGTATTGTTGGGAAAGGAAAAAAATAAATTGAGAGAAAAGAAAAAAATCACACAAAAAATTAATAAAAAATATTTTTTCTTTTTTTAATCCAATAATTTTTTTAAATTCTCTTTTAAAAATCAATTTAATTTTAATATAAAATATCAACGAGCAAAAGCAAAATTTCTTAAACTTTTCTTTGCAAACGCAAATCTGGCAAAATTGTTTTCTCCAAATTGGCTTGAACGTTTACTTTAAAGAAGAAAAACTTTTTAATCAAAAATCTTTTTTCTTACTTGATTTCATTATTTTCGTCAAAATTTTCAGCAGCTCTTTTAGCAAAAGCAAATGCTCTACTTCCAAAAGGATTATCGCCAAATGAACGTTTTGCAAAAGCAAAATTTCTCATTCCTCTTTTGGCAAATGCAAATTGCCTTGGGGAAAATCGTTTTTCTAATAATTGTTCCAAGTCTTCATTGGCTAGATTTGCCTTGAAAAAGTAAAAAAATTGTTTTTAATTTATTGAAATTCCATTTTTAAATTTAAAACTTGTAGACTATTATTTGCGGACATTTAAAATCCGCAAAATTTGTCCGCAAAAATTTGCGGACAAAATTTTTCTAAATTTTTTTTCATCTTTTTACCCTCCCTACTGTCTCGTTAAATAAAAAAGAAATTCAAATAAAAATATTTTTGTAAATAAGTGTATAAATAATCCCCTTTTTATTATCCTTTAGGGCAAAAGAAAAGCAAAAAACGTCATTCCCTCCATTTTTGGACAAACTTTTAAAAATATAAAAATTGTTAAAAATTGTCTAGGGAATTATAGCAAATACTCAATTATTATTTATTTTTTTCTTTAAAAATTTTAAACTTTTTAAACGCAAAAATATTTAGGTGGAATTGAAATAAACAAAAAAACTGGAGGAAATTTTGATTAAAAATAAAATAAAATAATTTTTTTCCTTAAAATTACAAGTACCAGTACTACAAAAAATTAAGTAAAAGTCTCATTTTTATATTAAAAAATATCTGGAAAAAAATAAATGGATTATTGCCCACAAACACTCAAAAAGTCAACGACGGGGTTCGAACCTACCACAGTCAGAACCGAGATTACCCCACAGGCGTAATTACTACCAACTTAACCACCGATCAACATGTACCCCTTTCAATATTAATTACCTGTATACTTAAATTAAACTTTAATTGCCAACCTTTTGTTCATTGTTTTGTTCTCCTTTAACAAAATTTAAAGCCAACAAAGAACAAATTAAAATTAAAATTGCGGCAAGAGAAGACATTGAAATTTTAGTTGTTTGCATTTTTGGAGGCGGATTTAAAAATATAATTTATTTTTATATTCCTTTAAAAATTAAAAAAATTTTTGAGTAAAAATTAATCCAAATTAAATTGATTATGCTTGAATTAATTTTTAAAAAATATTTTTTTAAAAAAGAACTTTTAAATAATCTATTAAAAATTAATTAAGGCGGAAAAACGTCGTTTAAAAAATAATATATTTTTTAATATGTAGTGTCAGGACAACCCACCGTCCGACAAAATACCGTCCACACACTAAAACAATAATTACCGGCCATTTCGTTTAGAATAAAAAGTGTTAAAATAAAATTTTTAGACGTAGAAGCGTAGAACTAATCAAGTACTAGCAGCCAAAGATATTGAAATAACCTAATATCAACGCAAATCCAATTCTAGCGTCAAAACGGTATTTTGTAAGACGGTATTTTGCCCCTCAACTCTTATATATAAATAATTATTATCGTTTAATTTAAGCAGGTGTTAAAAAATAATTAATTGCGCAAGCAAAAAATTATTAATTCAGATTTAAGTTAAATGCCTTTAAATAAGACCTAAATAGAGAGTACTCTTAATTAGCTAAAATTTTTTTAATAATTTATAGCTAATCCCAATTAGCTTCCGGCAAAATTTAAATTAAAAAAAAATATTCAAAAATATTTAAAAAAAGATTTTAAAGATATGTATTCTTGGTATTATTAAATAAAAGAAAATATTTTTTTATTAAATTCGAAAAAAAAATTTAAAAAATTTAGACTAAATAATTAATATTTTTATTTAAAAAGGGACAATGACCCCCTCCCTTATAGAAAATTTTTAAAAATCTTTTAAAAAATTTCTAGAAAATTTTAAATTTTTAAATTTTTTTTTCATGTAAATATTAAAAATAAAAAGAAAAAAAAGTCGGGAGTGGCCGTGAAGGACTGAAGTGGATATACTATTTTAGAAGAAAGGCGTTGGGGAATGGCACGCCCATTAAATAAAAACCCATATTTTTTTATTAAATTAATTTAAGGATATTTAATTGAAACAATAATTTAAAAAATATTTTTGTGATTTTCTTTGAATTAAATTTAATTTTAAAATTAAATTTATTTTATATTTATTTTATTAAATTAAAAATTAAATTGATTAAAGGAGTCAAAAAATAAATTTTTATAATTTCCATATAGAGGAAAATTAAATAATAAAAATTCCGCGAAAGTGTATTGGGGGGAATTTATAGAGTAAAAAACTTTTTAAAAATTAAAATTCCACTAATTCTGGGACCTGTGGAAATTACCTGGAATTAAAAGTGATTTTCTTTGAATAAATTAAAAAGTACATCAAGTATGGTAGACGTAAATGGACGTAAAATAATTACCCTGAGTAATTATTTGTATTAATCTCTCACTGGTGAGGGTACTTGTTAGGGAGGGGGCTATACCGTAACGAGCCGTGTACTGATTCCCTAAATCTAAAATTCCCGACGTCCTTTTCTGGATCGGGATTCCAATTTGCTGTAATCAGGAAGCTTTTTATGTCGGCTCCTTCCTTATACGTGGACCTATGGAATTAAAATAAAAATTTTTAAAAAATTCTTTTAACTGCGCAAGCCAAATAATTTCATAAATCTAATAAATATTCATTGTTTTTAGCAAAATAATAAAAACCAAAAATAAATATAGGTATTTTTATTAAATTTATTTTTATATTTATTTTTTTACCCACACCCATAAAAATAAAAATAAATCTTAAAAATAATGTCAAAATTAATTTGCAAAAATTAAATCAAAAATAAAAGGAGTGCCGAGAATTCCTCATAAAAATAAAATTAATTTAAAAAAATAATATTTTTATTTAAAAAAAAGGAGAGAAGGATACCTAGAAGTACATTAAAGTAGACGTAAATGAACGTCAAACTTAATTCTAAAAAATTTTAAAAGGAAAAATATTTTTTTGTAAAAGTATTTTTTGAAGGATGAGTAAATGCAAATAATATTTTTTTAAAAATAAATGTAAATAGAAGGGATATATTTTATTTAAATTAATATTGACTTGGACGGAAGTAATAAAGTATATTAAAGATGATATGCAAAAAAAACAAAATAATAAAAAATATTTATATCAAAAATAATATTTTTGACATTTTCTAGTTAAAAGAC